CAAAACATCAATAAACACAACATCAATAAACAATCAATAAAATACAAATCCAATAAATCACATAAACAAAAAACAATCCCCAAATCCCGCCCAGTCTGACCCCTTTCTTCCCTAAAGGACGGCACCATCTGATCCCTCCCAACAGAGGGCCATCCAGCCTCTCCTTAATACCAATAATACTAATACTAATACTAATAATACCAATAATATCCTGGAGTTGGAAGGGATCCCCAAAGGCCACCCAGTCTGACCCCCTTTCTGCTATACAGAGAGACACCATCTGATCCCTCCTGGCAGAGGGCCATCCAAACATAGTTAGATGATTGAGAGAAAAAGAGATAATATGACTGAGCGAACTATATATGATAGATATATCACTACCATTTGATTATTGTGCAAAGACTCTGGCACAAGCCAGTCAAGGTGGTCCCAGTGGTAATCGGCACATTGGGTGCAGTGTCTAAAGACCTTGGCCTGCACTTAAACACAATCGGCGCTGACAAAATTCCTACCTGTCAGCTGCAAAAAGCCACCCAACTCGGATCGGCACACATTATTCACTGATACATCACACAGTCCTAGACACTTGGGAAGTGTCCGACATGTGATCCAATACAACAGCCAGCAGAGTGACCTTGTTTGCTATGTACTAATCTTTTTGTGTTTCAAATAACAACATCAACATAACAGCCAGCAGAGTGTTTGCTGTGGACTCATCTTGTTGTGTTTCTAATAATAATAATAATAATAATAATATCCTCGATTTGGAAGGGAGTCTGATGCCTTTCTGCCCTAAAGGAAGACACTACCCGACCCCTCCCGACAGAGGGCCATACAGTGATAGATCTGATTGAGAGAAAGCGATGATAGATAGATAGATAGATAGATAGATAGATAGATAGATAGATAGACAGGCAGACAGACAGATATGCTTGAGAGAACTATGTATGAGACCTAGCACTGCCATAAAGGAAGACACCATCCAATCCCTCCCGGTGGATGGCCACCCAGCCCCTGCTTAATAATAATAATATCCTAGAGCTGGAAGGGACCCCAAAGGCCATCCAGTCTGACCCCCTTTCTGTCATACAGAGAGTAACCATCTGATCCCTTCTGGCAGAGGGCCATCCAGACGTAGTTAGATGTCCACAGAGATTAATAAGAGAGAAAGGGATGATAGATGGACAGGTAGATATGACTGAGATAACTATATATGATAGATCTATCACTGCTATAAAGGAAGACACCACTCGATGCCTCCCAACAGAGGGCCATCTAACCTCTGCTTAATACTAATAATACCATTCTGGAGTTGGAAGGGATTCCTAAAGGCCACCCAGTCTGACCCCTTTCTGCCTATAAGGAAGACACCACCCGATCCCTCCCGACAGAGGGCCATCCAGCCTCTCCTTAATACTAATAATACCAATATATTGGTATTATTGGTACATCCATTGGTATTATTGGTATATTGGTATATCCTGGAGTTGGAAGGATTCTCAAAGGCCACCCAGTCTGACCCCTTTCTGCCTCTAAGGAAGACACCATCTGTTCCCTCCCAAAGGAGGGCCACCCAGTCTATTAATAATAATAATAATAATAATAATAATAATAATAATAATAATAATAATAAAGGTAAAGGCTATGTCATGCATTTGGCCCGCCCACTGTGTTTTATTTTCCATTATGTTATTTTGTACTGTTTATTTTACTTGATTGGTTTATTTATTTTATTGTGATGTTATTTTGTTGTTTATATTTTATGTTGCTGTAACGTATCGCTGGGCTTGGCCTCATATAAGCTGCTCCGAGTCCCCTTTGGGGAGATGGTGGCGCGGTATAAATAAAGTATTATTATTATTATTATTGGTAAAGGTTTCTCCTTGACATTAAGTCTAGTCGTGTCCGATTCTGGGACTCTGGTGCTCATAATCTCAAAGAGCTGGTGTTGTCCATAGACACCTCCAAGGACACGTGGCCACTGGCAGGACTGCATGGAGCATCCTTACCTTCCCACTGGAGCGGTACCTATTGATCTACTCACACTTGCATGTTTTCAAACTGCTAGATTGGCAGAAGCTGGGGCTAAACAACAGGAGCTCATGCCACTCCCCGGATTTGAACCTGCGACCTTGCTGTTAGCAAGTTCAGCAGCTCAGCAGTTTAACCCACTGCGCCACCCAGGGCACCCAATAATAATAATACTAATCGTAAGTGCCCATCGCAGCAGGAAGCAAGCCTCGCCCATTCTCCTCAATGGGGCCTCCTTTGAAACACATAAACCTGGAAAACATCTCCCACCCTGAGTGGAAGGGCTGAGTGGGGAAAGTGGGCGCTCACCTGTCCTGGAGGCGTTGCACCTGAGAGCGGGCATCCTCCGGGTGGGCTTTCAGGTACAACTGGAACATGGAGAAGGACTGGACGTAGCCCACCAGCTCCGCCACGGTCATGGGCACCTTGTCCACGATGTCGGTGACCCTGGAAGACAGGACGGGGAGGGTCAGGACAGCCGGGGCGGGCAACGCGGTGCACTGTGCTTGGGCTCCTGAGTTGTCAGTCTCGGTTCCGAATTGGTTCTGTCCCAACAACAGCAGGAAAGTGTCTTAGATTCTCAAACTTTGCCTTTGCGGGAGGGTCATTGTGCTAGAGCAGACTTGGCTCTGGCTTTTCCTGTGGATTTGTTTGTTTATGTATTGAGCACACTTGTACCCTGCTCTTCTCACCCCAAAGGGAGGCCTCACGCAGGCAAAATTCAATGCCATATATACATATACATATCAGTAAATAAACAGCCGCATTAAAACCAACCTAATTAAAAATATACACATTTTCCAATGAATGGACTGGGAAGGAAGGAAAGAAAGGAAAGAAGGGAAGAAGGAAAGAAGGAAGGAAGGAAAGAAGGGAGGAAGGGAGGGAGGAAAGAGGAAGAAAGAAGGGAGGGAAGGAAGGAGGAAGGAAGGAAGGAAGGAAAAAGGAAGAGAGGGAAGAAGGAAGAAAAGAAGGGTAGGAGGGAGGAAAGAAGGAAAGAAAAAAAAAGGAAAGGAAAAAGGAAGGAAGGAAAGAATGAAAGAAGAAAGGAAGGAAAGAAAGAAGGAAGGAAAGAAGGAGGGAGGAAAAGGAGGAAGGAAGAAAGGAAAGGGAGGGAGGGAGAAGGAAGGCAGGAAAAAGAATAGAGGAAGGAAGGGAAAAAAAGGGAGGGGGGAGGAAAGGAGGAAGGAGGAAGGGAGGAAGGAAGGAAAAGAAGGAGAGGGAAAGAAGGAAGGGAAAAGGAAAAGGAAGGAGAGGAAGGAAGGAAAAAAGGGAGGGAAGGGGAAAGAAGGAAAGAAAGGGAGGGAGGAAAAAGGAAGAGGGAAGGAAAGAAAAAAAGGGAGGAAGGAAAGGAAGGGAAGAAAGGGAGGGGAGGGAGGGAGGAAAGGAGGAGGAAAAAGAAAGAGGAAGGAAGGAAAAAAAGGGAGGGAGGGAGGGAAAGGAAAGGGAGGGGAGGGGGGGAAGGAAAAGAAGGAAGGAAGGAAGGAAGGAAGGGAAAGAAGGAAAGGAAAAAAGGAAAGAGAGGAAGGAAAAAAAAAGGGAGGAGAAAAGAAGGAAAAGAGGGAGGAAGGAAAAGGAAAGAGGAAGGAAAAGAAAAAGGGAGGAAGGAAGGGAAGGAAAAAAAGGAAGAGAAAAGGAAGGGAAAAAAAGGGGAAGGAGGGAGAAAGGAAGGAAAAAAGAAAGAAGAAGGAAGGAAAGAAGGAAGGAAGGAAAAAGAAGGGAAGAAAAAAAAGGAAAGAAGAGGAAGGAAGGAAGGAAGGAAGGAAGGAAAGGAAGAAGGGAAGGAAGGAAGGAGAAAGGCAGAATGGAAGGAACAATATGAGGACAGCAGGTTATAAATAAAAAACAGAATAATAAGAATAAATTAATAATAATTAAGAAAGAAGAAGAAAAGAAGAAGAAGAAGAAAAAAGGAAGAAGAAAATAAATTGGCACTGACAAAACTAAAATACCATCTGCCAGCTGCAAAAGGACACCTTACTGGGATCTGCACGCATTATTCGCCGATACATCACACCGTCCTAGACACTTGGGAAGTGTCCGATGTGTGATCCAATACAACAGCCAGTAGAGTGATCTTGTTTGCTGTGGACTCATCTTGTTGTGTTTCAAATAATACTATATAATACTAATCCTACCACTAATAACAATACATGTAATACTAATAATGGATACATAGCCTCTTTGGAGTTTTCTTCTGGAGAGAAAAAGTGGGGTAGAAATGAACATGACCATCACAGAAGGAAATAGGAAAAGAGAAGGAAGGGAAGGGAGAGGAAAGGAAGAAAGAAGGGGTGGAAAGAAAAGAATGGAAGAGAAGGGGGGAGAGGGAGGGAGGGAGGGGAAGCCCAGGGCAAGTTTTGGGGCGCAAGCGGCAGATTCTAATCTGGGGGAAATGCCGAAGTGCTTGCTGCGTTGTCTCACCGCTCTTTGTCCCGGAAGGGCACGGCCTCAAAGATCTCCTTGTAGTCGCTGGCCACCAGGCGGACTTTGTCGCTGATGTAGGGATTGAGCCGGTCCCGGAACTGGGAGGGAGAGAGAGCAAGAAGGCATGCGGCGGACCTTGGCGCACACAGATCCACCCTGACTACCACCTAAGTGCCAGTGTGCTCTGGGGAGCCGTGGCAGAGGACGATCGGAGTTGTAGTTTAGCAGCAAGGTGTGCGTTGTGTAGTTCCTCCCACAATCGGAGCACAATTAGAGTAATGGTGGAGTTTGGGAGGGTGCCCAACATGACAGGAGTCTTAGCTGGGGGCAATGATGAAGGATGATGGGAGTTGTAGTTCACCCACACCTAGAGAAACTTGGCACACATAAGTCATGGTGGAGTTTTTTTGTGCTATGTGTGTATTAGCCCAGTATGATGGGAGTTGTATTTGGGGGGGGATGCCAGGGGATGATGGGAGTTGTGGTTCACCCACATCCAGAAAAACTTGCCATACATAAGTAATGGCGGAGCTTGGGGGTGTGTTGGCCCAGCAAGATAGGAGTTGTAGTTTGGGGGCAATGATAGGCGATGATGGGAGTTGTAGTTCACTCACATCCAGAGAAACTTGGCACACATAAGTAATGGCGGAGTTTGGGGGTGTGCTGGCCCAGCAAGATGGGAATTGTAGTTTTGGGGCAATGATAGGGATGATGGGAGTTGTAGTTCACCCACATCCAGAGAAACTTGGCACACATAAGTAATGGTGGAGCTCGGGGGTGTGTTGGCCCAGCAAGATGGGAGTTGTAGTTTGGGGGCAATGATAGGGATGATGGGAGTTGTAGTTCACCCACACCTAGAGAAACCTGGCACACATAAGTCATGGTGGAGTTTTTTGTGCTGTGTGTGTATTAGCCCAGTATGATGGGAGTTGTATTTGGGAGGGGGGGATGACAGGGGTTGATGGGAGTTGCAGTTCACCCACATCCAGAAAAATTTGGCACACATAAGTAATGGCGGAGCTTGGGAGTGTGTTGGCCCAGCAAGATGGGAGCTGTCATTTGGGGGCAATGATAGGGGATGATAGGAGTTATAGTTCACCCACATCCAGAGAAACTTGGCACACATAAGTAATGGCGGAGTTTGGGGGTGTGCTGGCCCAGCAAGATGGGAGTTGTAGTTTGGGGGCAATGATAGGGGATGATGGGAGTTGTAGTTCACCCACACCTAGAGAAACTTGGCACACATAAGTCATGGTGGAGTTTTTTTGTGCTGCGTGTGTATTAGCCCAGTATGACGGGAGTTGTATTTAGGGGGAGGATGACAGGGGTTGATGGGACTTGTAGTTCACTCCCATCCAGAAAAACATGGCACACATAAGTAATGGTGGAGCTCGGGGTGTGTTGGCTCAGCAAGATGGGAGTTGTAGTTTGGGGGCAATGATAGGGATGATGGGAGTTGTAGTTCACCCACACCCAAAGAAACTTCCCCAATCCTGCACTGGGACCCACCTCTTGGAAGATCTGGGTGAGCTCCTGGTCACAGTCCTGGAAATGCAGGCGCATGTCGAGGGTGTTGGTGGTCAGGACCAGGCAGCCGGAGGGCGCAAGGACACGCTCTGCCTCCCGCATGAACCGCGGTATGTCGAACCAATGCGCTGCTGTGAAGGAGGTGAGAAGGTCCACTGACCCGTCCGCAAAGGGGAGCTCTTCCGCCGGGCAGGCCCTAGGGTGGGGAGAGGGGGGGGGGATCAAGCCATTGACCAAGGGGCTTGCGATTGAGGGGACCGCGCAAATCAGCCCCCTCTATATGCATGGCTAGGCCTGAAAATAGGAGCCCAAAATTGCCTTCTGTACTCATGTAGAAGTCTAGAAATAGGAGTCAAAACTACCATGTATACTCATAGACAAGCCTGGAAACATGACACAAAAACAAGGGCTGGGCTGGGAGCACAGCTGGTTAATCACTAGATGACATAAATCACTGCCAACCAAAAGGTAACATGTTCGAAGCCCGAGTCGGGATTGAGCTCCCGATTGTTAAATAGCCCAGCTTACTGTTCACCTAAGCTGTGCTGTGAATAGAGAAATTAGGGACCGCTTAAAGGTTAATTTATGACACCATAAAAATGCCAGAAATGCTACGATGAAAAGGTTCGGCGTCATAGTGGATGAAGCGACAGCTCCTCCCTGTGGCCAAATCGAGCAACCTCCAGAATATAAATACTGTAAGCAAATAAATAAATAAACCGTATACCCCAGGCCTCGGCCAACTTCGGCCCTCCCTCCAGGTGTTTTGTGTTGCTACTAGGGGTTTACAACAGGCTTTTTCTAAGTAACAGGGAGGAGCAGAACCCTTTCTATTACAGCTACCACAAGTATTAACTGTGTTATCTGCTTCAGAATATAACAAGGCACTAACTTTGCAAGCTTTGAGCTTTGCATTTGATGGCTCATTTTGAGCTGTTGCTGGGAGTGGTTATGCAGCATCCTGAACCTGAAGCCATTTGGAGTGCCAAGGAAACTGCTTGTTCATGGCAAGATAAGGACATTCTTCTGATAACTAAGTAGAGAGACTGTAATACTTTTGCTATATGTTTGCATATCGTTGTGAAAAGAAGAAGACTCACTGGAGATATTGTTTGTTGTATATTGGTGAGAACAATTCTTCTGTTTTGCTTTGTGTTTTTGACCTACACTGAATAGAATTGAATGGGCCAGAGTGAAGAGAGAGGGGGCCGGGGGACAGTTCCACCTTGTCTCCTGCGCTATGTCAATAATATAATATAATATATTGTATATACGGAGCCCCCGGTGGCGCAGTGTGTTAAAGCGCTGAGCTGCTAAGCTTGTTGACCAAAAGGTCACAGGTTCGATTCCGGGGAGCGGCGTGAGCTTCCGCTGTCAGCCCTAGCTTCTGCCAACCTAGCAGTTCGAAAACATGCAAATGTGAGTAGATCAATAGGTACCGCTCCGGCAGGAAGGGCTTCTGCCAACCTAGCAGTTGGAAAACATGCAAATGTGAGTAGATCAATACTAAGGTAAGGTAAGGTAAGGGCGCTCCATGCAGTCATGCCGGCCACATGACCTTGCAGGTGTCTATGGACAACGCCGGATCTTCGGCTTGAAATGGAGATGAGCACCAACCCCCAGAGTCAGACATGACTGGACTTAATGTCAGGGGACAACCTTTACCTTTTATTGTATTTACATATAATATTTATAATATTATAATGTTATACAATATAATACAAATAATAATAATATATTATAATTATATATTTTATATTACATTTATTTATTTACAGTTCTTATATTCCGCCCTTCTCACCCCGCAGGGGACTCAGGGCGGATTACAGTAAATACGTATATGGCAAACATTCAATGCCAGTTTGACAAACAACATTTAACAGACAAAGGCTATTTAACTTTTTTTCTGGCCGCCGGGGAGCTGCTGCTTTTCATCGTCCATCAACGACACCGATGAAGTTCTTCCGCATTCCACATTCCCCGGAGTCTTCTTTCTTTATGGCCTCATAAATTAGTTAAATTTAGCCTCCCACACAAGGTGGTACCTTATTTTCCTACTTGACAGAAGCAACTGTCTTTCGGGTTGCAAAGGTCGACAATGGGCTACACAATGGCTGGACACCCACTCCAGCCCGGGCTGGCTTCGAACTCATGACCTTTTGGTCAGAGTGATCTTAATGCAGCTGACACTCAGCCAGCTGCGCCACAATCCCGGTGCAAATTACAAATGATATTACAATATAATGGTATAGTACAATATAGGTAAAGGTAAAGGTAGTCCCCTGACATTAAGTCCAGTCATGTCTGCCTCTGGGGTGTGGGGCTCATCTCCATTTCTAAGCCGAAGAGCCAGCGTTGTCCGTAGACATCTCCAAGGTCATGTGCCCGGCATGACTGCATGGAGCGCCATTAGTACAATATAGCACAATATAGTAATGTATAATACTGATATTGTACTACTACTGCTACTACTACTATTACTAATAATAATAATAAGCCTTTATTTATACCCCGCTACCATCTCCCGAAGGACTCGGTGCGGCTTACAAGAGGCCGAGCCCAAATATATCAGTAAAACAACAACAACAATACAGACAATAAATAAAATCATAAACAAAGCAGTAAAAATTAACAATAACACCATGACGCATTAAAAACCTGTGGCAGGGCCAAATGTAGTAATTAAAAATTTAAAAATAATGCTGGGCCAGGTGACATATAACTAGGATAGGTATTTGGAGTGGGATGGAGCAAGCAGACAATCCTAGATCACTAGTAAAGTGCATTTAGGGACACATTGTTTAGGGTTTATACCCCGCTAATATCCTAATAATATAATATATCGCATGTATATATATCTTGTAAGCCGCTCTGAGTCCCATTCGGGGTGAGAAGGGCAGCATATAAATGTCGTAAATAAATAAATAAAATTTTGTTTCTACTTAAAGCAACAGACTCATGCGTATTTTTTGGGTTTTTATCACACTGAGAGTAAAAGGAGCTGAGGCATTCTGCAGGCTACTAACGCTACTCTGGCATTTTGGACTTCAACTCCCACAATCCCTTAGAGCCTACCTGTTGCTAGGAATTGTGGGAGTTGAAGTCCAAAACACCTGGAAGTCAGAAGTGCGCCCAGGCGTGGTATATATTCCTACATAAGCCTGGAAGTATGAGCTTATGACTCATGTCTAAGCTTGGAGATAAGTGTGAACCAAGCTCTTTCTTTGGTACTTACTGGTAGGAGACGTTGTCCGGGTGTGGGGCCTGCTGTGCCTCCTTGACCTGGGCCGGGCTGACGTCCGTCCCCACTACTTTTCGGAAGCGTGGGGCCAGCAGGAGGGTCCCTTGGCCGGAGCCACAGCCCACGTCCAGCGCCAGGCCGAAGGCACCCCCCTGGGTAGGGAAAGAAAATGCAAGAGTCGAACCAGAGGAGCCTGGGGGAACCCTCGAACGGGGGAAGGGGCCCCAGAGAGGCCACCCAGTCCCACCCCAGGGTCCCCTTCCCCTGCCAAAAACAACTCAGAAGCTTTCCTTGGAGGATTCTGGAAGAAGTGGGAGGGACCCCTAGGGGCCACCCAGTCCCACCCCCTTCCGCTCCAGCCAGGCAGGACACTGGAATTATCAATTATTAACCATGATTAACAATTATTAACTATTATTATTAGTAGCATAAAGTTGGAAGACACCCCAAGGGCCATCCAGTCTGACCCCCTTCAGTCCTATGTCTTCCAACTCTAGGATTCTATGATTCCCCCAGACATTGAAAGTGCAGGCCAAGGGTCTGGAGAACAATCCCTATGAGGAATGGCTTGAAGAGCTGGGCATATTTAGTCTGCAGAAGAGAAGGCTGGGAGGAGACATGATAGCAATGTATAAATGAGAAGGGATCAGGCTTCCTTTCTTCTGCTGCCCTGGAGACTAGGACGCAATGGCTACAAACTACAGTCAATGAAGGAGATTCCACCTGAACATGAGGAAGAACTTTCTGACTGTGTGAGAGACCTGTTCAGCAGTGGAACTCTCTGCGGTGGAGACCCCTTCTTTGGAAGCTTTGAAGCAGAGGCTGGATGGCCATCTGTGTGGGGTGCTTTGAAGGTGATTTTCCTGCTTCTTGGCAGAATGGGTTTGAATGGATGTCCCACTAAGTCTCTTCCAACTCTATGATTCTATGATTTCCCCAGGCAGGAAGCAGCCAGATCTTGAAACTGCAGGCCATCCAATGCTAAATCAAGGTGGCCAATTGAAAAATTCACAGCTACCTCAAGCATTCAAGAGTTTTCTTTCTCCCACCCTGGACATCATTACACAGGGATATAGATAAACCCATCTTGCCTCGTTTCCAACAGACCACACAACTAACCTCACAACAGACCTCATAATTTTGCTTCTAAAGTGTTGCTAAAGTTCTGGTGGTGAACATTTCAGAACTCTAACAAAACTTCCAAAATTCAATTATTATTTCCTTATTTGAGATTTTTATGACAGAACCTATTAGGAACTGTTGTTTGTAATTAAATTTTGAACACTTTGTTAGAGTTCTGAAATTTTCACCACCAGAACTTTAGCCACACTCTAGAAGCAAAGCACCAACTTTAGCAACACTTTAAAACCAATGCACCAATATTAGCAATACTTTAAATTCAAAGCACCAACTTTAGCAACACTTTAGAAGCAAAGCACCTTTAGCGACACTTTCGAAGCATTGCACCAACTTCAGCAACATTTTAGAAGTAATGCACCAGCATTGGCAACACTTTAGAAGCAAAGCATCAACTTTAGCAATGCTTTGGAAGCAAAGCACCAACTTTAGCGACACTTTAGAAGCAAAGCACCAACTTTAGCGACACTTTAGAAGCAAAGCACCAACTTTAGCGACACTTTAGAAGCAAAGCACCAACTTTAGCAACACTTTAGAAACAAAGCACCAACTTGAGCGACACTTTAGAAACAAAGCACCAACTTGAGCGACACTTTAGAAGCAAAGCACCAACTTTAGTGACACTTTAGAAGCAAAGCACCAACTTTAGCGACACTTTAGAACAGTAGTTCTCAACCAGGAGTCCCCAGATGTTTTTGGCTTTCAACTCCCAGAAATCCTAACAGCTGGTAAACTGGCTGGGATTTCTGGGAGTTGCCCAGGTTGAGAACCACTGCTTTAGAAGCAAAGCACCAACTTTAGCAACACTTTAGAAGCAATGCACCAACTTCAGCAACACTTTAGAAGCAAAGCACCAACTTTAGTGATACTTTAGAAGCAATCCACCAACTTTAGCAACACTTTGGAAGCAAAGCACCAACTTCAGCAACACTTTAGAAGCAAAGCACCAACTTTAGCGACACTTTAGAAGCAAAGCAACAAACTTTAGCAACACTAGAAGCAAAGCACCAACTTTAGCAACACTTTGGAAGCAAAGCACTAACTTTAGCAACACTTTGGAAGCAAAAGAACCAACTTTAGCAACACTTTGGAAGCAAAGCACCAACTTTAGCAACGCTTTCAAAGCAAAAGCACCAACTTTAGCGACACTTAGAAGCAAAGCACCAACTTTAGCGACACTTTAGAAGCAAAGCACCAACTTTAGCGACACTTTAGAAGCAAAGCACCAACTTTAGCAACAATTTAGAAACAAAGCACCGACTTTAGCAACGCTTTAGAAGCAATGCACCAACTTTAGCAACACTTTAGAAGCAATGCACCAACTTTAGCAACACTTTAGAAACAAAGCACCAACTTTAGCAACACTTTAGAAGCAATGCACCAACTTTAGCAACACTTGGAAGCAAAGCACCAGCGCCCCCTAGTTTTGTAAGTACTTTCGAACCATAGATTGCTCATGCCTACTCTCAACCTCTGAGGATGCCTTTAGCCAGAGATGTGGGCGAAATGTCAGGAGAGAATGCTTCTAGGACATGGCCAGGCAGCCTGGACAAACTCACAGCAACCCAGTGATTCCGGCCATGAAAGCTTTCGACAACACATTACTGTTATTATTATCATTATACAAATATTAATTATTAATATGATGATTAAAGTCCTAGAGCTGGAAGTCCTATAGTGGTCTTCTATGAGGATGACCTTCCCATATTAGAGAAGGACCTCCTTCTCAGCCCACCTGGCTGCTCTCTCTGTGTTGCTAGGCAGGATAGCGCCGCCTGGCAACCGCGACCCCGGCCAACCTTTACCTTTCGGTCCAGGTAGGAAAACACGGCCTTTTGCAAGGCTTCTTGGGGCGGGAAGCGGTATTTCTGGTACACACGCGCGTGGTCCTGCCCCTCGAACAAGCGCTCCGCCATCCTTCCTTCCTCCTTCCCTTCTCTCCCCGGGCGAACTACACCTCCCTATGAGGCCTGCCTGCTGCTGCCTCTTCCCAGCGAGGGCGGAAAACCCGGGCCGGACTCCTCCCCCTCACGGAACGGGTCCGGAAAGGCTGGAAAGCCACACGCCGCCGCTAGAGGCCGCCCTCTCTATGGGCCAGGCTCATTGACAGTGCTTGGCTTGGCCGCCAGGTGGTGTCTTCCTTTATGGCAGAGAGGGGTCAGGCTGGGTGGCCTTTAGGGATTCCTTCCAACTCCCAAGATATTATTGGTATGATTAGTATTAGGCAGGCTGGGTGACCCTCTGTCAGGAAGGATCAAACTGTGTCTCCCTTTATGGTAGACAGGGGTCAGATTGAGAGGCCTTTAGGGATCCCTTCCAACTCCAGGATATTATAGGTATGATTAGTATTTGGCAGAGGGTGGATGGCCCTCTGTCGGGAGGAATCAAACAGTGTCTCCCTTTATGGTAGAAAGGGGTCAGATTGGGCAGCCTTTAGGGATCCCTTCCAACTCCAGGATATTATTAGTATGATTAGTATTAAGCCGAGGCTGGATGGCCCTCTGTCGGGAGGGATTGAACAGTGTCTCCCTTTATGGTAGAAAGGGGTCAGATTGGGCGGACTTTAGGGATCCCTTCCAACTCCAGGATATTATTGGTATGGTTAGTATTAGGCAGAGGCTGGGTGGCCCTCTGTTGGGAGGGATCAAACAGTGTCTCGCTTTATGGTAGAAAGGTGTCAGATTGGGGGGCCTTTAGGGATCCCTTCCAACTCCAGGATATTATTGGTATGGTTAGTATTAAGCAGAGGCTGGGTGGCCCTCTGTCGGGAGGGATCGAACAGTGTCTCCCTTTATGGTAGAAAGAGGTCAGATTGGGCAGCCTTTAGGGATTCCTTCCAACTCCAGGATATTATTGGTATGGTTAGTATAAAGTAGATGCTGGATGGCCCTCTGTCGGGAGGGATTGAATGGTGTCTCCCTTTATGGTAGGAAGAGGTCAGATTGGGCGGCCTTTAGGGATTCCTTCCAACTCCAGGATATTATTGGTATGGTTAGTATAAAGCAGAGGCTGGATGGGCCTCTGTTGGGAGGGATAATAATAATAATAATAATAATAATAATAATAATAATAATAATAATCTTTATTTATACCCCGCAACTATCCCCCCGATGGGGACTCAGAGCGGCTTACATGAAGCCAAGCCCGAACAACAAATTACAATAAAATAAAACCGAAAACGCAAACAATAAACAACAACAACACAATTATATATAACATGTGATAACATAACAATATAAAACAAACAAACAAAACAATCGGCACAATCACTATGACAATGACAATGAGGGATCGAACAGTGTCTCCCTTTATGGTAGAAAGGGGTCAGATTGGGTGGCCTTTAGGGATTCTTTCCAACTCCAGGATATTATTGGTATGATTAGTATTTGGCAGAGGCTGGATGGCCTTCTGTCGGGAGGGATCAAACAGTGTCTCCCTTTATGGTAGAAAGGGGCCAGACTGGGTGGCCTTTAGGGATCCCTTCCAACTCCAGGATATTATTGGTATGATTAGTATTAGGCAGAGGCTGGATGGGCCTCTGTCGGGAGAGATAATAATAATAATAATAATAATAATAATAATAATAATAATAATCTTTATTTATACCCCGCAACCATCCCCTCGATGGGGACTTGGAGCGGCTTACATGAGGCCAAGCCTGAACAACAAATTAAATAAAATAATACCGAAAATGCAAACAATAAACAACAACAACACAATTACATAGAACATGTGATAACATAACAATATAAAACAAATAAACAAACAAAAACAATAGGCACAATCACAATGACAATGAGGGATCGAACAGTGTCTCCCTTTATGGTAGAAAGGGGTCAGATTGGGTGGCCTTTAGGGATTCCTTCCAACTCCAGGATGTTATTGATATAATTAGTATTAAGCAGATGCTGGGTGGCCCTCTGTCGGGAGGGATTAAAAGGGGTCAGATTGGGTGGACTTTAGGGATTCCTTCCAACTCCAGGATATTATTGGTATGGTTAGTATTAAGCAGATGCTGAATGGCCCTCTGTCGGGAGAGATCGAACAATGTCTTCCCTTATGGCAGAAAGGGGCCAGACTGGGTGGCCTTTAGGGATCCTTTCCAACTCCTCATGCTCGGGTGGAATCTCTTTTCTTATAGTTTGAAGCCATTGCTCCACTGTGTCCTAGTCTCCAGCTTACTCTCTCCTCCCTCGTATTTATACATGGCCTTCATCATGTCTCCTCTCAGCCTTCTCTTCTTCAGGCAAAACATGCCCAGTTCTTTCAACCGCTCCTCATAGGGTTTGTCCTCCAGACCCTTGATCATTTGAGTCGCCCTCCTCTGGATACTCAAACCAGGAAAAGAAAATTGTGACTTGCTGACGTACAGGTCCTTATTTAGCTGATATGGTTGAGATAATGGGTATTGTTGTCCTAAGCAGGAGGACTCGGTTCTTCCCCTAGAGAACAAAGTCCCTTAAGTTTGCTGATCTAAAATGTCCTGGTACGGTGGCCTTTTGTTTCCTGGGCGTCTTGCCAATTGCTGGGCATTGGGCCAAAGGCTTTTTGATCCTTATCCGTTCCTTGTTGACTGATTGCCTGGGGAAAAATGTTATATTAATTATAATTTTCTTGTCCTTTTTCAGATAAGTTTTAAATAATTTCCAATCCGTCTTTGTCTTTGGTATTTATTGACACCTTGCTAGGAGTTAAGGTCAATTCCTCCATGTGATGCCGAATCCGCCCCAGACACCTGCTTTCCAGCTGATCTGACCAGCTGCAGGGAGTTCCACAGTTCCTGAATGCCCCATTGGGCTGACTCTGATGAAATGTGCCCCAGCAGCAGCCTCAACCAGGGACTCATGCGGTCACCCCATGAGGCCATTGGGGAGTGAATCTGACACATGGTTCCAGCCCTTGGAGGGAGTTGTAGTTCTCCAAGGATCAAAGGATAAGCTTCAGCCTCAGCAATGCAGGACTTCATATCTTGGCTCAGTGGAATCACCAGACCTCTCCTTGTGATTTTTTAACCTTTTTGCCCCCCATCAAGACTTTTTCTCCCTCTAAGGACATATTTTCATCAATGAATTCCCCCATAATGGACCATGGACATACCTTGAGTCATGATCAAGGCTCTTGTCAATTTCTCAATGGGATGCAGGGGGGAGGGATAAGTGGGCATATTTTCTGTATCATGATTTCTGTATTTTCATATTTCTCCCTGTGTATCTGACCTTTTTCTGACCCTTTTGCCTCATTCCCCTTTTTGAAAAATGTATAAAATATAAGGAAGCCACCCCTCCCTGGCCTTGGAAAGGAAGGAATTACCAGTTAAAAGAACCCTTATCAAAAGACACTCTTTGCATGGACAATAACAAAGGATTGTGACCTCTGGGCTCGGAGTTTTGGCCCCCAGAGGAAGTGACCATTTGGGAATTTTGATTATATCTCAATAGGACAGAGGGAATTTTAATTATATCTCAATAGGACAGAGCCTTTTAAATTTGGAAAGCCGCACCTCATCCTAATCTGTCACCCATTCAATCTCTCTCACTAAAACATCCACCAAAGTTCCCCCCATTGTTCTTATATTGCAGCATGGAAGAAAATCCGATTATGGCAGTATCGCCAAGCATCAATGTTTATTGGAGCCACTCAAGTACAATAATAAGGCCGCCTCTTAGGCCTTCAGGACTCGCCGGCCCCTTGGACATTACTTAAATTCCTTAATCCACTAAAGAATGCATTGTTTTCCCTTGTCCCGTCTCCCTCTCTCCTGATTCGTCAAAGTACTGAGGTGGCAGAGGCTCAGTGATTGACTCAGGCGCTCAAGAGGCAGGCGAGCTCCTCCCAGCTGTAGAGGGGCTAGCCAATCACCATCAAGCCGGGCGGAGGGCGGGGAGCGGAAAATTCAAAGTTGACAACTCTGTTACTGTATAAAAACGGCCTTTATTTGTGTACATGCTTATGCTTAGCTTGGTGAAATATTGCGGCTTTGCATCCTTTCCAGCTGGATCGCAATAAAATCATCTCGGTGGCACTTCCTTCAACTTTGGTGAGATTCTTTTTGGGAACTTAGGAAAAAATCTTTTAAAATTGCAGCTTCCCTTGCTCACCACTGTAGCGAGCCCTTTTTGGTGGGTCTGCAGGGTCTCTTCTTCAGGGTCAGACCCTTTTAAATTCTTCCTCGACTTCACCACCAGGGGCTCCCAATATAATATAATATATACATACAATATATTATATTATTAAAACATCACTGACTGAGATGTCATGAGTTCGAAGCCAGACCGGGTCAGAGTGAGCTCCTAAACATTAATAGTCTAGCTTACTGTTGACCTATGCAGCCTGAAAGACAGTTGCATCTGTCAAGTAGGAAATTAAGGTACATTAAAACATCACTGACCAAGAGATCGAGTTCAAAGCCAGACCGGGTTGGAGTGAGCTCCCAAACATTAATAGTCTAGCTGGCTATTGACCTATGCAGCCTAAAAGACAGTTGAATCTGTCCAGTAGGAAATTTAGGTACATTAAATCATCACTGACCGAGAGGTCATGAGTTCGAAACCAGCTGGGTCGACGTGAGGTCCCAACCTCTAGCTTGCTGTTGACCTATGCCACCCAAAAGACAGTTGCATCTGTCAAGTACTCCATCAAGGACTCAGTGTCACAAGTGGACAGTGAAGTGGCAGCTCCCCCTGTGGCCGGAAACTGGAAAAGGAGCCTCTGCTGACATCATGTTGACTCAGCCAATCACAGCAAAGCCGGGTCCAACTGGGAGTGGTGGGTTATTTTGAACCTTAAAAATTTATAAATGTGCTTGTTTTACTGTGTAGTGTATCTCAGCTCTCTTTAGAAGGCTACTGCAAGCTGTCATCAATTCAGCTGATTTTAAACAAAATCTTTGGTGACTTTGGAGTGATTTTCTGACCAAATTTGTGTAGCTTGTTGTCGACCTTTGCAGCCAGAAAGACAGTTGCATCTGTCAAGTAGGAAATTTAAGTACCACTTTGTGGGAAGGCTATGACTTGGCCACGGTAGTCCACGCCCTGGTTACATCCCGTTTAGACTACTGCAACGCTCTCTACGTGGGGTTGCCTTTGAAGACGGCTCGGAAGCTCCAATTAGTCCAACGGTCGGCAGCCATGATACTAACAGGAGCGGAGCGCAGGGAGCATACAACCCCCCTGTTGCGCCAACTCCACTGGCTACCGATTTGCTACCGGGCTCAATTCAAAGTGCTGGCGTTGGCCTTTAAAGCCCTAAACGGTTCCGGCCCAAGCTACCTATCCGACCGCATCTCTGCCTATGAACCCACCAGGACTTTGAGATCTTCCGGGGAGACCCTGCTCTCGATCCCGCCTGCTTCTCAAGCTCGGCTGGCGGGGACGAGAGATAGGGCCTTCTCGGTGGTGGCTCCTCGGCTGTGGAACGCCCTTCCTACGGACATTAGACTAGCACCATCTCTAATGGTATTCCGCAAAAAGGTGAAGACCTGGATGTTTGTGCAGGCGTTGAGTAATTTAGTGCAATCTGGTAATGGAACATAGGAATGGAACAATGGACGACGAACCTGGACTACGCTTGGATGATGAGAAGATTGGGTACGGTTGTTTTTTGTAATAATTGTGCATTGTAATTGCTTATTTGGTAATTTATGGATAATGTGTTAAGTCAATTGTTATATGTTGTATGGAACCACTGCTGTTTCTACTGTTTTTACTGTTTGTGAACCGCTGTGAGTCGCCTTCGGGCTTGAGATACAGCGGTATATAAGCAAAGTAAATAAATAAATGAGGCCATAAAATAAATATATATATATATGACAAGGTATAAAATATATAATACTGTATTTAATATATATAATATAATAATATAATAGGTTGTAAATGAATATATATATATATATATATAATATGACAAAATATAAAATATATAGTAATATTATTATATATATATACTTATATTATTATAATTGTATACATATAATATTATTAGGATAGCACAATAATAATATATTATTATATATTATTATATTGTATTGTACCAATATATTGCACTATTATTAGTAATATTACAGGCAACATGTAATATATAATTATTATATTATTATACTGTAGTATATCATTATACCATATCATTATGGGAGAACTCTGTGCCAAGTTTGGTTCAACTTCATCGTTGGTGGGGTTCAGAATGCTCTTGGATGGTAGGTGAACTATACATCCCAGCAACTACAACTCCCAAATGACAAAATCAATTTTTTTGTGTGAAGGACATACATTGGGTTGTTAGGTGTCTTGTGTCCAAATTTGGTGTCAATTCGTCCAGTGGTTTTTGAGTTCTGTTAATCCCACAAACTAACATTACATTTTTATTTATATATACAAGACTAGATAGATAGATAGATAATTATATTATGAGTACTTTGCGACAGTCGAGAAGGAAGCTTCGCGGCAGCAAAGAAACTGGCGGCAGTTGGTGAGGTGAGAGGAGAGGCAGGGAAGGGGCGTGGCTTCCTTTTCCACGCCCTCTTTCAACCCTGGAGGCGGGGCTTCGTGCTTGTTGTCCGAAGGGAAGCGAGTCGTAACCCTTGGCGCTGCCTCTCGCTTTGCGGCGGAGTTTTGCGACACCCGAGGCGAAAGTGGCGTCTTGTGTTGAGAAGGCCGCTCTCGCTGAGACAGGCTGGAAAGGAAGGGGCGTGGCTTCTTTTTCCACGCCCCCTTTTAACCCTGGAGGCGGGGCTTTGAGATTGTCCAAAGGGAGCGAGTCGTTGAGAATGCCACTCTCGCTGAGAAAGGCCGCCAAGGAAGGGGCGTGGTTTCCCTTTTCCACGCCCCCTTTCAACCCTGGAGGTGGGGCTTCGTGCTTGTTATCCAAAGGGGGCGAGTCGTTGAGAATGCCGCGCTCGCTGAGAAAGGCCGTCAAGGGAGGGGCGTGGCTTCCTTTTTCCACACCCTCTTTCAACCCTGGAGGCGGGGCTTCGTGCTTGTTGTCCAAAGGGCGAGAGTCGCAACTCTTGGCGCCGCCTCTCGCTTTGCGGCGGGGTTTTGCGACACCCGAGGCGAAAGTGGCGGCTTGTGTTGAGGAGAAGGTCGCGCTCGCTGAGACAGGCTGGCAAGGGAGGGGCGTGGCTTCCTTTTCCACGCCCCTTTTCAATCCCTGGAGGCGGGGCTTCGTGCTTGTTATCCAAAGGGAGCGAGTCGTTGAGAAGACCGCGCTCGCTGAGAAAGGCCGGCAAGAGAGGGGCGTGGCTTACTTTTCCACGCCCCCTTTTCAATCCCTGGAGGCGGGGCTTCGTAATTGTTGCCCAATAGGAGCGAGTCGCAATCCTTGGCGCTGCCTCTCGCTTTGCGGCAGGAGTTTGCGACACCTGCTTGTGTTGAGGAGAAGGCCGCGGTCGCTGAGACAGGCCGGCAAGGGAGGGACGTGGCTTCCTTTTCCACGCCCCCTTCTTCACCCCTGGAGGCGGGGCTTCGTGCTTGTTGTCCAAAGGGAGAGAGTCGTAACACTCGGCGCCGCCTCTCGCTTTGCGGCGGGGCTTTGCGACACCCGAGGCGGAAGTGGCGGCTTGTGCTGAGGAGAAGGCCGCGGGGTCTTCTCTGAGAGGAAGGAAGAGGAGGCGAGGGAGGAGGATGGGGGGCGCGGGAAGCCGGGGCGAGGAGGAGGAAGAGGAGGAGGAGGAAGAGGATGAGGGAGGAGGAGGAGGAGGAGGGGGCCGAGGCGCAGAGCTGCTCCCCCCGCCGGGCGGGCCCGAGGCCTCTCCGGCCGTGGCGCCTCTTCCTCCCGCGCCATGGCCGCTTCGCTCTCCCCCGGCGGGGCCTGTGCCTGGGGCGGCGGTGCTGCTGGGCCAGGCGCGGCTGCGGGAGGAGGCGGCGGCCCGCCTGCGCCACGCCACCCCGCCGGCGCCTCGGCTCCCGCTCCTGGCCCGCCACCACGCCGCCCTGGCGCGCTGCCTCGAGGACTGCCTCGCCCGAGGGGAGCCCGCCGTCTCCCGACAGCACCTCGCCCACGCCCTCCGCGCCGCCGCCGCCCGGCAGCAGGCCCACCCGGAGGAGCAGCAGCCCCACGGGGAACAGCAGGAGGCCGACGAGGAGGAGGAGGTCAGTGCAAAGAACACCAGGGATAGCACCCAGCCTGACTCTTTCCCCACAGTTAGGAATTGTGGGAGTTGGAGTCCAAAACGCCTGAAGTTGGCCCAGGCCTGGACTATGTTGTTATTGTTCATTCGTTCAGCCGCTTCCAACTCTTCGTGACCTCATGGACCAGCCCACCCCAGAGCTCCCTGTCAGCCGTTACCACCCCCAGCTCCTTCAGAATCAAGCCAGTCACTTCAAGGATGCCATCCATCCATCTTGCCCTTGATCAGCCCCTCATCCTTTTTCCTTCCATTTTCCCCAACATCATTCTCTTCTCCCTTGTGCCGGCAGGACTGAAGACCGACAGGTCACAGGTTCGAATCCAGGGAGAGGCGAATGAGCTCCCTCTATCAGCTCCAGCTCCTTATGCAGGGACATGAGAGAAGCCTCCCACAAGGATGATAAAACCATCAAATCATCCTGCCGTCCCCTGGGCAACGTCCTTGCAGACGGCCAATTCTCTCACACCAGGAGTCACTCCTGACACGACAAAAAAAAAATCTGTTCCCCAAGCTTTCCTTTCTTCTCATGATGTGGCTCAAGTACTTCATCTTTCCTCTAATATTCCGCCTACCTGCGTGACCGCATTTCTGTGCACGAACCCACACAATCTCTTTGATCATCTGGAGAGGCCCTGCTCGCGCTCCCACCTTCTTCGCAGGTGGGACAAGGGAGAGGGCCTTCTCGGTGGTGGCCCCCCGACTCTGGAACTCACTTCCCAAGGACATCAGACATGCCCCAACTCTGGCAGTCTTTAGGAGGAGCCTGAAAACGTGGTTCTTACAGTGTGCCTTCCCAGAATAAGGAAAACTCTCAGCAATATGCACTCAGAATGCACTTTACCACTGATTTAGGACTGACTGCGCTCCCTCATCTCTCTTTGAAAAACCCTATTCTAGTTATATCCTACCTTGTTCATGCCCAGCATTATTTTTTAAATTATTTATTATTATTTATTTATTTACTTCATTTATATACTGTTTTTTCATCCCTTCATTTATATACTGCTTTTCTCAGCCCTTATTACATTTGGCCTGGCCATAGGTTTTTTTTTAAATGCGTGTGTGCTACTGTTATTGTTTATTGTTTATTTTTTCTTTATGTGATTTATATTAATTGTTTTGTATTGATTGTTTTTGTTATTGCCTTTGTTTACTGATGTACTGTGGGCTTGGCCTCATGTAAGCCGCACCGAGTCTCTTGGGGAGATGGTAGCGAGATATAAAGTATTATTATTATTATTATTATTATTCCCTCCAGTGTGCAGTCGGGCTTTATTTCTTGAAGTATGGACTGGTTGGATCTTCTCGCAGTCCAAGGCACTCTCAGAACTTTCCTCCAGCACCACAGTTCAAAAGCATCTATCTTCCTTTGCTCAGTCTCCCTTACGGTCCAGCTCTCACATTCATAGGTTACTATGGGGAATAACATTGCTTTAACTATGTGGATCTTTGTTGCCAGTGTGATGTCTCTACTCTTCAATATTTTATCAAGATTGGACAGTGCTCTCGTTCCAAGAAGTAAGCGTCTCCTGATTTCCTGGCTGCAGTCTGCGTCTGCAGTACTTTGCACCTAGAAATACAAAGTCTGTCACTACCTCCACATTTTCTCCCTCTATTTCCCAGTTATCAATCATTCTTGTTGCCATAATCTGGATTTTTTTTAATGTTTAGCTTCAACCCATCTTTTGTGCTTTCTTCTTTCACCTTGATTAGAAGGCTCCTCAGCTCTTCCTCACTTTCAGCCATCAAAGTGGTGTCATCTGCATATCTAAGGTTGTTAATGTTTCTTCCAGCAATTTTCACCCCAGCCTGGCATTTATCAAGCCCCACACATTGCATGATATGTTCTGCATACAAGTTGAATAGCTTGGGTGAGAGTATACAACCCTGCCGTACGCCTTTCCCAATCTTGAACCAGTCTGTTGTTCCGTGGTCAGTTCTGATTGTTGCTACTTGGTCCTTATACACATTCCTCAGGAGAGAGACAAGGTGATTTGGTATGCCCATACCATCAAGAACTTGCCACAATTTATTATACTCCACACAGTCAAAGGCTTTAGAATAGTTAATAAATCAGAAACAGATGTTTTTCTGAAACATCCTGCCTTTCTCCATTATCCAGCATCCGGATATTGGCAATGTAGTCTCTCGTTCCTCTGCCTTTTCTAAACCCAGCTTGTCCATCTGGCCACTCTCTCTCCATGTCTTTCTGGAGTCTTCCTTGCAGGATCTTGAGTATTACCTTACTGGCATGAGAAATAAGTGCCATCGTACGAAAGTTTGAGCAATCTTTAGCATTTCCCTGGACTATAGTCAATCATAATATTTATTTATAGCACTTCTACCACGCCCTTTTCAGCCCGAAGGCGACTCAGGGCAGCATAGAGACTGGCAACAATTAGATGCCACAACACACATACACCAATTAAAAACAGTTAAAACACGTAATAAAATCCATATAAAATCAATTAAACTATAATAATTAATGTCTTCCAGTTCAACTCGTTATCCTTTTGCATAGTTAAGCCATTCAGTGTTCGTTATTTCATAATCCTGTGTTTATCTGGTAACACGAAGGTTCCAAAAGCTAGGTTTTCACTCTTTTCTGAAAGGTCAGGAGGGAGGAGGCCAATCTAATATCCCTGGGAAGGGAGTTCCACAGCTGAGGGGCCACCACTGAGAAGGCCCTGTCTCTCGTCCCCACCAAACATGCCTGCGAGGATAAAGTACTACTATAGTCAATAATGATATAGTGATAGAATAGGGAAAATTCCCAGGGAAAGGGTCATCATAACACTATTGATAGGATAGTATAGTGTGTGGAGTTTTGGCGGTGGGTCCGTAGGTGACCCTAGAGACCTATTCTTGATCTGCATGTTCTTCCACAGTGAGGACATCGACCTCCAGGTGGAAATCAGTCCTGATGGGTTGGTTTGAGGTGCCTTCTTCCTCTTGACATATTTCTCCCCATTTCACCCTCCATTCATGCCTCTTCCAATTCTACAGCACTGTTGGTCACAGCTGACTTCAAGTAACGCTGTAATATAATATTATCCTATATATGAAATAGCAAAGCAGTGTTTGTTTTGGGACGCGTTTAGAAATGTTTCTAAGCAGAATCCATGGATATGAAGGACTAACTGTATTCAAAACTGTGCTTGCGGTGGAGAAGTGTAGCTGGAGTCAACCGTTGGGTCTGAAGAAACAGTGGGAAATGCAAGTTGGAGCAAACAAAGTGTAGTTAAGCTGTCAAATTTGCTACCATAAATGGGGGGGTGGGTGGGAACCACCTGTGTGAAAGTTCAGGTATGCCCCATGAAGGAAGCATCACAATTTTGAAATCAGCCCAATGTCGCTGCTGTGTCAGGCCTTTCTGCATTGCTGCCTGTAGGTTGTTTTGCACGACGGGTTCATCTTTGTTGATAAATGCTGCTTGGAAATGGAAGTGGATGATATGTTGGCCTCAAAGGTCAGAAATGACTCAGTCCCTGGCCTAAGAGCTCCAGGGTGGAGTTTGGTTACATTGCTTCTCCAAACAGGGCAACTTAATAGAGATCGTTGTGGGCCTTGTTTGTTGTGTGAGACTGTCATTCCGTTTGAAAAATCAACAAAGAATATTTCAAGGGAGCTTCCGTGTAGGAGAGAGAGCGAAGGGCGGGGACTTTGTCTTCTAATTGCATTGCCTATTAATTTGGCCAGGGAAAGGGACAGTAAAAGTATAATATATAATATATTGTATATAACATTGATAATGTTATAATGCAATACAATGTACTACTACTAATAATAATATATTATAATTATATATTTTATATTACATGTAATGTTACTAATAATATTACTGTATGATGGTATAGTACAGTATCTATATAAATAAAAATGTAATGTTCGTTTGTGGGATTAACATAACTCAAAAACCACTGGATGAATTGACACCAGAGTTGGACACAATACACTGATCAGGCCTTTGAGTGACCGTCACTCATAAAAACACTGAAAATACAGCAGAAGGGACTTAAAAAGCCAAAAAAGCAAAAAGACGCTACAGCGCATGTGCAAAAATGACTCCCCTGGCAAACAAAACACACAGTAGCATATCCACACTGTCTTCCGTATTACAGTTCCCAGCATCCCCTGGACCAGGCCCTTTAGGAGAGGAGGAGGATCCAAATGAACTGCTTCCAAGATGCAAGCTTTCTTCTCTTTGGATTTCTTTGAGAGCATCCCAATCCCTGCATATTTCCAATTTCCTATTCCTGGATTGCAACTCCCAGCAATCCTCCAGATAGATAGATTGGATATAGATAGATAGGTTTTAATTGGCATGGTTAATTTATTGTTTAATGAATTTGTATATTGTATGTACTGTATGTGTGTGTATGTATGTGTGTGTGTGTGTGTGTATATATATACACGTCACATCCCGCCTTGACTACTGCAATGCGCTCTACGTGGGGCTGCCCTTGAAGACGGCCCGGAAGCTTCAGCTAGTCCAGCGCGCGGCAGCCATGTTACTAACAGGAGCGGGACGCAGGGAGCACACACGCCCTTGTTGTTCCAGCTCCACTGGCTGCCGATCTGCTACCGGGCCCAATTCAAGGTGCTGGTGTTGGCCTACAAAGCCCTAAACGGTTCCGGCCCAAAATACCTGTCTGACCGCATCTCGGCCTATGAGCCCATGAGGACTTTGAGATCGTCTGGGGAGGCCCTTCTCTCGATCCCGCCTGCCTCACAGGCACGCCTGGCGGGGACGAGGGATAGGGCCTTCTCGGTGGTGGCCCCCCGGCTGTGGAACACCCTCCCTGTAGACATCAGACAGGCGCCCTCCCTTATGACATTCCGCAAGAGACTAAAGACGTGGTTGTTTGAGAAGGCGTTTGATTAAGTGCTACAACAATTGGCAATGATGATTGGAACGGAATATGGAAAACGAGATTGGATTGTGATTCTATGATGAGACACCGCGAATGATTTAGTGTAATTGTAGTATTGATAATGATGTTGTTATTGTTGTTTGTGATATTGCCTTTATTGTAAATTGTTTTTATATGTTGTACACCGCCGTGAGTCGCCCTAGGGCTGAGAACGGCGGTCTACAAATGCAGTAAATAAAATAAATAAATAAATAAATAAATATATCTTGTAAGCTGCTCAGAGTCCCCTTTGGGGTGAGAAGGGCAGCATATAAATGTTGTTAATAAATAATAAATAAATGTTTTTAATGATTTTTACTGTAATTTTTGATTATTTATATGCTTATAGCATCATATGATGCTTGTGTGAGGCTGCCCTGAGTTCCCCTTTAGGGGGAGAAGGGTGGGGTAGAAATGCATGAAATAAATAATAATAATAAATAGGTAGGTAGATCGATCAGAAGGACTGCTGGGAGTTGCAGTCCAAGAATAGGTAGAGAAGGAAGAAAGGGGAGAAAGAGGAAGGGAAATAAAAGGGAAGGAAGGAGAGAAGGAAAGACTAAAAGGGAAGGAAGGAGAGAAAGAAAGGAGAGAAAGAGGGAGGGAAGGTTGGCCACAGCAACATGTTGCGGTTACAGCTAGTAGTAATATATAATACCAATATTGTGCTATGGTAATAATATAATATATTGTATTTACATATAAGTCGCTCTGAGCCCCTTTCGGGATGAGAGAGGGTGGCATATATATGTTGCAAATAAGTAAATAAAATAAAAGTGTAAGCACCACTTTTTTCAGTTCTCAGGTTCATGGGTGCTTTTAGTCTGTGGCCAATGTGGCATTTTGGGACAGTGAGTGCTATTGCTCTCAGGAAAAAAACTGCAAACTGGTGAAAAAGTGGCCACAAGAGATGTCCGCTGCATTTAAATATTTGGAAGGGTGTCATATTGAGAAGGAAGACAGCCTGTTTTCTGCTGCTAGAGAGTGGGACATGGAGCAGTGGAGCCAATTTGCAGGAAAAGAGGATCCATCTAAACTTTAGGAAAAAACTTCCTGATGGGCAGAGCTGTTTGGCAGTGGGATGTGCTTTTGTGAAGGGAAAGACAGGCACCGTCCTTCCTGGTCATTCTGAGCGCTGACCCTGTGTTCTTCTTCTTCTTTGTTGCAGGCCTTTGCCCAGTTCGACACGGAGGGCGATGGCATGGTGGATGTGGAGAACATGTTGGAGATGCTCAAGAGCTCCGGTGGTGGCACTCTACACGGGGAACTCGGCCATGTGATCAGGCAGCTCCAGGCATGTTCGCTTGTCCCAGGTAAGAACAGGGCAGGGATTCGTTTGGAGACAGGCACAATGAGTCCTGCCTTGCATAAGGCCGAGGCTTCAGTGCTGAGCGAGAGAACCTGCGTTTTGCATGAGAACGGGTCAGGCTTCTGGCTGCTGTAACAATTCCAGTCATTGGCCTTTTAGGGTTGAGTATCCAAACAAGATGAGTTATCAAGTCCATAAAGAACAGCAGTTGTTTCCTTTTGGGTGGGGCTCAAATCAACTCGCTCATTATGTTCATATAACATGGCCGTTCTTGCTCTAGTTAGCTTGCTATTATCAGACTTGTTCTGGTTCGTTTGCCATGTTTGAACCAATGTCAGCTCGTATTAGAGTCCATGGTACGGAAATGGAAATGAAAGTAATTTGTATGATGTATGGCGGCTTTGTGCCTCAGAAATTAGATGGTGCAGAATATTTATTTGTTTATTTACATACAAATTCAACTTCAGAACAAACCTTGTTCGTAACCTGGTGACCGCCTGTACACCCAAAATTTATTTATTTATTTATTTATTTATTTATTTACAGTACTTATATTCCACCCATCTCACCTGCAGGGGACTCAAGGCGAATTACAATGCAGATATACATGGCAAACATTCAATGCCATAGACACACAACATATATAGATAGACACACAGAGGCTATTTAACTTTCCAGCTTCATGAGGGTACGTTCAAATTCCGGCCACCGCGGGAGCTGTCGCTTCACCGTCCACTTGTGACACAGATGGAACGCTTCCTCATTCTTTTGCACGCTGCTGGAGAGTTTTATGGCGTCATAAATTAGTTAAATTAGCCTCCCTGCATAAGCAGAATCTAAATTTCTTAGTTAGAAGATGCAGCTGTCTTTCGGGCTACAAAGGTCGACAGCAAGCTAGACAAATGGTTGGGAGTTACTCCGACCCGTCCACTTGTGACACTCATTCTTTTGAATGCTGCCAGAGAGTTTTATGGCTTCGTAAATTAGTTAAATTAGCCTCCCTGCATAAGCGGTACCTACATTTCCTACTTGACATATGCAACTGTCTTTCGGGGAAAAAAATCTGCAAAGGTCGACAGCAAGCTAGACAAATGGTCGGGAGTTTACTCCGACCCGGGTTGGCTTCGAACTCATGAACTTTCTTTCATTCAGTAGTGATTTTAATGCAGCTGACTCCCAACCAGCTGTGCCACAACCCGGTCCTATCAAATTGTTCACTGAAAATGACCATTTTTATCATGCTGTACTGAAATTTATCTATGACTTTCTTGTCATGGCTTGCAATGAAAATGATTAAGCCACGAGGATAACAATAAAGGGAAGTTCCTAAGAAAGTTGCATGTCATGACAGGAGGAACAGGCTATGTCACAAGATTTGGAAAAAAAATCTGTTCCTGGTTTGAAAGTGTCATTTCCTGTTTAATTGTGTGGTACTTACTTTGAAAGGAGTTGCTGTACTCCAGAAACTTCATTGTTTTTGCGTCTGCCACAAACTAGGTTGCAGTTGGTTGAATTCTATGAAATACTCATTAAAAACTAATGTGAAATGTGCTGCAAAGGGGTTTTTGGTTGTATATTTTTTTCATGTTTTTATGATACAACCAATTAAGAAATGATATGGACAACCCAGGAACAAAAATGGTGTGACATAGTGTGCCATGCTATGCGTGCTTGGTGGATCGCCGTATCATGATGATGGCCAGGATTCCAAATCCCAGGGCATGGGAAAGATGATCTCGATTCACTGATCTAAGCCCCTCCCTCCCTCCCTCTTTCTAGGTTTTATAGACATATTTTCTGACTCAAATGAGCGCCTTAGCCATCATGCTTCCACGATCCTGCGCTTCCTGCACCGGCACCGTATTGCCAGCACGGCCATCCCATATCCCGTTTTGGAATACTTCAACAATATTTGCACTATGCGTTCTTCGGTCCTGAGGGATTCTTTAGACCGGCTGCTCCTCAAAGAAAAGGGTAAAAGATACTCATTTTTTTTTGTCCTTGGCTTTTGATTCACTTTCTCCCACCTTTATTCTATTGCTGTATATACCTGAGTATAAGCCTAGTTTTTCAGCCTTTTTTTAGGCTGAAAAAGTCCCCCTCAGTTTATACTCGAGTCAAGGTCATTTATTATTTTATACTATTTATTATTATTATTACATTTATTATTTTACTTTATTATTGTTATTATTACATATAATATTTTACTTTATTGTTATTTATTATTATTATTACATTTATCATTTTACTCTATTATTATTACATTTATTATTTTACTTTATTATTGTTAGTATTACATTTCCATTATTATTATTATTACATTTATTATTTTACTCTATTACTATTATTATTACATTCATTATTGTTTATTTTTATTTAAAGCATTTATATTCCGCCCTTCTCACCCCGAAGGGGACTCAGGACAGAGCACAACATATAAACAGCAAACATTCAATGCCAAAACATATTATACCATACACATACAAAAGCATTAAAATCACATATCTCGACATTAAAATCCACTAGTTAAAACTGTCTCAACAACCACCATTATTTCACTCTATTATTATAATTACATGTATTATTTTACTCTATTATTATATTTATTATTTTACTTTATTATTGTTAGTATTACATGTATTATTTTACTTTATTATTACTTTTATTACATTTCTTATTTTCTTATCTTTATTATTATTATTATTATTATTATTATTATTATTATTATTACTGGAATGTTAGAATAATGGTTTAATTAGAGTTGGACAGTCATATCTTTATTTACAGTATTCAAACACATTTAACCTCCTGATGCCTCAGTTAATGTAATTGCATTGGTATCTATTTTTATTTTGAAACTTACCTTTAGCTGCTGCATTTCCCACCCTCGGCTTAGACTCGTCAATCTGTTTTCCTAGGTTTTTTGTGGTAAAATTAGGTGCCTTGGCTTATATTCAGGTTGACTTATACTCAAGTATATATGGTAAGTCTCTTAAGCCATTCATCAAAAATGTGCATTGTTTACAGTGAACGCTGCAAAAGGAAAATCAGCTTGCAAATGCAGATTTTTTATCAGTAAATGCTTGGAGCTCCCCGGTACTTGTGGTCAGCCTCCCATCTGTGTATTCACCAGGGCTGACCTTGCTCCTGAGATCAGCTGGGATCTAGGGTCTACGTATTATAGCTCTATTGGCTTTTCTCAGTGTTGACTGCTTCCTTTTTAACCTGTGCGTTTCAAGGAAAGGGAAAAGGATCTCTGCGTAAGAACCCTAGTGCAGACTGCCCGAGGGCACAACTTGAAATCACAAGAATGCCTCTGCTCTTGACTCCTTCTTTCTGATCCTTTGGCAGAGTGTCCCGGTGACTTGAGTGGGAAGCAGGAGTTAGACAAATTCAAATCCGTCTCCAAGTGCTACACCCACATAGAAACCTCTTCCAATTCCGAAGATATCGGCAAAATGACCAACGGAGAGACTTCCTCCTACTGGCAGTCCGACGGAAGCGCCCGGTTGCATTGGATACGGTAAGCGGAAGCGGGGAGCTCCAAGAATAAGGATAGCAATCGTAATAATAAACGTTATTTGTTACCCGCCTCTCCTAATGGCCTGAATTTATACTGTGTATACTTGAGTATAAGCCTAGTTTTTCAGCCCCTTTTTTAGGCTGAAAAAGTCCCCCTTGGGTTATACTTGAGTCAAGGTTATTTATTATTTTATTCTGTTATCATTATTATTTGCATTACATTTATTATTTTACTCTATTATTATTACATTTATTATTTTACATTATTGTTATTATCACATTTATTATTTTACTCTATTACTTTTATTAATACATTTCCATTATTTCACTCTATTATTATTACTTTTATTATTTTACTCTATTTATTGTTATTATTACATTTATTATGTTAACTCTATTACTGTTATTACATTTCCGCCATCATCATTATTATCGTTACATTTATTATTTACTCTGTTACTGCTGTTATTAGATTTCCATTATTATTATTATTATTACATTTATTATTTTACTCTATTATTACTGTTATTAATACATTTCCATTATTTAACTATATTATTATTTTTATTACATTTATCATTTTACATTATTGTTGTAATTCTTACATTTATTATTTTAATCCATTTATTGTTATTACATTTAGTATTTTACTCTATTATTACTGTTATTAATACATTTCCATTATTATTACTCTATTATTATTATTATTATTATTATTATTATTATTACATTTATCATTTTACATTATTGTTGTAATTCTTGCATTTATTATTTTAATCTATTGTTATTACATTTATTATTTTACTCCATTTATTGTTGTTATTACATTTATTAATTTACTCTGTTATTACTGTTATTAATGCATTCCAATTGTTTTACTCTATTATTATTATTATTATTATTATTATTATTAGGACATTGATTATTTTACTCTCTTTATTATTATTGGAAGGATATGCAAGCACATTTACATTGAAGAAGGTTAGAATAACGTTTTAATCAGAGTTGGGCAGTCTTATCTTAAATTACAGTTTTATGTAAATATTCAAAAACATTTAACCTGCTGATGCCTCAATTAATATAATTTTATTGGTATCTATTTTTATTTTGAAATGTACCAGTAGCGGCTGCATTTCCCACACTCGGCTTATACTCAAGTCAATCAATTTTCCCAGTTTTTAAAGCTGAAATTAGATGCCTTTGGTTATATTCAGGTCGGCTTATACTGGAATATATACGGCATATACATCAAAACACACCAATATAAAAATACTCCAAGTACAGGGTGCAAAGAGCAATGTATAGTGGCAGTAGAATGTAATCCAAATCTCAGAGAAAGCGAGAGAAAGTCACTCCAAAAGGCTTTTTGCTGTTCAGTTGCTTTCGTTCATAGTTGCTTAACATTTTTATTTGCTTGCTGCTGTCTTCCTCCTCCCAGTTTAAAGATGAAGCCGGATGTCGTTCTGAGGCACCTCTCGATCGCCGTCGCGGCCAACGACCAGAGCTACATGCCGCAGCAAGTCACGGTGGCGGTGGGAAGGACTGCCAGCAATCTCCAGGAGGTCCGCGATGTTCACATTCCCAGCAATGTTACTGGATATGTGACATTGTTGGAAAACGCTAACATTAGTCAGATGTGTGAGTCAATAACAACACAGTTGGTGTTTCTTCTTATTTTTCCCCTAAAATGATAAATATTTTATCTGTATGGCTTGGAAGGGAAGGGAACTCAAAAGACAGCTTGACATAAACATCTGCATCGGAGGAAGTGCTCCCTTCTTTCCTCGGGAGTCTTTCTTCTTGGGGATTGTAGCTGTTTGTTTAATTAAATATTATTATTATATTATATATTATATAGTTATATAAATTTATATAATTATATTATAATTATTATGTTATTGTTGTTTTATTAAGTATTAACATATTATATAAAATATAGTTATATAAATTTTAAAAACTATGTTATAATTAAGCATTATTATTGTATTATATCTATATAATATAATATATAAATTTATATAATTATAACTAAGTATTATTTTGTTATTGTTGTTTTATTAACAACATTATTATTGTGGGAGTTGAAGTCCAAAACACCTGGAGGGCCAAAGTTGGCCCATGCCTGGACTATAGTATTACCTCATCCTATAGTGTTCTGAAGGCCCCCTGGCGGCACAGTGGGTGAAACTACTGAACTTGCTGACCGAAAGGTCAGCAGTTCGATTCCAGGGAGCGGGGTGAGCTCCCGCTGTCAGCCCCAACTTCTGCCAATCTATCAGTTCAAAAACATGCAAATGTGAGTAGATCAATAGGTACTGCTCTGGCGGGAAGGTAATGGCGCTCCATGCAGTCATGCTGTCCACATGACCTTGGAGGTGTCTGTGGACAATGCTGGCTCTTCGGCTTAGAAATTGAGATGAGCACCAGAGTTGGACACGACTGGACTTAATGTCAGGGGACAACCTTTACCTTTACTATGGCTTCCAAATACCGGCTGAGATCTTTTGGCACGGCACCCAAATTATTATTTCATAGAATCCTAGAGTTGGAAGAGACTTCATGGGCCATCCAGTCCAACCCCATTCTGCCAAGAAGCAGGAAAATTGCATTCAAAGCACCCCGACAGATGGCCATCCAACCTCTTCCTTCTTCTGTCTGAAAAAGAGACTCAGCGGGCCATAATCAAAGCAATACAATTCGAAACCTAAAAATATACAAACATTAACCTAGAATTAAATATTCACCATACTAGAAATGAAGCCATCTGTCCTCCACATTCACTGGGGTCGGGAGTGCCAGACACTTATGAAAGTGAAACCCACCCATAAAGAAATAAGCCTTTATTTTTATACTTCTTCCAGGGCTTCCAGCACGACTCCGGGCTTGGCTTTTGGATATATTTTTGCATTTGAGAACCTAAATTTTCCACTATGCACTTAGGCATTGACCATAGAGTTGTCCTGGAGGACCTAGACAGGATGTAGTGACAGGCAGGTCCCTACGTTACAAACAAGAGCGGTTCTCTAGGTTTGTTTTTATGTTGAATTGTTATGCAAGGTGGAACAAGGACGTTTTGTAGCTTTGGATCCCGTTGGGGAGGGTTCACACCCTGGTGGTTTGTGCCTCTGTTCAGATGATTTCAGTGTACTTTCTGTCCCTTGAAATCACCATGTCACAAAATTTGAAAAATGTTCTCTTCCTGGTTTGAAATGTTGCTTCCTGTTTCCTTTTTGCGGTCTTTCTTTTGAAAGCAATTGTTTGTTTTTATGGCTGCTACAAATTCTGTTGAATTGGTTGAGACTCTATGCTGAGAGATTGATTGAAAAAGTATCACAAAATGTGCTATAGGAGGAGGAAGATGTCCCTCCCTCCTGGATAAACAAAGTTTGGGCAGTTTAATACACTTTCCCTGTGTGTTTTAGGATAGAACCAATTAAGAATTGACATTGATAAGGCATAGTGTGACATTCATCATGTAATTGCATTTTGCAAAACTTGGCTTGTTCTGAAAACAAGGATTGGGGCTAAAGCTTTTCCCCATGACAACCATAACTCTCCCAAGAGTGGGTTTCCCTTCCTTCCGAGGGGCAGCTTTCTCTCACTTCCTGTTGTCTCAGCCCCGTTCTTAACTGTGAGTTTTTTGTAAGTCAAATGTTTGTAACTCGGGGACGGCCTGTAATTAAATCCACCAATAATCAAATTATCTTCTGGTAAGATTCTGACTGTAAATAGTGTTGGATGTATTGACCTCTGAACGTCTGCTTGAAGGCCCAAAAGTAAATGTATTTATTTATTTATTTATTTACTTACGACATTTATATGCTGCCCTGCTCACCCCGAAGGGGACTCAGAGCAGCTTACAAGATATATATATACATACAATATATTATATTATTAGCATTGTACAATATCAGTGTTATATATTACTATATTGTACTACACCATTATATTGTAATATTATTAGTAACATTACATGCAATCTATATAAATAAAAATGTAATCTCTGTTTGTGGAATAAACATAATTTAAAAACCACTGGATAAATTGACACAAAATTTGGACACTACACCCCTAACAGACCAACGAGTGGCCATCACTCATAACCCTTCCCCCCAAAAAAGAAAACAATGGAAAACCCTAAAAAGCTAAATGACAATACAGAAAAAAGAGAAGGAAGAGGGAGGGAAGAAAGGGGAAAAAGAAAAAGAAAGAAAGAAAGAAAGAGGGAGGGAGGGAAAGAAAGAAAGAAGGAAAGGGAGAAAAGGAGAGAAGAAAGGAGAAGGAAGAAAAGAAAAAAGGAAGAAGGAAAGGTGTAGGAAAGAAAAAAAGGGAGGAAGGAGGGAGTGAAGGAGGGAGGGAAGAAGGAGAGAAAAGAGGGAAGAAAAAGAAAGAGAAGGAAGGATGGAAACAAAAAGAAAAGGAAGGAAGGAGAGAAGAGAAGGAAAAAGGAGAGAAGGAAGAAAGGAAAGAAAGAAGGAAGGAAGGATGGAAGCAAGAAAAAGGAAGGAAGGAGAGGGAGGGAAAAAGGAGAAAAAATTGAAGGTACTGCAATATAGAAGTAGTTGGGAAAACAAAAAAGCGAAGGATGAAGAAAGAGTTAGAGAAGAGACGGAAAGGATACATAAGTAAAGAATAAAATGGACGGAATGAAAGATGTAGCAAATAAAGAGGTGAAAGAATGAGTTAAGATTGAGGAACAAGTAAAAGATAATGTGATTTAAGGAAAGGAAACAAACATGAAGGAAGGCAAGATTTATAGAATAACGGAAGGAGAAGGAAAGAAAAAGGAAGAAGGAAAGAAGAGAACAAAAAGGAAAGAAGGAGGAAAGAGGGAGAAGAAGAAGAAAGGAGAAGGATGGAAAACAAAAAGGGAAGGAAGGAAAGAGGTAGAGAAGGAAGGAAGGAGAGAAGGAAAGAAGAAAAGGGAAGGAGGGAAAGAAGGAGAGAAAGAGGGAGGGAAGGTTGGCCACAGCAATACGTGGTGAGTACAGCTAGTATAATATATATATAATTATAATATTGTGTTATTATAATTAGTATTGTAAATGAAGTGTGCTACCTCAGTCAGCTCCGAAGCCCGGAGCGGCAAATATTTATTGCCAAATTACTAAAACTACAAAACTATATACAGGAGTAGCAAAAGACACATCTTTTCCTTCTAGCTGTACATCGTTGGAAGAGAACATATGCTTATCTGATTCTCTGGAATGCATCGAAGTAACAGGAACTCTTCAAAGTTACGCTCTAGGCATCAAGCACAGCTCTGTGCATTTAATCCTTACACTGCATTACATTTCTACACCACACACAGAGTTTAAACTACAAACAATATTTCATTACATTTAAACCAAAGTACTAACAAAAGGAATATCCTTTTTGCCTTGTCTTTTATTCATGTTGTATTTTGAAATGTTCATATAACTGGTCAAAAAAATTAATAATTATTATTAAATTATTTTCTGGCAAGCGCTGACTGTAGAATCCTAGTGCAGAACTGGGGGTTTCCTCGGGAAGTTGTGGTCCTCCGTCTTGGCCCGTGACACCATCAGGGATATCTCTTTGAGCTTTGAGTCTGGCCCACATTTGAAGCAGTGACCTTTCTTTGGGTCCCTTTTTGACAGACGTGCAGATCAACATCAAGCGCTGCCTTAGCGACGGCTGCGATACCCGAATCCACGGCCTCCGGGCTGTTGGCTTCCAAAGAGTGAAGAAAGGCGGCGTCTCGGTCTGCGATGCTTCGGCCATCTGGTGCTGGTCGCTGTTGACTTCCTTGGTCACCGCCTCCATGGAGACCAACCCGCCCATCGTCCACGCCATCCTGCAAAACACGCAGTGAGTCCCTTCCCCTCTCAGCATTGGCCTGCACTGGGTGGGCGCAGCTTGTCTGTTCTTTCTCGTGCTTTTGTAAACACTTGTATCAGGTTTTCCAAGACTCCATCTGGAGAATTAGCCCTATGAGGAGCGGCTTAAAGAGCTGGGCATGTTTAGCCTGCAGATGAGAAGGCTGAGAGGAGACACGATAGCCATGTATAAATATATGAGAGGAAGTCATAGGGAGGAGGGGGGAGCAGGCTTGTTTTCTGCTGCCCTGGAGATGCAATGAAGTTATGGCTTCAAACTACAGGAAAGGAGATACATGCAAAGATACAGAATGGGGGACAATGCCTGGCTCGAGAGCAGTACGTGTGAAAAAGATCTTGGAGTCCTCGTGGACAACAAGTTAAACATGAGCCAACAATGTGCTGTGGCGGCAAAAAAAACCAATGGGATTTTGGCCTTCATCAATAGGAGCATAGTGTCTAGATCTAGGGAAGTCATGCTACTCATGCTCTATTCCGGTTTGGTTAGACCGCACCTGGAGTATTGTGTCCAATTCTGGGCACCACAATTCAAGAGAGATATTGACAAGCTGGGATGTGTCCAGAGCAGGGTGACTAAAATGATCAAGGGTCTGGAGAATAAGCCCTATGAGGAGCGGCTTAAGGAGTTGGGCATGTTTAGCCTGAAGAAGAGAAGGCTGAGAGGAGATATGATAACCATGTATAAATATGTGAGAGGAAGCCACAGGGAGCGAGCTTGTTTTCTGCTTCCTTGGAGACTAGGACGCGGAACAATGGCTTCAAACTACAAGAGAGGAGATTCCATCTGAACACGAGGAAGAACTTCCTGACTGTGAGAGCCGTTCAGCGGTGGAACTCTCTGCCCCGGAGTGTGGTGGAGGCTCCTTCTTTGGAAGCTTTTAAGCAGAGGCTGGATGGCCATCTGTCAGGGGTGATTTGAATGCAACATTCCTGCTTCTTGGCAGGGGGTTGGACTGGGTGGCCCATGAGGTCTCTTCCAACTCTTTGATTCTATGATTCTATCTGAACCTGAAGAATAACTTCTTGACTGTGAGAGCTGTTTATCAGTGGAACTCTCTGCCCCGGAGTGTGGTGGAGGCTTTGAAACAGAGGCTGGGATGGCCATCTGTTGGGGGTGCTTTGAAGGCACAACCTGTGAGGATGTTCGCCATAGATGCAGGCAAAATGTCCGGAGAGAATGTATTGCCGTAGGCTTTCATGGCCGGAATCACTGGGTTGTTGTAGGTTTTTTCTGGCTGTATGGCCATGTTCTAGAGGCATTTTCTCCTGACGTTTCACCTGCATCTATGGCAAGCATCCTCAGAGGTAGTGAGGATGCTTACCATAGATGCAGGCGAAATGTCAGGAGAGCATGCTTCTAGAAGATGGCCACACAGCCCGAAAAACCTACAACAATCCAGTGATTCCGGCCATGAAAGCCTTCGACAATGCTTTGAAGGCGATTATCCTGCTTCTTAGCAGAAGGGGGTTGGACTGGATGGCCCTTGGGGTCTCTCCCACCTCTCCTTTCCTATTCCGAGGCTCAAGGAAGGTTCTGGGTCTAATGGGCTCCTCTTCTCTGCCCTCCAGGAAGGCCCTGCAGCACATGCCGCCGCTCTCTTTGTCGCCCGGCTCCACCGACTTCTCCAGTTTCTTGTCTCCCAATGTTTTGGAAGAAGTGGACAGTTTCCTGCTGGGCATCACCAGGTACATCCCATCAATATTGTATTTCCCTGAAAATAACACTGGCTCCTGTATTAACTTTTTCTCCAGAAGACGCATTAGGGCTTATTTTCAAGAGATGTCTTATTGGTTCATGCCCAAATTTTGGGTGTACAGGCGGTTTCCAGGTTATGAACAAGGTTGCTTCTGTAGGTTTGTTCTTAAGTTGAATTTGTATGTAAGTCGATACAGGTACATTTTGTAAGTGTAACTACAGCCAAAAATATGTAAGTTTTAGCTTTGGATAGTGTAGGGAAGTTTGAACATGCCTGTGGGGTTTCCTTTGCTGCCTGTGCCTCTGTTCAAAGGATTTCCCCTCCCTTCCTGTCCCTGGGATCATTGGATTTTGGAAAATTTGGCTTGTTGTGGAGACAAGGATTGGGGAGAAAGCTTCAGCGGATGGGACAGCCTGTCTTTTGTTTTCCATTATGTTGTAAACTCCGCTAGGCTCCATGCAAGGCAGGTTATCAGCTCAGTAAGAAGTGTATTGGAGTCGAATGCTGTGCAAAGAGGGAACGTGGGCACACTTGTATCCTTGTCTCATCCTCATGATCGAACGCAGGGCTCCTTCCTCCCTTCCTCAAATGCCGTCTCCCTTTCTCCAGCCGCTACGTATCTTCTGAGGTGGAGCTGACCTTGCTGGCCTTCTCCTTGGCCCGAGGGAGCGTCTCCAAAGTGTTGAGCGCCCTCTGCGCCATTGCCGAGCACCTGGAAACGTCCTACGAGGCCGCTTCCCTGATCACCTCCATGGCCGCCGTCCGGCAGAACCTGCTCTACAAATACGGTAAATGGCCAGAGTAGGGTTGGATTCCCTTCCTCACAGAGGGTCCTCCATCTCCGCCCTTGTCCCAATGGTCTTGTCTGGTTTGGCAGGAGCCTCCCTACGACTGACTCTGCAAGCCTGCGACGTCAAAGGGAAGGAGGACAAGTCAGGGCCTGAGAACCTCCTGGTGGAGCCCTGGACGGGGGACGGTAAGCGCTCGGGGTCATCTGGACCCGATCCCAAAAGTCTGTCCATTTCCATTGTGGTCAATTCACGAGTCTTGCGTTTCTGTTCCAAGGCTTCCTGACGGAGACCGGGAAGAGAAGAGCCAGCATCATCCTTGCGAGTGGAACCGAAGCAGCCTTGCAGGTCACGCAAATCAGAATCAAGGTCTGGATGATCCTGTCAATAGTAATAATAATAATGATGATAATAATGATAATAATAATAAATAATAGACAAGGCCTCGAGAGAAAAGGGTGGGGTGGAAATAATGACGATAATAATAATAATAATAATAATAATAATAATAATAATAATAATAATAACAACAACAACAATAGTAATTGACAAGACCTTGGGGAAATAATAATAATGATAATAGAAATGATGATGGTAATAATAACAACAACAGTAATAATATACAAGGCCTTGAGAGAGAAAGGTGGGGTGGAAATAATGACAATGATAATAATTATAATTACAACAGTAATTGACAAGACCTTGGGGAAACAATAATAATGATATTAATAAAAATGATGATAATAATCACAACAACAATAATAATAATATACAAGGCCGAGAGAGAGAAAGGTGGGGTGGAAATAATAATAATAATAATGATAACAGCAGTAATTGACAAGACCTCAAGTGGAAATAATAATAATAATAGAAATGATAACCACAACAACAGTACAACAACAACAATAGACAAGGCCTCAGGGGGAGAAAGGTGGGGTACAAATAACGATAATACTAGTAACAACAATGACAACGCCGAGACAACAATAATATATAATAATAATAATAATAATAATAATAATAATAGACCAGGCCTCAGGAAGAGAAAGGCGGGGTGGAAATAATGATAATGATAATAACATTAGTAATTGACAAGACTTCAGGGGGAAATAATAATAATAATAATAATAATAATAATAATAATAGAAATGATAATCTCAACAACAACAACAACAATAAGGCCTCAGGGGGAGAAAGGTGGGGTAGAAATAATAATAATAATAGTCACAGTAGTAATTGACAGGGCCTTAGGGGACAATAACGTTGATTGTGGGGTCGCGACATTAGGAACAGTATGTGTGTGTATATATGTTTGTATATGTGCCTATGTAGATGTGTATGTATGTACACATGTGTATAAGTGTATATTTGTGTGTGCGTGTGTATATGTATGTATGTGTGCCTGTGTAGATGTATATGTGTGTGTATGTGTATGTGTGTATATTTGTGTGTGCATATGTATATGTGTATGTATGTGTGCCTGCATATATCTGTTGTATATGTGTATGTGTGTATATGTGTGTGCATGTGTATATGTATATGTGTGTATATATATATGTGTGTGTGTGTGTGTTATGTATGAGTAATAACAATAATAAAAAAAACAAGGCCTCATCAGGGGGAGAAAGGCGGGGTAGAAATAATAATGGCAGCAACAAAGCAATAATAAGATGATAATAATACTAAAGAAGGTCACAGGGTGGAAAAGGTGAGGTAGAAATAATGACGACAACAACAATAACAAGAGCTACAAACTAACAACAACAACAATAATGATCTCGGGGGAGAATGTGGAGGAGTAGAAGTAATGATAATAATGACAACAACAGACCGATACATAATAGCAATAGTAATTGTATTAGTGGTATCTCCTTGTGGTTCGAGGCGGGGCACAATATTGTTTACAACAAAGAGACAGAACACAAGATACACCGAGTGAATGCAAAGGAAGGAAGCCAGCCGGGTGCCCACTCACTGTTGGGACCAGGGTTCAATTCTCTGCTTGGCTGTGCAAACCTATGAAGTGTCATTGGGTGCATCGGACACTCTCGGCCTTAGACAAACCCCATGGGAGGGTGCGCTGCAGTGGAAGGCACGCCACCATGATCCTGCTAAACCATGTGAGGTTTGCTGATAGCTTCCGTTGCGTGTGTGTTGTCCTTTGGGCCTGGGCTGCAACTTTGCTCTCCTCTTAGGTCCGGAGGGGAGCCATCGGGGCACGGTGCGGATTGGTCTTTGCCTACAACGACCCCTCATCCGAGAAGTTCCACGCAGAGGGACACTTCAAGCGATTCGAGAGTTATGACACGTGGAAGCCGGAAGACTTCCAGCAGTTTTTGAAAAACAGGTAAACTATTACATTTGGCCCGGCCATAGGTTTCTTAAATCCTTGCATGTTATTGTTTATATGTGAGTTATATTAATTGTATTGTTTTTTGATTGTTGCTTTTTGTTTTATTGATGTGTTGTTGGGCTTGACCTCATGTAAGCCACTCCGAGTCCCTTGGGGAGATGGTGGCGGGGTATAAATAAAACATCATCATCATCATCATTATTATTATTATTATGGGCCTTCTCCCTTTCCGAAAGCCTGAAGGCCTCTGGGTTGTTCTCGCTCAGCATTGCCTTTGTAGAGAGGCATTTCATAGAATAGGTTTTTAATACAAATCTTTTAGAGTGTGTTTGTAGCATTTTTGCTATGTTTGTGTGTTTGGACTGTGCTGTGAAATAAAATTATTATTATTACTAGCTGTACCTGCCACACGGTGCTGTGGCCAACCTTCCCTCCCCCTTTCTCTCCTCTTTTCTTTCTCTCCTTCCTTCCTTCCTTCCTTCCTTCCTTCCTTCCTTCCTTCCTTCCTTCCTTCCTTCCTTCCTTCCTTCCATTTTGTTCCTTCCTTCCATTTTGTTCCTTTCCTTCTCTCATTCCTTCCTTCCCTCTTCCCTTCCTTCCCCTCTTTTCTTTCCCTTTCTCTTTCTCCCTGTTCTTCCTTCTCTACCTATTCTTGGACTGCAACTCTCAGCAGTCCTCCTGATCGATCGATCTACCTACCTACCTATTTATCTCCTTCTAATCTATCTATCTGGAGGATTGCTGGGAGTTGCAGTCCGGGAATAGGAAATTGGAAATAGGCAGGGATTGGGGTGCTCTCAAAGAGATCCAAGGAGAAAAAAGCTTGCATCTTGGAAGCAGTGCATTTGGATCTCTCTCCTCTCCTAAAAGGCCTGGTCTAGTTGATGCTGGGAGCTGTAGTCCAGAAGAGAGTGTGGATATGTTATTGTGTGTTTTGTTTGCCAGGGGAAGTCATTTTGTGCATGCGCTGTAGCATCTTTTTGGCTTTTTAAGTCCCTTCCACTGTGTTTATGTGCTTTGTGTGTGCATATGTGTGTGTGTACATATGTATATATGTGTGCTTGCATATATATGTGTGTGTTTTTGGGCATGCGTTGCAATGTTTTGTTTTGTTTTTTGCTTTTTAAGTCTCTTCTGCTGTATTTTTCAGTGTTTTATGAGTGATGGTCACTCCGTGGCCTGATAGGCTTCTGGGCTCCTCTGGGTGGGCTTTAGGTTTGTTCCCGTTGCTTCAGATCCACGTTTTGGGGGGTCCCTGATTTCTCTCTCTTTGGGTGATCTTTTCAGGAGCAGCACTCCCTTCGATGAATTGGGAGAAGACGATCCCGTGGGCTGGTTTGAAACAGAAGAGGAATGGGACGAAGTGGAGGTGAAAATGCAGCCCTGCCGGATTGCCAAGGTGAGGCGTTTTGGCCCTGTTCGTCTTGATTTGCAGGACAAAAATGGACACCAACCTAGTGTAATGAGTGTCCACGGTGCCTCTTTGTCCCCTGGATTGGTTGCCCAAAAGGCGCGCTCTATAGAGAAAAACCAACCATTGCTGCAAAGTGAGGACTTTAGATGCCACCACCATAATAATAATAATAATAATAATAATAATAATAATAATAATAATAATAATACAACAACACACAGTCCTAAACGCTTGGGAAGTGTTTGATACAAAATCCAGCATATATCTCTCGTTTGCTGTGTCACACTGTGTTTTTGTGTCATAATAATAATAATAATAATGTGGTACTGCTGGTTGGGAGTCAGCTGCATTAAAAATCACTACTCACCGATAGATCATGAGTTTGAAGTCAGCCCGGGTCGGAGTAAGCTCCCGACCATTTGTCTAGCTTGCTGTCGACCTTTGCAGCCTGAAAGACAATTGCATCTGTAAAGTAGGAAATGTAGGTACCGCTTTATGCATGGAGGATAATTTACTGTATATACTCAAGTATAAGCCTAGTTTTTCAGTCCTTTTTTTAGGCGGAAAAAGTCTTCCCCGGCTTATACCTGAGTCAATATTATTTATTATTTTACTTTGTTGTTATTATTTTTATTACATTTATTATTTTATTATTGTTGTTGTTATTGTTACATTTATTATTTTACACTATTGTTACTGTTACATTTATTATTTTACTGTATTGTTATTATTACATTTATTATTTTACTGTATTGTTATTATATTTATTATTTTACTCTATTATTATTATTTTACTTTATTTATTATTATTGAGGGACATGTAAGCATATTTACATTGAAGAAGGTTAGAATAATGGTTTAATCAGAGTTGGACAGTCTTATCTTGAATTACAGTTTTATGTAAATATTCAAAAACATTTAACCGGCTGATGCCTAAATTAATATAATTTTATTGGTATCTATTTTTATTTTGAAATTCACCAGTAGCTGCTGCATTTCCCACCCTTGGCTTATACCCAAGTCAATACATTTTCCCAGTTTTTTGTGGTAAAATTAGGTGCCTCAGCTTATATTTGGGCCGGCTTATACTCGAGTATATACGGTGACTAATTTACGACGCCATTTATATTCTGCCCTTCTCACCCCGAAGTGGACTTAGAGAGGAGCACAGAACACACGCATGGCAAACATTCAATGCCGGGACATAAAATAAACTATCAATATACATAAACACTAAAACCAATGATCTCCACTTCAAAATCAATTGCTTAAACCATCTCAGTCAGCCATTTCCCTCACTTCCTGTTGTCTCAGCCCTGTTCTTAACTAAGCGTCATGTGTAAGTGGGATATTTGTGGCTTGGGGACTGGCCTGTGAAGCCAAACAGCCTTCCGGGGGTGGTCTGGCATCCAGGGTGACGGCAGTGCGTGTCTCTTCCCATCTAGTACCTGATGGTGAAATTCCTGTGGACACGGCAAGAGAAAGCGGAGCGTCTGGGAGTGCAAGGCCTGTCTGCCTTTGGCTACCTGCGCCCCTCCTCGACCGAGCCCGCCAGGAGCCTGGGCTGCCTGCAATGTCCCCGGCCAGAAGGGGGCGCTGCCGTCTGCGGGGTGACCCTCCTACTCAAGACCCTCGCCTTCGTCCAGCAGCTTGCACAGGATCTGGTGGGTTGGACCACTCTTGACTTCAACGAAAATAAACTAATAAATAGTCTATAGGCAAAATAAAACAAAAGAAAACCTCCCCAGTCTCCCAAGATAGGAAGGGAAGGGGTGGGAAGGGACGGGACAGGATGATAATGGACAGGACAGGGCAGTAAGGGATGGGATGGGATGGGATGGGATGGTAAGGGACAGGACGGTAAGGGACAAGATGGTGAGGGATGGGATGGGAAAGGACGGGACAGGATGGTAAGGTATAGGACAGGACTGTAAGGGACGGGATGGGATGGAGTGGTAAGGGAAGGGACGGGATGGTAAGGGGCGGGGCGGGACAGGACAAGATGGTGAGGGACGGGATGGGAAGGGACGGGACAGGATGGTAAGGGACAGGACGGGAAGGGACGGGATGGGATGGGGTGGTAAGGGACGGGGCAGGATGGTAAGGGACAGGAAGGGATGGGATGAGATGGTAAGGGACGGGACAGGACGGTAAGGGATAGGATGGGAAGGGACGGGGCAGGATGGGAAGGGACAGGACGGGAAGGGACAAGATGGTGAGGGATGGGATGGGAAGGGACGGGACAGGATGGTAAGGGACAGGACGGGAAGGGACGGGATGGGATGGGGTGGTAAGGGACGGGACAGGATGGTAAGGGATGGGATGGGAAGGGATGGGGCAGGATGGTAAGGGACAAGATGGTAAGGGACGGGACAGGATGGTAAGGGACGGGAAGGAACAGGACGGGAAGGGATGGGACAGGATGGTAAGGGACACGAAAGGGACGGGATGTTAAGGGACGGGAAGGGACAGCAAGGGACAGGATAGTAAGGGACAGGGTTAGGGAAGGGATAGAATGGGATGGTAAGGGACATGAAGGGACAGGATGGTAAGGGAAGGGATGGGAAGGGACTGGACCCGAGGGGACGAGATGGTAAGGGACGGGATGGGACCATGGATTCCCAAGAGGGAAGGAAGTGAGGGGTGGGGGGTCCCAAGATGGGAAGGAAAGGAGAGGAAAGGAAAAACGTCCACACTCCCAGGCTGGAAAGGAAAGGGAATGAGAAAATCCCCAGGAAAGGAAAGACTCTCAGGAAAGAAAAGGAAATGAAGGGAAGACTCCCAAGAACAGGCGGGAAAAGAAAGGGAAAACTCCCAAGATGGGGAGGGAATGAAAGGGAAGGTGCCAAGAGAAAGGGGAAATGCCCCAATTCCCAAGGCTCTTCTTTTTCTTTCCTCTCTTCCCCTGGCCACCCCACCATCAAAGGATGCTGATCCCACACTTTCAGAAGCTTTGCTCTAGAGTTGTAATGAAGTTCCTAATTTGAGTTTCTTTCAAAGTGCCTTGTGTTTGTGTCCATCTGTCTGTCTATGGCTCATGATGGGCTTCCTGATGTTCTTTTATGGATAGATGCCCTTAGTATTAATTTTGTTCTGGAAACTTTGGGCCGAGCTGTGTTTGCAACTTCCCCCCTTTCCAGGTTCAGAAGAGAGAAAGCGGCCTTCGCTACAGATCGTATTTGGACTTCTCAGGCCTGGATTTAAAGCTGTTTTGGGATTTCTATAGCAAGCTGCATGAAAGGTACGTTCCCACCAGTTATTGTAACGTTCCCATACCCAGCCACCCCAAATACTCCCAAATTGGGGCAGCTGAGATCATGAAATCCTTGCTTTTGATGTGCACGGCGTTGTTTCGTGTGCAAAATAATTAGAAACATGCTACATGAAACTGCTGCTGGGCTCTGCGTGGAATGGGATGTGTTCTGTGTTTCGATTGGTATCCCGCCCCCACAAGATGTCTCCTTCTGCTTTGGCCATTATTCCAGTCATCATTCTGGCCCAAAGCATTTGGGATAAGGGATGTCCAGTCCTGGGTGGCCATCTGTCAGGAGGGGTCGGATCGTGTCTTCTTGCCTGGCATAAGGGGGATGGACTGGATGGCCCCTCAGGGTCCCTTCCAACTTTGGGATTTTATTATTATTCATATTATTCTTACGATTAATATCCCTCCCCGTACTAAGTGGGGGCAGGATGGGCCTCTGTTGGGAGAGATCGGAGGGTGTCTTCCTGCCTGGCAGGAGGGGGATGGACTGGATACCCCCTTGGTGTCCCTTCCAGCTTTAGGATTGTAGAATTCTATGTTCAGAGGCTGGGTGGCCATCTGTCAGGAGGGGTTGTGTCATGTCTTCCTATCTGGCAGGAGGGGGATGGACTGGATGGCCCCTCGGGGTCCCTTCCAACTCTGGGAGTCTATTATTATTATTATTCATATTAATCTTACTATTAAAATTCCTACTACTACTAGTTGGGAGCAGGATGGGCCTCTGTTGGGAGAGATCGGATGTTGTCTTCCTGCCTGGCAGGAGGGGGATGGACTAGATGGTCCCTTGGAGTCCCTTCCAACTCTGGGCTTCTATTATTCATATTATTCTTACTCATACTAAGTGGGGACAGGATGGGCCTCTGTTGGGAGAAATCGGAGGGTGCCTTCTTGTCTAGTAGAAGGGGTGGACTGGATGCCCCCTTGGGGTCCCTTCCAGCTCTAGGATTTTAGGATTCTATGTTACAGAGGCTGGGTAGTCATCTGTCAGGAGGGGTCGTGTCATGTCTTCCTGCCTGGCAGGAGGGGGATGGACTGGATGGCCCCTTGGGGTCCTTTCCAACTATGGGATTCTATTATTATTCATATTATTCTTACTATTAATATTCCTCCTTGTACTAAGTGGGGCAGGATGGGCCTCTGTTGGGAGAGATCGGATATTGTCTTCCTGCCTGGCAGGAGAGGGATGGATTAGATGACCCTTTGGGGTCCCTTCCATCTCTGGGATTCTATTATTATTCTATTATTATTATTCATATTATTCTTACTATTAATATTCCTCTAAGTGGGGGCAGCTCTCACATCCTATGATTTTGTGGTATCAGAATGGTGTCCCATCCCATTCCCCCCCTACCCCCATGTTCCCTTTCCTTTGAGCTCTGTATCATTTAAAAGACAGGCTTCTAGCGCCATGTCTTCTTCCTCCTCCTCCTCCTCCTCCTCCTCCCGCAGTCCCCGCGAAGAGTGTGTCGAGGCCCAGACTGCGCTGCTGCGGCTTCTCCGGAGCTGCATCTCGGCATTCCCTTCCGAAGACGGAGCCCCCGAGTCTCAGGCGGGAGAGAAGGCAAAGGCAGAAGCCCAAGGCAACAGGGAGGCTGCGGAAGAGCTCTACCGGCACCTCTGCCAGGGTGAGTGCGGACAATGTGCCTCTCCCAGGGCAATAGGCTTAGGGCTGGATCAACACTGCCCTATGTCCCAGGATCTGATCCCAGATTACTTATTTATTTATTGACAGTATTTATATTCGGCCCTTCACACCCTGCAGGGAACTCAGGGCCGATCACAATGCACATATACATGGCAAATATTCAATGCCATAGACACACAACATATATAGGCAGAGACACAGATGCTATTTAACTTTCCAGCTTCATGAGGGTATGCATTTTGAATTCCGGCCACCGGGGGAGCTGTCACTTCACTGTTCACTTCTGACACTGATGGAGTACTTCCTCATTCTTTTGATGGTGCTGGAAAGTTTTATGGCGTTGTAAATTGGTTAAATTAGCTTCCTCGCATAAGCAGTACCTACATTTCCTACTTGACAGATGCAGCTGCAAAGGTCGACAGCAAGACAGACAAATGGTTGGGAGATTACTCCCACCCGGAGTAATAATAATAATTTTTGTCAAATGAAAATCTGTCGCAACCTTTTTCTGTTTCTTCACACGCCACATTCTCGCCCCAGTGAATTTGCGTCGATGGTTTCACCTGGTTGTTTCTGGGTCCTTTCTTGGATTGTGACTTTTGAATTTGAATTTTTATATTGTTTTGGACGCAGTTTTGTTTCTGGGTTCTGTTCCAAAATGGTTTTGTTTTCATGTCGAAGGGTGTTCCTACCTCTTTGCCAGACTTCTGGCTTATTTCTTTTGATATCTTTATATGCATTTCAGGTGTCTTCTTTGGAGCCAAATTGTCCACATTTCCTTTAAGATCTTGGCATAAGGTTCCTTTTGGTCCCAATTTCCGCATTTTTTGCATTCAGTCTTGCAGAACAGATTTCCCCCCCATTTTATCATTCATTCAGGTTCCAATGCCATAGATTTTGACACACTTTCGACATTGATGGGGTTGGGAGCTTAGGAAAATGCCAGGTTATTTTTTATTCAACCCCTGGGGTTGGTTCTTCCTTTTCTCAGTTGTGGACGGTGAGAGCGAGCACCCCTCCCTCCAGACCCTGAAGCAGGAAGTGAAGGACACCTTGCTCAACGGAGCCGCCATCTTCTTCCCCCGCAGGCACATACGACGGGAGAAGCTTCTTGCAATGTTGGTAGGTTTGCCGGAATTACAACGGAAACACTTTCGGTCGCTGTGATCATTGGGTTTTGAAAAACAATGGCTTCTTGTGGAAACAAGGATTGGAGAGAAAGCTTCAGTATAGACGCCTTGCCACCCAATAATTGCTCTTCTTAGAGTGGGTTTCCCCCTCACTTCCTGTGGTCTCAGTCCCATTGTTCTTAACTAAGAGTCATTTGAAAGTCAGATGTTTGTAACTTGGGAATTGCCTATGTGTGTGTGTATATATATATTTACACACACACACATACATACACACACACATTGCTGTGGTCTAGTCTGTGTGTATGTGTTTTGTGTGTGTATATATTTGTATGTATGTGGTTTTGCGCATGTGTTGTAATGTACTTTTATTTTTTTATTTTTTGGTCTTTTAAGTCCCTTCTGCTATATTTTTCAGTGTTTTTATAAGTGATGGTCACTCGTTGGCCTGATAGGCCTGATAGGTGTCTTGTGTCCAAATTTGGTGTCAATTCGTCCAGTGGTTTTTGAGTTATGATAATCCCACAAATGAACATCATATTTTTATTTATATAGAAAAAGATCTATCTATCTATCTCTATATAAATAAAAATGTAATGTTCATTTCTGGCATTAACAGAACTCAAAAACCACTGGACGAATTAACACCAAATTTGGACACAAGACACCTAACAACCCAATGTATGTCCTTCATTCAAAAAAATCGATTTTGTCATTTGGGAGTTGTAGTTGCTGGGATTTATAGTTCACCTGCAATCAAAGAGCATTCTGAACCCCACCAACGATGGAATTGAACCAAACTTGGCACACAAAACTCCTATGACCAACAGAAAATACTGGAAGTGTTTGGTGGGCAGTGTCCTTTAGTTTTGGAGTTGTAGTTCACTTACATCCAGAGATCACTGTGGACTCAAACAATCATGGATCTGGACCAAGCCCTACACGAATACTCAATATGCCCAAATGTGAACACTGGTGGAGTTTGGGGAAAATAGAATCTTGACATTTGGGAGGTGTAGTTGCTGGAATTTATAGTTCACCTACAATCACAGAGCATTCTGAACCCCACCAATGATAGAATTGGGCCAAACCTCCCACACAGAACCCCATGTGGGCCACAGCAATGCATGGCAGGGGACAGCTGGTGTGTGTGTGTGTGTGTATATATATATATATATACACACACACATACACACACACACACTAGCTGTCCCCTGCCACGCGTTGCTGTGGCCCAGTCTGGTGATCTGGAAAATAAAGTAATGAGAAAGTGTTTGTTTCTAATATATGTAATTTCTTTATTCTTGCGGATAAACAGTATTTCTTGTTTCTTTGTCAGTGTTGATGTGAAAAGTGTCTGGTTTGCCGACTCTAGGATATGCAACATATCATTGTCCTTCTTTAGGGATCCCCTTCAAATCTATGCTATTATATCTGTGTGTGTATGTGAATCATATGTACACAAACATATCTATCTATCTATCTATCTATCTATCTATCTATCTATCTATCTATCTATATCTGTGGTTGGATGGCTCTTTGTCAGGAGGGCTCTGATTACATTTTCTTGCCCTGGTGAAGAGAGTTGGACTGGGTGGCCTTAACTATTTTCTATTGGTCATGGGCTTCTGTGTGGGAAGTTTGCCCCAATTCTATCATTTGTGGGATTCAGAATGCTCTTTGATTGTTAGTGAACTATAAATCCTAATAACTACAAATCCGAAATGTCAAGGTCTATTTCCCCCAAACTCCATTTGCACTGTAACGTCTTTTTGCTTTTTTGGCTTTTTAAGTCCCTTCCGCTGTATTTTTCAGTGTTTATATGACTGATGGTCACTCATTGGCCTGATAGGCGTATTGTGGGTAAATTTCGTGTCGATTTGTCCAGTGGTTTTTGGGTTATGTTAATCCCACAAACAAACATTACATAAATGTATATATATGTGTGTGCGTGGGGGGGGGGGGGGGGGGGGGGGGGTTGTAGTTCAACTTATGCACAAATTCAACTTCAGAGCAAACCTGCAGAGCCTCTCTTGCCTGTAACTTGGGGGCTGCCTGTATAAGCAATCTCTGTGTTCTTAGAAGAACATCACGGAACAGGAACACAAGCCGTCGGTCCAGCTCACGTTCAGATCCCTCTGTGCCTATTTCAGGTAAGCAATTGGATTGTGTGTTGTCTTGGTGTTCTTTCTTTTTTCCCCCCAACTCTGAGTCCAGAGCTCAATGCCGTGCTTCATGGAACTTGCTGTTTTGGGCAATTTTAAGATTTTGATGAAGTTTATTATTAGTGTTATTGTTATTGTTATTGTTTTTATACAGATTATACTATATGTAATTGTTTTTTATGGTATTTTATCTTGTGGGGCATTGATTGCCAAATGTAAACTGCCTCAAGTCGCCTCTGGGCTGAGAGGGGCGGTATACAAGTATAGTAAATAAATAAATAACTCCTCGTCTCGTGTCAGCTTTTCCTATACGATCATTTATGCACATGTGTTTGTATTTTAGATTTACTTTGAGTCATTAGGTCTGCCACAGCGGTCCAGTGTGCATATATATCTTGTTTGTGCATATATATCTTCTGAGCAGCAGCAACAAAAGTCATCTTTTTCCAATTTTCAGCGATCAAGATCCTGGGGGGCTTCTGTTGCTCTCAGACAAAGGGACTTCTGCCGACGTTGACATCGACCAAGTGCTGGCGGTGATGGAGACACTCCTGATGGTGATGTCAAGAGAGGTGGTTGCTCTTGTTTTTTTAAATCTGTTGTTTCCATGCGGAATGGGTGCTGCCTGGTGTCCTTCTCGCATTGTACTATTGTCGTGCTTGAACTGCTATGGAAACCTCCTGAGCATCCTCCTTACACTGGAAATCTTGCAAGATCCCTTGGCATGTTTCCATGGCAATTAAAGCGGAATCATCACCCTGCAGCGACGCAGTGTGCGCTTTTGGCCCCCGTTCTCCCTTGTAAAGCCCCTTGAATGTTTTTATTTATTTACTAACTGTCCCCAGCCACACTTTGCTGTGGCCTCAGTCTGATTCCTTCCTTCTCTACCTCTTTCCTTCCTTTCTACTGTTTTTCGATCCCTTCTTCTTTCTCTTCTTCCTTCCTTCTCTACCTCTTACTTTCCCCCTTCCTGATAATTTACATTGCCCAATCTCCCAGTGTTTTAAAATTTTATCCTTGAATTTGGCCCTGTCCAGTGTAATCTTGTGTGTTTAATGTTTGTTTGCTCTGTTGCTTATTATATTAGTTTTGCATTCTATGTTTTTTATTTTGTAGTTCTGTTATGCTTTTGCATTATATTGTGTTTACTGTATGATGGATGTGGCCTCATGTAAGCCATCCCGAGGCCGCCTGGGGGAGATGGAGCAGGGTATAAATAAAGATTATTATTATTATTATTATTAAATAATAACATTTTATTTATACCCCGCTACCATCTCCCCGAGAAACCGTGGAGGCCGTGACAGACTTTGTATTTCTAGGTGCAAAGATTACTGCAGATGCAGACTGTAGCCAGGAAATCAGAAGACGCTTACTTCTTGGGAGGAGAGCAATGTCCAGTCTCAATAAAATAGTAAAGAGTAGAGACATCAGACTGGCAACAAAGATCCGCCTAGTCAAAGCCATGGTATTCCCTGTAGTAACCTACGGATGTGAGAGCTGGACCTTAGGGAAGGCTGAGCGAAGGAAGATCGATGCTTTTGAGCTGTGGTGTTGGAGGAAAGTTCTGAGAGTGCCTTGGACTGCGAGAAGATCCAAACAGTCCATCCTCCAGGAAATAAAGCCCGACTGCTCACTGGAGGGAAAGATACTAGAGACAAAGTTGAAGTACTTTGGCCACATCATGAGGAGACAGGAAAGCCTAGAGAAGACAATTATGCTGGGGAAAGTGGAAGGCAAAAGGAAGAGGGGCCGACCAAGGGCAAGATGGATGGATGGCATCCTTGAAGTGACTGGACTGGCCTTGAGGGAGCTGGGGGTGGTAACGGCCGACAGGGAGCTCTGGCGTGGGCTGGTCCATGAGGTCACGAAGAGTCGGAGACGACTGAACGAATGAACAACAACAACCATCTCCCCAAGGGACTCGGTGCGGCTTACATGAGACCGAGCCCAAAATACAACAATACAAGCAATAACAACAACAATACAAAAATTTAAAACAACAAAACAATAAAACAATAACATAATAATAATAATAATAATAATAATTATAATAATAATTATTATTATTATTCCTTTCTTCCATCCTTCCTTCCCTCTTTCCCTCCCGCCCTCCTTCTCTCCATCCTTCCCTGACTTTTTTTCCATTCTTCAATCTTTCCTTCTTTCTTTCGTTCTTTCTTTCCTTCCTTCCCTCCCACTTTTCATTCCTTCCTTCTTTTTCCTTCTATCCTTCCTTCCTTTCCCCCATCTTTCCTTCCTTCCCCTCTTTCTCTCCTTTCGTACTTCTCTACTCTTCCTTTTCTTCCTTCCTTCGCTCTGTCTGAATCATTGTCTATATCTATATAGCACCGGGACTGTGGCACAGCTGGCTGAGTGTCAGCTGCATTCAGATAACTTCTGACCAAAAGGTCATGATTTCGAAGCCAGCCCGGGTCGGAGTGAGCTTCCGACCAATTGTGTAACTTGTTGTCGACCTTTGCAACGCGGAAGATAGTTGCATCTGTCAAGTAGGAAAATTAGGTACCATCTATGTGTGGGGAGGCTAATTTAACTAATTTACGAGGCCATAAAAAAGACTCCAGCAAAAGCATGCGGGGTATGCGGAAGTACTTCATCAGTGTAGCAGATGGATGATGGACAGCTCCCCTGGCGGCCAGAAAAGTTAAATAGCCTCTTACTGTCTGTCTATATCAGTTGTGTGTCTTTGGCATTGAATGTCTGCCATATATGTGTACATTGTAATCCGCCCTGAGTCTCCTGCAGGGTGAGAAGGGTGGAATATAAATACTGTAAATAAATAAATAAAGCTGGATGGTCGTCTGTCGAGAGGGATTTGATTGTGTCCGGCCTGGGAGGAGGGGGTTGGACTGGATGGCCTTTATGGGTCCCTTCTAAATCAATGGTACTATTGGGCTGGGCCTTTGCCAGAGCGAGGCCTTCTCAGAGCCCTCCAAGGAAGTCCATGCGCTGCTTGCCTCCTTTGCTATGGTTTTTTTTTTTCCCCTGACACTGGAGGGGGGGGGCTACCGCAGTCGTTTTCACGCATGCGCTATAACATCTTTTCCCCTTTTTTGTGTTTTCAAGTCCATGCTGCTTTGTTTTTTGGACTTTTTTGGAGTGATGGTCACTCATTGGATTGTTAGGTGTCTTGTGGCCAAATTTGGGGTCATTTTGTCTAGTGGTTTTTGAGTTATGTTAATCCCACAAACGAACATTACATTTTTTATTTATATAGATTTGTATCAATCACAATGATAAGAGCTCAGCCCATTCCCAGTTGCTTGGAGATGCCTTCCGGCTGTTTTTCCTTTCTGAACTCAGTGTCTCTTCCTTTCTTTCTCTGCAGTGTGAAATGCTGGCGCTGGGAGCGGCCCAGTCGGACACGGGCCCGGTGCTGTCCTCCTTGTTTTGGTCAGTGCAGGGCAGCCTCCTCTCCTGGTGCTACTTGCAACTCAAGGGAAGCGAAGCCGCCCCCAAGAAGCTGGCCGCTGACGTCCTGACCAAATGTAAGCATTCGGCGGAAGGGCCTTCGCCCCCAATAACAGCCCTTAGAGCAGAATCCTCGAATCCTAGAGATGGAAGAGACCTGGTGGGCCATCCATTTCAACTTTGAAGGAAAATCACCTTCAAAGCACCCCCAACAAATTGCCATCCAGCCCCTGTTTAAAAGCCTCCAAATTGCCATCCAGCCCCTGTTTAAAAGCCTCCACCACACTTTGGAGTAGACAGTTCCACTGCTGAACTTTTCCAAAAAAGTCATGTTGGGGACACGCTTCCTAGGCAGGCCTCCTTTCGCATTCACACAGTAATGCAGTTTTCTAGCAACCCGGAGGATGAACTAACGCCTTATACTTTCACTCTAGAAGAAAAGTCTTTTAAACTTTGTTTTTGTTTCTTGGTTAGTTAGTTTGTTTGCCTGGTTGTATGTAAGTTTTGTAGGGGCCGTGGTGGCGCAGCGGATTAAACCGCTGAGTTGCTGATCTTCTTTTTTTTTTAAATAATATTTATTATTATTATAATAGTGGACATTGATTAAAATTGTATATAGAAAAATAATATGTAGGTGAAGAAAGACATATATATATATATATATAGAAATATGAAGAAAGTGAGATATATATATATATATCTGTATATATGCATTTATATACATGTATGTATGTATATATATATGTGTGTGTATATATATATGGGGAGGGGAAGAAGGGAGAAAAAAAAGTAAAAATAGAAAATAAAATTTAGCAAGATCATTTGACTTCTGGTCATTTTCGTTGAACTTCTTGACCGGAAGGTTGGTGGTTCAAATCCAGGGAGCGGGGTGAGCTCCCGCTGTCATCCCCAGCTTCTGCCAACGTAGCAGTTCGAAAACATGTAAATGTGAGTAGATCATTAGGTACCACTCTAGCGGGAAGGTAACAGCGCTGTATGCATTCATGCCAGCAGCCACATGACTTTGGAGGTGTCTACAGACAATGTTGGCTCTTCAGCTTAGAAATGGAGGAGAGCACCAGAATCCCGGAGTTGGACACAGCTGGGGAAAACCTTCACCTTTTTTACCTACTGCAACACAATCCACAAATTGTGCATTTGAACAGCAGCAGCCCTCCACTTGTATAGGGATTAAACCTCTCTGGAGGCTTTTAAATAGGGACTAGATGCCCTCTGGGAATCTCTTCCAACTCTAGTGAGGTATACACATCTTTAAGACATCTTCTCTGGCTGTCTTAAAACAAAGGTTGTCTGGCCTCCTTGGGGTGCTTTGGCTGTGTGTTCCTTCCTGGGAGAAGGGGGCTGGACTGGATGCCCTCTGGGGGTCTCTTCCAATGGGGGGTTTGGAGCTGGGGCTGGATGGCCATCTGTCAGGGATGCTTTGACTGTGTGTTCCTTCCCGAGAGAAGGGGGCTGGACTGGATGCCCTCTGGGGGTCTCTTCCAATGGGGGGTTTTGAGCCAGTGCCTTTTGCTCCTTCCTCTCCCCAGACGTGCGGCAGTTCCTCTCTAGCGCCACGGCCGTCCTGGAGCCACTCCTGGCGAAGCATGGTGGAAAGAGCCTGGCGGAAGCCCTGAGCAACTCCGTCTTCTCCCTGGTGTCCCGCCAGCTGGTAAGCGGGAGGCGGGTTCCCCCTTGCCCAGTGCCCCCCCTTGGCCTAGCGTGACTGACTGGTGGCTCTGGCCATGTTTCTTCCAGATGACCTTCCTGCAGGACTTCTGTGCCTTGGCCGTCCCACACCGGACCCTCCTGCAGGACGTCAGCGCATTGACGCCACTGCTGAAGGAGCTCTCACTGGAGCCGGGAGATGGGGCTCCCCATCAGGTAGAAGCCGCCATCGGGGGGAAGCGCCACAGGGTGTTCCGTGGCTCCCAATTCCTAACAGTCTACCGGAGGAGGCTGTGTGTGTTTTTATTTTATTTTCTGTATGCAGGGATAAAAGAGTGGGTTAGTGAGGGTGTGAGTTAGCGCTTGCGATGCTGGCTTACATGGGTTAAACAGGAAGCAACCACTCACTCCCTGATAGCTTCAATCCAACTGTCAATCACTGCTGGCTGAAGCATTTATCCTCGCCTCCCAGACAAAACAAACACTCAGAGCAGCTAGTATTTTTTAAAATATTTTTTACTGAATTATTAGGGGAAAATGGGGGGGGGGGGGGGGAAAAGGGAAAAAAGTGGGGGGGGGGAAAAAGGGGTAGGAAAATTTAATTAGTAGAAAGGAAAAAGGAGAAAGCGACTAACTATGGTAAAAGGGGTACAGAGGTTTCCTTACTAATGGGAGTGGGAGTAAAAGGGCTAGAGGTGGAGGGAAGACAAGAAAACAGGGTAAAAATGAAAATGAATAAAAAAGGAAAAGAAAAAAGGGGGAAAATGGTAAAAAATACATGTAAAAATGGCAGAAAAAAAGTAAAAAAGAAAAAAAGAGTACAAAAAAATCTTCTTATTGACTAATTATTATTATTAAGAGCAGCTAGTTTTAAACACACACTCAGATTTCTAACGCACTCTAAGACAAGGCTTACCTGAATCAAAGGGAGCAAAGAATGCTTCCTCAACTTCTGTGGGAACTCAACAGAAGTTGAGGATGCATTAACTCCGGTGACAATGATTGAAAACAGAGGTGGTTACGTTGCAAAACCTGAGGCATTGCGATGCAGTTGTGTATCTGGGTCAGAATCCCTGCATCATTTCCATCTGAGAAGGGCAAAATCTCCCTTGAGAGAAAGAGAATGACAAATTTGAGAGTGGCTTTCCTTCTCGTGGAGACCTGCTTCAAGGTTGATGTCTCCCCAGAGTATTGACCTGCCTGCTTTTAGAATAGCCCTGCCAATCGGGATGGCTCTCACGATGTCCCCTCTTGGTTCTCGTCCTGGCACCAGGCAGGCCTGGAGGGCTTGCAGCAAGAGCAGCCGGTGGTGCTGCGAGTCTGGACCGTGGAGTCTCCCCACAACTACGACAACAACTGCCATGACTTCACCGTCTTCCTTTGTCCAGGGGCCACCTACTTCGAAGTGGAGTTTGACGACCGATGCGAAACCGAGAGGAGGTAACTTGCCTTTTCCCGCTTTTTGAGCCCCGCTTCTCAAGGCCTTTCATGGCTGCGTTGGTCAGCACAGGCCTCCTTCCGCCACGGCATTCAGCAGAGAGAGCGTGTCAGTGGACCCAAGGCCATCCCCCATTAACAGTTTGCAAGCTTGGTAGTTTATTAAGTGCCCTTTATCAGTAGCTGGCCACTTGGAGTGCCTCTGGTGTTAATAAGAAGGTCCTCCATTGTGCATGTAGCAGGGCTCAGGTTGCATTGCAGCAGGTGGTCTGTAGGTTTGCTCTTCTCCACACTCGCATGTCGTGGATTTCCACTTTGTAGCCCCATTTCTTAAGGTTGGCTCTGCATCTCGTGGTGCCAGAGTGCAGTCTGTTCAGCGCCTTCCAAGTCTCCCAGTTTTCTGTGTGCCCAGGGGAGTCTCTCATTTGGTATCAGCCATTGATTGAGGTTCTGGGTTTGAGCCTGCCACTTTTGGACTCTCGCTTGCTGAGGTGTTCCAGCGAGTGTCTCTGTAGATCTTAGAAAACTATTTCTTGATTTAAGTCGTTGATGTGCTGGCTGATACCCAAACAAGAAATGAGCTGGAGGTGTCACTGCCTTGGTCCTTTCACTATTGGCTGCTACTTCCCGGCGGATGTCAGGTGGTGCAATACCGGCTAAACAATGTAATTTCTCTAGTGGTGTAGGGCTCAGTCATCCCGTGATAATGCGGCATGTCTCATTAAGAGCCACATCCACTGTTTTAGTGTGGTGAGATGTGTTCCACACTGGGCATGCGTACTCAGCAGCAGAGTAGCATAGCGCAAGGGCAGATGTCTTCACTGTGTCTGGTTGTGATCCCCAGGTTGTGCCAGTCAGCTTTCGTATGATATTGTTTCTAGTGCCCACTTTTTGCTTGATATTCAGGCAGTGCTTCTTGTAGGTCAGAGTAACTCCCAGGTATTTGGGTGTGTTGCAATGCTCCAGTGGGATTCCTTCCTAGGTAATCCTCAGAGCTCGGGATGCTTGTCTGTTCTTAAGGTGAAAAGCACATGACTGTGTTTTAGATGGATTAGGGATCAGCTGGTTTCCCCTGTAATAGGCAGTAAGAGCGCCTAGAGCTTCGGAGAGCTTCTGTTCAACCATCTCAAAGCCCCCTACTTGAGCGGTGATGGCACAATCATCAGCATAGATCAGCAGAAGGCTTCTCACTAGCTCTGGCAACTCAGAGAGAGAGAGAGAGAGAAATCCCATATGTACCTTTCTTCTTCCCTCCCTCTCTCCCTCCCTCCACTGCCCTTTCATGAATGCTCTTCCTCTCTCCTTTGACAAATGTGTCTTCTTAGGTATGATTACCTGGAATTTACGGATGCCAGAGGCGGGAAAACCCGCTACGACACCAAAGTGGGGACCGACAAATGGCCCAAGGTGAGTGGAGTTCTCCAATGAACGGTCTCTTGCATCGTGTCTTGCTTTATTTATTTATTTAAAACTTTATTTAAAACTTTATTTAAAACTTTTGTATCCCGATCTTCTCACCTCCGAAGAGAGACTCAGACTGGCTTACAGCAAGGATTCAATGCTTACTAATACAAGTTAAAACATCATACAACAATACAAGATTAAAATACATATAGATAAAATACACATATACCAAATCGCCAAGGTAAAATCATGTTCAACTCAGTCTGCATATGTGGCCACTCACTTTGGTCTGTAACCAGTCTCAGCCATTATTCTGGGAACGCTTCGTTCCATAACCAGGATTTCACTAGCCTCCTGAAGGACAAGAGGGAGGAGGAAGATCTAATCTCGCCCGGGAGAGAGTTCCATAGCCGAGGGGCCACCACAGAGAAGGCCCTGTCTCTCGTTCCCACCAAAAGCGCTTGCGAAGATGGTGGGACTGAGAGCAGGGCCTCTCCAGAAGATCTGAATGTCCTTGATGGTTCATAGGGGAGAATATGTTCGGACAGGCAAACTGGGCCAGAACCGTATAGGGATTTATAGGTTAAAACCAGCACTTTGAATTGTGCTCGGAAGCTTTCCTTGCACCGTGTCTTGCGTTCCTTCCCGGTCGGTTGCGGAGTATCTGGTTTTATTACATAGTAATTGCAATACTTAATTCAGTTTTAATGTTTATATTTTTTGCACTGATCGATCGCATGGTGTTTTCGTGTTGTGGGTCCTCCTCCTCCTGGGAGAAAAGCTGGGATCAATGATGGTGATGGTGACGACGACGGTGGCGAAATGCTGACTGTTTCCCATTCTGTGTAGAAAGTGACCTTCAAGGCCGGCCCGCGGCTGCAGTTCCTCTTCCACTCGGACAGCAGCAACAACGAATGGGGCTACCGGTTCTGTGTCACGGCCTACGGCTTGCCGGACCTGGAGGTCTCATGGGGCCTGGACCTGCACCTCCTGGTGGCCCGGCTGATGGGCCGCTTGGCTTCCCACAGCATGGCCCTCCCACATGCCCATGGTGAGCAGCGCTTCCAAGGCTAGACAAAGGGTTGGGAGCTTACTCTCACCCGGGCTGGCTTCGAACTCATGATCTTTCGGTCAGTAGGGATTTTAATGCAGATTACTCCCAACCAGCTGCGCCACAGCTCGGTGGATGGCACAGGGAAAGGTGGGCACCCTGTGGAGTGCCCCTGTTCAGGAAATCCCACCTCTCTTTTGTCCCTGTGAGATTTGGATTTGGGAAAATGTAGCTTGCTGTGGAAACAAAGGCTGGAGAGAGAGCTTCAGCTGAGGAACCTTTCCCTCCACCCTTTCCCAAGAGTGGATTTCTCTTCCTTCCGAGGGGGAGATCCCTCTCCCTTCCTGTGGTCTCAGCCCTGTTCTTAACTAGGGGTCACTTGTAAGTCGGATGTTTGTAACTCGGGGATGGGCTGCATCATCCAATTCCTGCATCAAGACCCCCCTCCCTGACCTCTGCTCTGCTTTTCTGTCGCTCTCTTCCGAGGCAGGAAAGGAAGCCGAGCTGCTTCCCGCGAAGGTGACGGCGGTACTGAGCTCCCCGCTGTGGAAGCCGGTTTTCCGGCATCGGATGCGTTTGGAGCAGGATGAGGCGGCAGAAGGCGGACCCGGCAAAGCCAACCAGGAGAATACAGAGGTATTTGCTGTCGGTGCCCCTCACTGAATTTTTCCGTTCCGTGGGAGAAGGTTTGCACAAAGAATATACAATTCATAATTGGGCCCCTTGTTGCTCTTTTCCAGGCTGCCGGCTCCGAGGCCAGCAACTGCCGCCAGTTTCTCCTTGACTTCTTAAAGTCCGACCCGGCCCAGGCGTTTTGTGGGTCAAACTCTGGGCTTTTCAACGGACTTGCACAGGCATGTAAACAACAGGCCCCCAAGACTGATAGAGTTGCCGGTTCCACTGTTGACCAGGCGATCCAGTCCACGTTTGCGGCTTTGGTGTATCTCTCTCCAGACCTGTTTGAGAAGCTGCAAGCCTATGGTAACTCCACCTTGGTGACTCTGTCTCTGTGTCTTCCTCATGAAAGGTTGTCTGTTCTGCCCTGCTTTAAAGGCTTTGCTGCTTTGGGGGCAGCAGTTTAGAGGCACCCTCCCCAGCTTACGAAACATGCGTGTACTTCTTATGCGGAAGGGAAGGCACACAAGGAGGGGCTCCCTAGAGAACAGGGTCTGGGGGGAGGCCAGGTGGAAATGCCTCGGAGGAACTTCCTTTCTTCTCTCTTCCTCTTTTTCCCTTTTTTCTCTCCTTCCTTTCTGTCCTTTTTCTCCTTCTCTTTTCCTTTCCTTCCTTCCTTCTTCCTTCCATCCTTCCCCATCTTTTTCTTCTTCTTTCATTTTTTCCCTCTTCTCTTCCTTCCTTCTCTATCTTTTTTCTAATTAAACTAGTTCAGTTCTTTCCATTTTTTACCATACTCTGTTACTCTTTTTCGCCTTCCTTCATTCTAGCTTTTTTTTAAATTTAATGCCTTTTTTATCCTTCTCCCGTCCTCTTTTCCATCTTCCTTAAATCATGTACCACAAGTATTTTATATTCTTCAGGACTTACCCTCTTACATCTAGCTCATTTTTCTTTATTTCATTCTTCACTCTATCCTTCTTACATTTATACTTCCTCTTCTTGTCTTTCTTCCCCCTTCTCTTTCACTTCTTTTTCTCCTTCCTTCTGTCTTTCCCTTCCCTTCCTTCCTTCCTTCCTTTATCTTCCGCAATACTGCCCGTCTTCTTCTTCTTCTTATTCCTCCTCTTCTTCCTCTCCATCCCTCCATCTTTCTCTCCTCCTCTTTCTCCTCTTTCACTTCTTCCTCTCTCTTCTTTTTCTTTCTCCTTTTCTTCCTTCTTGTGCTTTCTCTTCCTTTCTCCTTCCTCTCTTCTTCTTTTCTCTTTCTTTCCTCTTCTCTTCTTCTTCTTTCTCTCTTTTCTTCTTTCTCCCTTCCTTTCTCTTCTTTCTTCCTTCCTCTCTCTCTCTTTCCTCTTCCTTCTTCTTTTCTCTTCTTCTTCTCTTCCTCTTCCTTTCCTTCCTCTTCCTTTCTTTCTTTTTTTTCTTCTTCTTCTTTCTCTTCTTCTTTTTCTTTCTTTCTTTCTTTCTTTTTTCTTTCTTTCTTTTCTTTCTTTTTCCTCCTCTCTCTTCCTCTTCTCCTTTCCTTTTCTTCCTTCCTTCTTTCCTTTCTTTTTCCTTCCTTCCCTTCCTTCCTTCCTTCCTTCCTTCCTTCCTTCCTTCCTATGTGCATCCTGCCTTATTGCCCAGGAGCTGAGGGTGGCTTGTTTTGGCACCATTTTCAACAATGTGAGGCAGTCAGAGTCCATAAAAGGGGCCGCAAAGCATCTGAACCTGTCCATGGAAGACAAAGGGGGAAGTCCACCCGGACCTCTGCAACTGCTGCGCAGCTCCTTCATGCGAGAAAAGCCTCTCCTTTTCCTCTTACTTCCCTCTCTCTGTCTTCACAGTCAGCAGCGGAGGCCAAGCGCCTCTGGGTGAAGAGTTTGCCCAAGTGTATTCCTTGGCCGACGGGATTCGAATATGGATGGTAAGCTTCCTTCCCCTCCTTTGTCCTTGAGAACGCCTACCGTTGCCCATTTTTAATCAGGCCCAGAGTCCTGAAAGGTTCCCAATCCCATCTCATCTGGGAAGCTAAGCATGCTCAGTTCTGGTTGGCGTCTGGGTGGGAGACACACACGGCAGATGCCGCAGGAATGAAGAGGTCTTGCTAAGGCAACCCTAGTCAAAACCCCTAAGTCGAAAGTCCATTTGAAAGTGTACTTGTAGACACATAGGAATGTGGAAGGAAAATGAACCAGATGAACTTGAGCTCTTGACACAGGATGGTGAAGGCGGTTATCCCATTGCCAGGCCTCGGGTGTGGAACTCCCTCCCTAGGGATATTAGATCAGCCCCCTCCCTCCTGACCTTCTGAAAGAGAGTGAAAAGTGGCCTTCGGAGAACCATTGTATTGCAATAGATGGATATGGAATGATTTATTATTTATTTCTTGACCGTATTTATATTCTGCCCTTTTCACCCCACAAGGGACTCAGGGCAGATATACATGGCAAACATTCAATGCCATAGACCAGGAGTCCTCAAACTATGGCCCGGATGCTGGATATGGCCCTCCAAGGTCATTTACCTGGCCCTCGCTCAGGGTCAACCTAAGTCTGAAATGATTTGAAAGCACACAACAACAACAACAATCATATCTCACCAGCCAAAAGCAGGCCCACACTTCCCATTGAAATACTAATAAGTTTATATTTGTTAAAATTGTTCTTCATTTTAATTATTGTCTTGTTTTTAAGTGTTTTTGGATTACAAATAAGATATGTGCAGTGTGCATAGGAATTCATTCATACATTTTTCAAATTATAATCCGGCACTCCCAAAATTGTGGATCCCTGCCATAGACACACAAAATATATAGACAGACACATAGGCAATTTAAGCTTCATGAGATTATGTTCAAATTCAGCCACTGGGGGAGCTTTCGCTTCACCATCCACTTGATGGAGTACTTCCTCATTCTTTCAGCCATTGCTGGAGATTTTTATAGCATCATAAATTAGTTAAATTAGCCTCCCCGCATAAGTGGTACCTAAATTTCCTACTTGACAGATGCAGCTGTCTTTCGGTCTGCAAAGGTAGACAGAAAGCTAGACAAATGGTTGGGAGCTTACCCTGACCTGGGCTGGCTTCAAACTCATGACCTTTTGGTCAGTGGTGATTTAATACAGCTGACCACAGCCTCGTCCAGAATGGCCTGGATTACGATTGCGGGATAGTGTGGTTAAGAGTGACTGGGATTTTTAAATATGTTTTATTGTGATTTAAATTCTATCCTAAGATGTTTAGTTTAGTTGTACATTGTTTTAAGGCAGGGGTCGGGAACCTTTGGCCCTCCAGCTGTGGTGGACTTCAACTCCCACAATTCCTCGAGGCTCGGCATTCGCCCCAAAGGCTTACCTTGGCCCAACGAGGTTTGTTTGGCTCTTTTTCATGGAGGACGGGCAGCAAAGGGGGAGAGACGAGCGTAACGTAGCTGTGCAGATGGCGAGGAAGGATGCGGAGCCTACAGACTGGCCTCGGAGGGAGAGAGCGGGCGGAAACCCCTGCGGGCAACGCGCCTCCTCGCCGCTTAAACAGCGCAGAGCCCTTTCCCTCCAGCCTTCGCCTTCCCTTTTCCCCGACAAGCTCTGCACGACGTCACTCAGCCGGCGTCGTTGCTAGGGAGGGGGTCCATGCGGGGCGGGTGCTAAGGGCCGAAGCGGCGAGGAAGCACATTGCCCGCAGGGGTTTCCGCCCGCTCTCTCCCTCCGAGGCCAGTCTGTGGGCTCCGCATCCTTCCTCGCCATCTGCACAGCTACGTTACGCTCGTCTCTCCCCCTTTGCTGCCCGTCCTCCATGAAAAAGAGCCAAACAACCCTCGTTGGGCCAAGGTAAGCCTTTGGGGCGAATGCCGAGCCTCAAGGAATTGTGGGAGTTGAAGTCCACCACAGCTGGAGGGCCAAAGGTTCCCGACCCCTGTTTTAAGGCATCAAATAGTTGCCTTAAAACAAGCCACCTTGAGAAGGGTGGGGTATGCATTGTTGAATTTATTGACCTCTGAGCGTCTGCCCGGGGGCACGAGGAAAATAAACACACCATACTTCTGTAGATCAATTCCAAAGCCTGGAGGGGCTTACTTTAATGCAAATCCTAAAAACTACAAACTATTTACAGGAGCAGAATATAACATGTCCATTTACTAGCTGTACATCTCTGGAAGCTGGAACCACATGGCAATCTGATTTCTGTAGGATGTAAACACATTACCGGAACACTCCAAAGTAATTGCACAGCCTCATTTTGGCAAGGCAGTGTTGTTGATTTATTGACCTCTGAACATCCGCTCAAAGGCACAGAAGTAAATAATGAAGCATGCTACCGTAGTCAGTGGCACTTTCCTTCTTATTGCAATTACTAAAAACTGTTTGCAGGAGCAGAATATAACACGTCCGTTTGCTAGCTGTACATCGCTGGAAACTCAATACACATGGCTATCTGATCTTTCTGGAATGTAAACACATTTCCAGAACACTCCAAAGTTATTCTCTAAGAATCAAGCACAGCTCTATGCATTTGACTCCTATATTGCATTGCTACACCGCACAGTTTAAACTATTACAATATGTCATTACATTTAAACCACCATATTCTAATATACATACCTGTATAAATAAAAATGTAATGTTCGTTTGTGGGATTAACAGAACTCAAAAACCACTGGACGAATTGACATCAAATTTGAACACAAGGCACCTAACAACTCAATGTATGTCCTTCACTAAAAAAAAAATTGATTTTGTCATTTGGGAGTTGTAGTTGCTGGGATTTATAGTTCACCTACAATCCAAGAGCATTCTGAACTCCACCAACTATGGAATTGAACCAAACTTGGCACACAGTTCTTCCATGACCAACAGAAAACACTAGGTTTGTTGGGCACTGACCTTAAGTTTGGGAGTTGTAGTTCACCTACATCCAGAGAGCACTGTGGACTCAAGTAATGATGGGTCTGGACCAAACTTGGCACGGATACCCCATATGTTCCAATGAGAACAAACACTGGTGGAGCTTGAGGAAAATAGGCCTTGACATTTGGGAGTTGTAGTTGCTGGGATTTATAGTTCACCTATAATCAAAGAGCATTTGAATGATGGACTTGAACCAAACATGGCACACAGAACCCCCATGACCAACAGAATGTGCTGGAAAGATTTGGTGTGCATCGACCTTGAGTTTGGGAGTTGTAGTTCACCTACATCCAGAGAGCACTGTGAACTCAAACCATGATGGGTCTGGACCAAACTTGGCACGAATACTCAATACATTCAAATATGAATGCTGGTGGAGTTTGGGGGAAATAGGCCTTGACATTTGGGAGTTGTAGTTGCTGGGATTTATAGTTTACCTACAATCACAGAGCATTCTGAACCCCAACAGCGATACAATTGGGCCAAATCTCCTACACAGAATCCCCATGTGGGCCACAGCAACACATGGCAGGGCCAACTAGTGGTAAATAAATAACAACAGCAACAACAACAACAATACATTTCTTACCTGCCTCTCCTTGCAGCTCAAGGCAAGATTTGCTCTCAAGCACGGCTTCCCAACCTTGGCTCCTCCGAGTATTTTGGACTTCAGCTCCCATGATTCCTGCCAGCTGGGGCTTCTGGGAGTTGAAGTCCAGCACACCCAGAGGAGGAGCCAAGATTGGGAAGCACTGCCCTATAGGCACTCGACCCCGCCTGATCCGGGTGCTCAGCAGGGTTAGTCCTGGTCAAGACCTGGAGGGGAGGCCCTTCAGGGAATCTCAAGGTGGCTGCAGGTCTTATTTCAGAGTAAGGAGCTTGCTGGAGAAAGCCCTGTGGAGTCCACAGGGCACTTCAAGACCCCCAATGCCATGTATTGTGAGATCTCGTCTGGCCTCGAAGGGGGTGTGATAATGGGAAAAGTGACCTTGAAAGGGTTTTCCACATGTAACAAAGACATGGTTTCTACAGCTAGAGATGAAGCAGAAGTCTCTGATGGGCCAAGAGAGCGACGGGGAGGAGAGGCCGGGCGGAGAGGTGGACGAGATCAGCCCGGAAATGCTCGGTAAGTGCTTCCTTGCAGGGTTGTTGCTGCACCGTGCGCTTTCCAGCAGAAGGGAGCTCATTTCAACCGCAACGGCAGCGGCCTCTATTGGCATGCGCTCAAGAAATCCTCGCACGGACACGTGCAGGCTGTTCCCAAGTTACAAACACCCGACTTCCAAAATGAGACGTATCTTCCCCTTCCAGGCTTTGTGGCCAGTGAGTCCTAGCAGTATTTTCTCCTGATGTGTCTCCTGCACCTGTGGCTCCTGGCATCTTCAGATGATCTGATAGTGGTCAAGCAAGTTGAGGATATCTCCTTGTAGAGTGTCCAGGGAAGGAGTAGGAACAAGTGTCAAGGCTGACATTAACAGTCCTGATTTGCATGCATTGAGTGGGAGCTACCCATTAGCATTTGAGTAACCATGAAGTTACTTTACTTAGACGATTCCTCGTAACTTGATGGTCTTCCAGATGCGGTGGGTCCATAGATGACTGTGGAGCCCTATTCTTGACCCGCATGTTCTCCCTTCCACAGGGAGGATATCCACAGGGAGGACATCCACAGGAAGGCGGTCACAGTCAGAGTTGGCTTGATGCGCCTTCTTCCTCTTGGCACGTTTTTCCCTTTTGCCCTCCATTCATGCCTCTTTGAATTCTTCAGCACTGCTGGTCACATCTGACCTCCAGTTAGAGTGCTCAAGAGCCAGGGCTTCCCAGTTCTCTCTTGGTGTCTATGCCACAGTTTTTGAGGTTGGGTTTGAGCCCATCTTTAAATCTCTTTGAATCGTGTTTCACGTTCTTGAGTTCAGAGTAGAGCAATTGCTTTGGGAGACGGTGGTCAGGCATCTGGACAATGTGGCCGGTCCAGCGGACTTGATGGCGGAGGACCATCGCTTCATTGCTGGTGGCCTTCGCTTTTTCTTCCAGCATGCTGATATTTCTCTGCCTGTCTTCTTCCCTAGAGATTTGCAGGATTTTTCAGAGGCAGTACTGATGGAATCATTCCAGAAGTTGAGTGTGACGCCTGTAGATAGTCCACGTTTCAAAGGCGTATATCAGGGTTGGGAGGATAATAGCTTTATAAACAAGCCCCATGGTCTCCCTACGGATGTCCCGGCCCTCAAACACTCTCTGCTTCATTTGGAAAAATGCTGCACTCGCAGAGCTCAGGCGGTGTTGTCTTTCAGTGTCAATGTTGACTTTGGTGGAGAGGTGGCTGCCATGGGAGCGGACATTGTTAACATTTTCTAATATTACACCATTAAACTGTATTTCTGGCACTGGAGAGGGATTGGCTGGTGACTGATGGAAAGCACTTTAGTTTTCTCAATGTTCAGTGACAACGAACATCAGTGTTCGATGTTCAGTGACAATGGGGGAGCACATATTGTATGACTATGATATGAGTGCTGCCTTTCTGTTGCAGCCCAGCAGTGCATCCAAAAAGGATAATCCATTTTGTGAAGCATGCTTGTGCTATGTTTCCCTTATAGCCGAACAGTGCATCCAGAAGAGTCACCTGCTGCTGAGCTTCCTTCCTGAGCGGCGGTTGGCGCAGGTGGGGGTGCCGTGCCCGAGGGAGGGGCCGCGCAGGAGCAGCTCCCTCCTGGAGGCCGACTTCCAGGCCGCGACGACGGACGCATCCTCCTCGCCGGCGCCGCATCCCTCTGGGCCACTTGGCTTCCCCTTCCCTGGGACGGAGGCACCCGAGGCCAAGGGGACGCCCCTGCCACAGCCGCCTTCGCCCTTGGAGCCCTCCTCGCCGCCCTCGACTCCCACCCGCAAGCCGCCCTTCAGCCGTGGGAGGCTCCGGCTCCTCTCCTTCCGCTCCATGGAGGAGTCCCGGCCGGCACCCAGCATCAAGGAGAAGGACCCCATCCTGAAGCATGCCCTGGACTTCATCAAAGACCAGACGCTTTCCCACGAAAGGTGAGCTACTGCTACCTCTGGGCTTCATTCATTCCCACCAGAATGAAGCCCAGGCGAATGCAAGACGAATGCATGGGAGCACCACCGTCCCACAGCCATCTTTCGCTCAGTATGTGTACTGTCGCAATTTTAAGGGTGTTCCCTGTTTCTGTTTGTTTCTTTAATAATAACAATAACAATAAATTTTAAATAGCTGTGCAAGCAGTCCCCAGGTTACAAACAGGAGACCTGTCTTGTTCATAACTTGGGGACTGCTATTATTATTATTATTATTATTATTATTATTATTATTATTATTATTAGCTGTACCCGCCACACATTGCTGTGGCAACCTTCCTTTTTCTCTCCTTCCTTCCCTACCTCTTTCCTTCCTTCCCCCTCTTTCTTTCCCTTCTTTTTCTCTCTTTCTTCCTTCTCTTCTTCCTTCCTCCTTTGCTCTTTGGTTCCATCCTTCCTTCTCTCTTTCCTTCTCTCCCTCTTTCTTTCCTTCTCTCCTTCCTTCCCTTTTCCTTTCCTTTTCTCCTTTCCTTCCCTTCCCCCCTCTTTCTTTCCTTCTTTTTCCTCTTTTCCTTCTCTTCTCTTCTCTCCTTCCTTCCTTTCCTTCCTTCCTTCCTTTTCTCTTTTCTTCCTCCTCTCTCTTTTTCCTTCCTTCCTTCCTTCCCTTTTTTCTTTCCTTCTCCTTCCTTCCTTCTCTGCCTCTTTCCCTCCCCCTTTTTTTCTTTTCCTCCCCTTCTTCTCTCCTACCTTCCTCTTTGCTTCCTTCCCTCCTTCCTTCTATCCCTTTCCCTCCCTCTTTCTATCCATCCTTTTTTGGGGTTGAAATTCTTTCAGCTGGTTTTTTTTGGGGTGGTGGTGGTTATGAGTGATGTTCACTAATTGGTCTGTTAGGGGTGTAGTGTCCAAATTTGGTGTCAATTTGTCCAGTGGTTTTTTGAGTTATGTTAAACTCATTTTGGCGAGGCAGTGTTGTCGATTTATTGATGTCTGAACGTCCGTTCAAAGGCACAAAAGTAAATAATGAAGCATGCTACCTTAGTCAGCTCGAAAGGCCGGAGCAGCACTTATCTTATTATTGCAATTACTAAAAACTATTTACAGGAGCAGAATATAACACGTCCATTTGCTATCTGTACATCGCTGCAAGCTCAATCCGCACGGCTATCTGATCTTTCTGGAATGTAAACACATTACTGGAACACTCAAAGGTTATGCTCTAGGAATCAAGCACAGCTCTATGCATTGCTACACCATATTGTAGATACTCTCCTTGTCTTCTGCAGGTGTGCCATAGTGGAGGGGGGAAATCACACACAGTTTAAACTACAAACAATATTTCATTACATTTAAACCAATGTTCTAACCAATGTAGCTCCAAAAGATTTGAGTACATACAGCATTCTACAATAGGTCATCAAGAGGATTGTTCTGCATTAGAAAGTGTAGCAAGAGACATGTTTGAATGATCCCGGGGAAGTGGGGAAAGGAGCATGAAGCCTTAAGACACGTGTGTCCCTTCCTTCTTAGCGTGCTGAGAGTGCTGGCCCTGCGCAAGGCCCAGGCCACGAACGTCCTGGAGGTCCTGAAGATGACCCTGCGGTGCCTGGAGGCCCTGGGCCGGCCCCACTGCTTCGCGCCCCCCTGCATCGCCTTCCTGCTGGAGCTCCTCGCCTCCCAGAAAGACTTCACCACGTAAGGCTCCTCCCCCCTGCTTTTTCTCGCCATCAAAGCACCTCCGACAGATGACCACCCAGCCTCTGGTTAAAAGAGCCTCCACCAGACTCTGAGGCAGAGAGTTCCACTGTTGAACAGCTCGTACAGTCAGGAATTGCTTCTTAATGTTCATTGGAACGTCCTTCCGTACCATTTGAACCTATGGCTTCATTGAGTCCTAGTCTCCAGGGCAGCAGAAAGGAAGTCTCTCCTTCTTCCTTATGGCACTCTTTCACATATTTATGCATGGTGATCGTGTCTCCTTTCAAACTTATCTTCTGAGGTTAAATTTTTTAAGACGCTCCTCAGAGGGATTATTCATGGTCTCCAGACCTTGGATCCTTTTAGTCACCCTCCTCTTCCTGATGATGATGATGATGATGATGATGATGATGATGATGATGATGATGATGCCGATGCCGGTGCCTTCAGGTCAATTCCACCTTGGGGAAGGAAACCTCTAAAATGACTATTATGAGCTGCTATTATTATTATTATTATTATTATTATTATTATTATTATTTATGATGATGATGATTCCTTCAGATCAATTCCAGCTTGGGGAAGGAAACACCTAAAATGACTATTACTACCTATTATTATTATTATTATTATTATTATTGATGATGATGATGATGATGATGATAACAGTGCCCAAGTCGAATCCCACTTTGTGGCAGCAAACTCCATAAGCTACCACCACTACTTATTATTATTATTATTAATAATAATGTAAATAATACTCATAATGCTCTCGTACTGCTTTTCATCAATTTTGGGATTGCAACCTGGGATTGCAACATCAACAATCCATACTTGGTTTTTTAACACAATTGTGAGGTCAGGAGTCTTATGCTCCAAAACTCTTGTCAATCTGAATTTGGAAGTCCCAGAGTAGTTTGACGTGTTCATATTCTATAACTTTTTATTTATTATTATTATTATTATTATTATTATTATTATTATCTTAATATCAATTTAATATAAATATTATTAAATTAAATTATTAAATTAATATTGTTAATTAATATTAATGTAATATTATTTTTCTGTAACTTTTTATTTATTTACTAGCTGTCCCCTGCCATGCGTTGCTGTGGCCCACATGGGGGTTTTGTGTGGGAGGTTTGGCCCAATTCTGTCATTGGTGAGGTTCAGAATGCTCTGTGATTGTAGGTGAACTACAGCTCCCAAATGTCAAGATTCTATTTTCCCTAAACTCCACCAGTGTTCACATTTGGACATATTGAGTATTCGTGTAGAGTTTGGTCCAGATCCATCATTGTTTGAGTGATCTCTGGATGTAGGTGAACTACAACTCCAAAACCAAAGGACACTGCCCACCAAACCCTTCCAGTATTTTCTGTTGGTCATGGCAGAACTGTGTGCCAAGTTTGGTTCAATTCCATCGTTGGTGGGGTTCAGAATGCTCTTTGATTGTAGGTGAACTATAAATCCCAGCAACTACAACTCCAAATGACAAAATCAAATTTTTTGAGTGAAGGACATACATTGGGTTGTTAGGTGTCTTGTGTCCATATTTGGTGTCAATACGTCCAGTTGTTTTTGAGTTTTGTTAATCCCACAAACGAACATTACATTTTTTATTTATATAAAATTATGCATTATTATTATTATTATTATTATTATTATTATTATTATTATACTTCTGAACTGCCTCTCCTCGAAGCAGGGCACAACACAGTTAAAGACACAAAACATCATTTTAAAACATTATGGAAAATACATACATGAGAGTGTATTTCTATGAAATGCGTATATGGATATACAGAGAACAGAGATCTCAACAATGGGGAGCACAGGACAGGAGTTTAAAATTCATGGTAACTCTGGCTAGGCTGGTCTTAGCACGACAGTGTGGTTTGATGCACGATTCCACCCTCTTTTCCAGCCATCTTGGACATTTGGACGGCTGCGGGGTGAAGCTACACCGAGAAATACGGGAGTCGTACTACCAACTGCTTCTCTTCCTGGTCAACGCCCTGAAAGGATTCGACAGCATTCACGACAAGTATGGGCTTCACTTACGTCCAAAGCATGCGAGATAGATTGCTGCTGTCGGTCTTTTTCTCTGATCTTTCTATCAATATGGAGTCGTTGGGAGGGAAGCATGCCGGCATTTTAGGGGTGTGGGATTTTGCCCTTCGAAATACGACAGCCAGTGGGGTGGTTGAGTAAGAATAATATGTGTAATAATAATATTACTAATAATATTAATATTAATATTAAATATTATTCATATTAATATTAAATAGTAATAATATTATTACTAATAATAATGAACCACTCAACTCTCACAAACAAGACTAATCAGATCACAGAATCCTAGAGTTGGAAGAGACTCCCAGGGCCATCTAGTCCACCCATTTTCTACCATGTGAGAAGACACCATCCAATTGCTCCCAAGTCCCGCTTATTAAGACTCCGAGATCCCTTTCATATGGACTATATATATATAATGACTTTCCTAGACATCCTCCTCCTATTGATGCAGTCTAGTATTGCATTGGCGTTTTTCGCTGCTGCATCACACTGTTGGCTATGACTCTGAGATCCCTTTTGCATGGACTCTCTCTCTATTTATTTATTTACGACATTTCTATGCCGCCCTTCTCACCCTGAAGGGGACTCAGAGCAGCTTACAAGTAATATGTAAATACAATAATAATTATAATAATAATAATCTTTATTTATACCCTGCCACCATCTCCCCAATGGGGACTCGGAGCAGCTTACATGGGGCCAAGCCTGGACAACATGTTACAGCAAAATAGCACCAAAACATAAACAATAAACAACATTATCAAAATTACATAGAAAAAGAATATATATATATACACACACACACACACACACACACACACATATACATAAAAATAAAAAAACATTCCAATAAACACATTCACAGTAACAGTGGGTAGGCCACATGTACAGGATAAAATGATTAAAAGACACTAATGAAATAAAAATAGGAGCAGGTTATTTACAGGGAGCTCATAAAAACACACAGGGTTGTGAAAGTAAACTTCTCATTTGAAGGTTATTAGTATTATATATTACTATATTGTACTACACCATTATACTGTAAAATTATTAGTAATATTACATGTAATATGAAACATATTATATAAATATATAATTATTATATTGTATTAGTATTATATTGCATTACATTATAATAATATCAATATTATATGAGTATACAATATTACAAGTAATAAGCGGCTTACAAGTAATATGTAAATACAATATATTATTACCTTAGTGCAATATTAGTATTATGTATTACTATATTGTATTATACAATTATAATATAATATTATTAGTAATATTACATGTAATATAAAATATATAATTATAATATCGTATTATTAGTTGTATTATATTGTATTACATTACAATATTAATATATGTATATACAATATATTATATTATTAGTGCAGGAGACACTATGCTATCTATCAATTATGACTTCCCTGGACTCTACACTCCTATGGATGCAGACTTTATTATATTATATTATATTATATTATATTATATTATATTATATTATATTATATTATATTATTAGCACAGTCCAGGAGACACTATGCTATCTATCTATCTATCTATCTATCTATCTATCTATCAGTTATGACTTCCCTGGACTCTACACTCGTATGGATGTAAATACAATATATTATATTATTACCTTAGCACAATATTAGTATTATGTATTATATATGGAGTCATTGGGAGGGAAGCACGCCGGCATTTGAATATTGTACTATACAAGTATACTATAATTATAATATCCTATTATTATTATTAGTATTATATTTATTACATTATAATATTAATATTATATGTATATACAATATATTATATTATATTATATTAGCACAGTGCAGGATACACTATGTGCTATCTATCTATCTATCAGTCATGACTTCCCTGGACTCTACACTCCTATGGATGCAGCCTATATTATATTATATTATATTATATTATATTATATTATATTATATTATATTATATTATATTGTAAGCACAGTGTAGGAGACACTATGCTATCTATCTATCAGTCATAATTTCCCTGGACTCTACACTCCTATTGATGCAGTCTATATTATATTATATTATATTATATTATATTATATTATATTATATTATATTATATTATTAGCACAGTGTAGGATACACTATGCTATCTATCTATCAGTCATGACTTCCCTGGACTCTACATTCCTATTGATGCAGTATATTATATTATATTATATTATATTATATTATTAGCACAGTGCAGGAGACACTATGCTATCTATCTATCAATCATGACTAGAATTGCATTGGCCATGTTCAGTGTGTGATCTACTAAAACTCCGAGATCCCTTTCCCAGGGACTATTGTCAAGCCAAAGGCAGGCTGCCTCCGAGTTACAAACATCTGAGTTAGGAATGACTCATAGCTAAAAACAGGGCTGACATCACGGGAAGTGAGAGGAATCTCCCCCTCAGAAGGAAGGGAAACCCATTCCTGGGAGAATTATGATTATCCGAGTGAGAAGGGGGTGCCACTGATGCTTTCTCACCTCAAGAAGCCATATATGTCCTGAAATACAAACAAATGCAGCTTAAGAAAGAACACACCTCAAGCAGCACTCTTGCTTATCTCTTGAGGGGTCGGGTGGCTCCGCAAGAGACCCACCTTCCCGAAAGTGTGGCTGCCCTCCCCTCCCCTTGTAAGCCCCCCCCCCCAGGTTGTCCTTTGGCGGCCTTCAAGAGCCCCTTGTTTTCTAACGGCGCTGCCCTGGTTTGTCTCCCCTGTCTGTCCAGATCGTTGTTGCTCCCGGCCTTGTCCTGCGTCCAGACGTCCCTCCTCCACCTCCTGGACATGGGCTGGGAGCCGAGTGACCTTTCCTTCTTTGTTGATATACAGCTGCCGCGCCTCCTCCTCGCCGTCTCCCAGGAGAACATCGGCTCTCACGACACCGCCCAGCGGTAAGCCACGTTCCGAGGGGGGTTTCTTCCCTTTTGGCTCCTGTGTGGGGTGGGGTGGGGTGGTAACAGATACTTTCCAAGCATACATGACTTTCCCTTATTCCCTCTCCTGGAGAAGAGAACCGAACGTGGGTCAGATCACGTGACCTGCCAATCTGCCATTCTGCAGATACGCCATCTCTTGGAGAAAGTCTCCACTGTCTGCCACACTTTGGGATAGTAAAAAGGTCTCTTACATAGCGTATTTCTTTCTATTGTTGCCTCAAAAAGTGGTAAATGACTGACAGGGTGTTTAGCAGCTAAAACCTGCAGCCTCTGTCAGTTCTGGACATATTTTGGTATTGTTTCTTAAATAAGGTGCTTGGTGCCTGCCTCCTGAACTTAAAGAATCCTTGTCCTTGACTGTGTAAACATGTTGTTTTCAACCCAAGAGTTACCCGTGGTCTCTCATCATGCCAGAAGTTCAGTTTAGCAGGCTTCAATATTCACTCTTCTGTTTTCAGGCTATATAGGCCTCAGCCATACAACTTTCCTACAATTTCATTCAAATTATATATATTACATAAATAAAATAAATAAACCACACATTAAATTTGATCACAGTAGCAAAAGCGAGTACCATGAGTGAGTTGATTGAATCTGTACGTTTGCCAGCAACAAAATGTATTTTGTTTTCAGGTTTTCGGGTAATATTATTGTAGCCCACGTACATAAGACTAATAGAATCCTGGAGTCAGAAGGGGTCTCCAGAGGCCATCCAGTCCAACCCCACGGATGTAGGAAGACACCATCCGATCCTCCTGACAAATGGCCATCCAGACTCTGCTTTAAAATCTGTATCATAGAATCTTAGGGTTGGAAGGGACCTCCAGGACCATCCAGTCCAACCCCGTTTTGCCTTAAAGGAAGACACCATCAAAGCCATCCTGACAGATGGCCATCCAGACTCTTTAGAAATACATATAAGAGAATCCCAGAGTTGAAGAGACCCCAGAGGTCATCCTATCCAACTCATGTCTGACATAAATAATAAATTTTAATGAAATGAGATTAAATTGCAAGATGGAAGCAGGGGGATTAAAGAATAATAATAATGATGATTTTTTTGATCGTGTCAGGAGTGACTTGCGAAACTGCAAGTCGTTACTGGTGTGAGAGAATTGGCCGTCTGCAAGGACGTTGCCCAGGCGACGCCCGGATGTTTCAATGTTTTACCATCCTTTTGGGAGGCTTCCCTCATGTCCCCGCATGAGGAGCTGGAGCTGACAGAGGGAGCTCATCCGCTCTCTCCCCGGATTTGAACCTGCGACCTGTCAGTCTTCAGTCCTGCTGGCACAAGGGTTTAACCCACTGCGCCACTGGGGGCTCCTAATAATAATAATAATAATGATAATAATCATCATCATCATCATCATCATCATCATGTAAGCTGCTTGGAGTATCTTTTTAAGAGAGAAAAAGCTGGATACACTACTACTACTACTAATGATAATAACAATAGAGTGATGAGTGACAAAGAATATAGTGACAAAGATACAGAATGGGGGATGATGCCTGGCTCGAGAGCAGTAATGTGTGAAAAAGATCTTCGAGTCCTCGTGGACAACAAGTTAAACATGAGCCAACAAAGTAATGTGGTGGCAAAAAAGCCAATGGAATTTTGGCCTGTCTAGTGTCTAGATCCAGGGAAGTCATGCTCTCCATACTCTATTCTGCCTTGGTTAGACCACACCTGGAATATTGTGTCCAATTCTGGGCACCACAATTGAAGAGAGATGTTGACAAGCTGGAATATGTCTAGAGAAGAGCAAGGGTCTGGAGAACAAGCCCTATGAGGAGCGGCTTAAAGAGCTGGGCATGTTTAGCCTGAAGAAGAAAAGACAGAGAGGAGACATAATAGTCATATGTAAATATGTAAGGGGAAGTCATAGGGAGGAGGGAGCAAGCTTGTTTTCTGCTAAAGACTAGGACACAATGGAGCAATGGCTTCAAACTACAAGAAAGGAGATTCCATCTGAACTTCCTGACTGTGAGAGCTGTTCAGCAGTGGAACTCTCTGCCCAGAAGTGTGGTGGAGGCTTTCAAACAGAGGTTGGATGGCCATTGGTCAGGGGTGCTTTGAAGGGGATTTTCCTGCTTCTTGGCAGAATGGGGTTGGACTGGGTGGCCCACAAGGTCTCTTCCAGCTCAAGGATTTTATGAGTCAGGGAATTTAGACAAGTTCATTGCCATTAGAAGGAACCCCATGCTGCTGGATAAAGGGATCTCAATCCAGTGCTTCCTGCAGCTTCAACTGGGGAGGCCTGTCCTTGGGGTTGTCTCAAGCTCTGCCTTTCCCCCCCGCAGTCAATGGAGCGAAGAAGAGGAAATGTCCGACTACAAGCAGAATTTGGAGTGGATGGACGAGTGCCAGGAAGGGCTCTTTGAGATCTGGTTTGACAAGATCGGCCAAGCTGACACAGAGAAGCAGCGCAAGGTTGGCGCGGGAGGGGGAAACGGGGTGGCGCTCTGGACGGAAAGGGAAGGCCCTCGGCCGCCCCGTCGCCAACGCCGTCTGGTCCGTTTTCCCTGTTCCAGATGCACATGTTCATCGCCCGCTACTGCGACCAGCTGCGCGTGGACTTCTCCTGTGATGGCTGCGACGAGATTGCGCCGTGGCACCGCTACCGCTGCTTGCGCTGCAACGACATGGACCTCTGCAAGACATGCTTTTTGGGTAAGCTGGGTGGGCAGCCTTTGTGGGACGACACCAACATCACAACACAGTCATATGCAAAAAAATATTTATTTATTTATTTATTTATTTATTTGCAACATTTATATGCTGCCCTTCTCACCCCAAAGGGGGGAGATAGATAGATAGATAGATAGATAGATAGATGATAGATAGATAATAAAAATAAAAATGTAATGTTCATTTGTGGGATTAACAGAACTCAAAAACCACTGGACGAATTGACACCAAATTTGGACACAAGACACCTAACAACCCAATGTATGTCCTTCACTCAAAAAAATTGATTTTGTCATTTGGGAGTTGTAGTTGCTTGGATTTATAGTTCACCTACAATCAAAGAGCATTCTGAACCCCACCAATGATGGAATTGAACCAAACTTGGCACACAGAACTCCCATGACCAACAGAAAATACTGGAAGGGTTTGGTGGGCAGTGTCCTTTGGTTTTGGAGTTGTAGTTCACCTACATCCAGAGATCACAGTGGACTCAAACAATGATGGATCTGGACCAAACTTGGCACGAATACTCAATATGCCCAAATATAAACACAGATGGAGTTTGGGGGAAATAGATCTTGACATTTGGGAGTTGTAGTTACTGGGATTTATAGTTCACCTACAATCAAGAGCATTCTGAACCCCACCAATGATAGAATTGGGCCAAACCTCCCACACAGAACCCCCATGTGGGCCACAGCAATGCGTGGCAGGGGACAGCTAGTACAATATATTGTATTTACATATGACTTCTAAGTCGCTCTGAGTCCCCTTCGGGGCAAGAAGGGTGGCAAATAAATGTCATAAATAAATAAATAGGTCAACAGCAAGCTAGACTAATGGCTCACTCCAACCTGGTCAGGCTTCGAACTCATGACCTCTAGTGATTTGATGTAGCTGGCTATCAGCTAGCTGCACCACAGCCCGGTGGTGAGGTGTTTCAACAGAAACCAAGTCACCAGACCCAACCCTTTTAGAGCAGTCCACATTTCTATACATCTTCCATTGGAAAGAGTGGGTGGGTGCCGCTGGGGGGCCCCTGTTTCCCTGCCGTGAGGTCAGCCCTGCAACCGCATGTGCTTCTCCCTTTCCTTTCCTGCAGGCGGGGTACGGCCGGAGGGCCACGAGGCCCAACACGAGATGGTGCACATGGCCTACACCTGCGGGCAGTGCCGGGGAGTCATTGTCGGCCGACGCGCACATTGCGACGAGTGCCAGGATTTGGACCTGTGCTTTGGCTGCTACTCCGCTAAGAAGCCCTCCGACAGGTATTCCCCCTTCCCATGGGTTCTGTCCTAATAACATGGAGAAAGTCGGTTGCGGAAGGGAGGCCCGGCTCTCGCACCTTCGGCTCTAGTTTCTCAGTGAGTCTCTCAACAATGTTGTTGTTCATTCGTTCAGTCGTCTCCGACTCTTCGTGACCTCATGGACCAGCCCACGCCAGAGCTCCCTGTCGGCCGTTACCACCCCCAGCTCCCTCAAGGTCAGTCCAGTCACTTCAAGGATGCCATCCATCCATCTTGTCCTTGGTCGGCCCCTCTTCCTTTTGCCTTCCACTTTCCCCAGCATAATTGTCTTCTCTAGGCTTTCCTGTCTCCTCATGATGTGGCCAAAGTACTTCAACTTTGACTCTCAACAATGAGTCTCTACCAATTCAACCTACTTTGCGGCCGCAACAAAAACAACAAAGTTTCTGGAAGAGAACAACAACTGTCAAATTTATTTATTTATTGACAGTATTTATATTCCGCCCTTCTCAGGGCGGATCACAATACACATATACATGGCAAACATTCAATGCCATAGACACACAACATAAACAGACACACTGAGGCTATTTAACATTCCAGCTTTATCAGGGTATGCTTTGAATTCCGGCCACCGGGGGAGCTGTCGCTTCACTGTCCACTTGTGACACCGATGGAGTACTTCCTCATTCTTTTGCACGCTGCTGGAGAGTTTTATGGCGTCGTAAATTAGTTATACAGGGAGGCTAATTTAACTAATTTACAACACCATAAAAATCTCCAGCAGCATGCAAAAGAATGAGGAAGTACTCCATCGGTGTCTCAAGTGGACGGTGAAGATCCGCCCTGAGAAGGGCGGAATATAAATACTGTCAATAAATAAATCATAAATAAATGTGGTACATCCGGTTGGGAGTCAGCTGCATTAAAATCACTACTGACTGAAAGGTCATGAGTGCGAAGCCAGCCCAGGTCAGAGTAAGCTCCCAATCATTTGTACCACATCCGGTCCACAAACACATAGATACATAGATTTGGATCGCATAGGGAAGGGTTCGCCCTCCCTTGATTTGCCAGTAAAACAGCAGGACTGTGTAGCAGAGGGATGCACGTCTGAAAAGTGTGTCCCCAACATGGAAAGATTGTATAAGGGTCTGGTTTGGAGGTCTTGAAGGAAGATGGATGATAGCGGATGCATGAAGGATGAAAGGGGGGTAGATACACAGGTGATGGATGGGGAGATGGAGGACGGTTGCATGACCGTGTCACGAAATGAAGCATGTCTCAAGAATCTGTCCCCAACCAGACATGTTTGAATAGCTCTGGGTCACACACAGATATATGGATGGACGATAGACATCCAGACAAATGGAGAATGAATGGAGGATAGATGGATTGATGTTGGAGGGTGGACATTGGCAATAAAACTGGAAGAGGCGCATCTCAAAAGGTTTGGGAAGCAGGTCTATGCCTATGCGTGGGTATGGGTGGATGAGTGGATGCCCGGGGGCTTGATGCGTCTTTCTCTCTCATCCAGTCACCTGCCCAGCCACAGCGTCACACTGCACCCCACGGTCACTGTCCGGACCAGTGAGCGCCACCGGCCCATACAGCCCTACCTGCACAACTACTCCTGGCTGCTCTTCTCAGCCCTGGCCCTCTACAGCGCTGACCTGGCCACCGGGGGTGGTGGAGCCCAGGCGGAGGAGCAGGGTGAAGAGGCCCCTGACCCACCGGCCGTTGCTTGTGCCAGAGCCCTGCAGCAGGAATGCCTGGAGCTCCTTGGGGATTGCCTCCTGAAAGTCCAGCAGGGGAAAGGTAATGGTGGACTCCGATGAGCCTTGTAGCTCCAAGGGCCACAAGGGCCCCCAGTGCAGCCCCTGGTGTCTGCCTGGGTCTTATTGGGATCTGTCGAGGTCTGTCTAGGTATCATAGAAAGCTAGAGTTGGAATGGATCCCAAGGGCCACCCAGCCCTGAAACTGTCGATCACTGCTGGCTGAAGAATTTAGCCTGACCTCCCAAACAAAACAAACACTCAGAGCAGCTAGTCTTAAACACACACTCAGATTTCGAATGCACTCTAAGACAAGGCTTACTTGAAGCAAAGGGAGCAAAGATGGCTTCTTGCTTCCTCAACTTCTGTGGGAACTCAACTGCCACTTGAGCTCAGATATAATAATATAATATAATATAATAATATAATATAATATAATATAATATAATATAATAATATCAATATTATATGTGTATACAAAATATTATTAGCACACATAATATTAGTATTATATATTACCATATTGTACTATAGCACTATACTGCAATATTATTAGTAATATACAATTGACTGGTTGCCCTGACATGACAAATAAATAAATAAATAAATACACACAATATTAGTATTATATATTAGTTTATAGTAGTATACCACTATACTGTAATACTATTAGTAATRTTACATGTAATATGAAATATATAATTATATACATATATAATTATTATATTGTATTATTATATTATATTAAATTATAATAATATCAATATTATATATGTATACAATATATTATTAGCACACACAATATTAGTATTATATATTACTATATTGTAGTATACCACTATACTGTAATACTATTAGTAATATTACATGTACTATAAAATATATTATTATTATATTGTATTATTAGTAGTATAATATTGTATTACATTATAATATCAACRTTATATGTGTATAAAATATATTATATTATYACACACAATATTAGTATTATATATTACTTTATAGTAGTATACCACTATACTGAAATATTATTAGTAATATGACATGTAATATGAAATATATAATTATATACATATATAATTATTATATTGCATTATTATTACATTATATTAAATTATAATAATATCAATATTATATATGTATACAATATATTATATTATTAGCACACACAATATTAGTATTATATATTACTATATTGTACTATACTGTAATATAATTAGTAATATTACATGTAATATAAAATATATAATTATTATATTGCAATATTATTATTATTATTATTTATTCTGCCACGCAAGAATTCCTATTAGATTGTTACTCAGTGTTATCATTTATTAGTATTCGTATTAGTATTGTTCTCATAGGGTTGGGCGGGATCCCATCCAATCCAACCCCCTTCTGCCATAAAGGAAGGCACCTCCTGATCCCTCCCGATAGGTGGCCATCCGGACTCGGCTTAAAACCTTCCAGAGAAAGTGGCTCCATCAAACTCTGTGGCAACCTCTTCCCCTGCCCAACAGCGGAAAGATTTTCCCTACTACTTAGGTGGAATCTCTTTTCCTAATTCATTAATATATTATTATGATGAATACTAACAATTCTCTTGGTCGTGCCATGATGCATCTCTAGGGGGCGCCATCATATTGCACCATTACTCTGTACAAAGGATGTCCCTTTTCCTTCAAGGTTTTGTGCTTTTCCCCATATGCTCAGGTCTGAAAGGCCTGGCCTTGCTCTCCATGTTGCCGGACGGTGAATCCTTTGCCGAAAACGCGGCCCCATCGCTTGATGCTTCTGCAGATGCTGCGACGCAACACTTTGCAAAGGAGGAAGTGGCGGGAAGCCTTCCAGCGACGCCTGTGCCTTTCGCCCATTGCAACGTAAGTCCCGTGACAGAGCGCCTGGCTGGACCTCCCTTCTGGCTCTGAATGACCGTAGCAAGGAAAGGAAAGATTACAGGCCGTCCCCGAGTTACAAGCAGGCCACTTACACATGTACTACAAACAAATAGATGGTTTTTGACTGACCGAACTCCTTTTATCAATATATACAGTGTGTTAACGGTTAGGCTTGCAGGCTCTACTCATGTCTGGCTGTGTTGGCAATGTACAGATCTATATAAATAAAAATGTAATGTTCGTTTGTGGGATTAAGGTAAAGGTAAAGGTAGTCCCCTGACAATAAGTCCAGTCATGTCTGACTCTGGGGTGTGGTGCTCATCTCCATTTCTAAGCCAAAGAGCCGGCGTTGTCCATAGTCACCTCCAAGGTCATGTGGCCGGCATGACTGCATGGAGCGCCCTTACCTTCCCGCCGGAGCGGTACCTATTGATCTACTCACATTTGCATGTTTTCGAACTGCTAGGTTGGCAGAAGCTAGGGCTGACAGCGGAAGCTCATGCCGCTCCCCGGAATCAAACCTGCGACCTTTCGGTCAACAAGCTCAGCAGTTCAGTGCTTTAACCCACTGCGCCACCAGGGGCTCCGTTTGTGGGATTAACATAACTCAAAAACCACTGGACGCATTGACACCAAATTTGGATACAATTCACGTATCAGGCCAATGAGTGTCCATATATACACATACACAAATATATGCACACACAAAGCACATATACACAGACTGGGCCACAGCAACGCATGGCAGGGGACAACTAATGTGTATATATACGTATAAATGTAATGTTAGTTTGTGGGATTAACATAACTCAAAAACCACTGGGCAAATTGACACCAGATTTGGACACAAGACACCTCTTAGGCCAACGAGTGACCATCACTCATAAAAACACTGAAAAAACACAGCGGAAGGGACTAAAAAAGCCAATTTTTTAATAAAGAAAACACTGACACATGCGCAAAACCACACACACACACATATCTATATATGTTAAAATGCTCTGTGCATAATGAGTACCTTAAAAACAAAAGAACCAAATTTGGCCACAAAACGTCTCACTACACAAAGAGTGACCATCACTCAAAAAATTATGATTTTGTCATTTGGGAGTTGTAGTTGCTGGGATTTATAGTTCACCTACAATCAAAGAGCATTCTGAACTCCACCAACAATGGAATTGAATCAAACTTGGAACACAGGACTCCCTTGACCAATATTAGAAGGGTTTGGTGAGCATTGACCTTGGGTTTGGGAGTTGTACTTCACCTACATGTAGAGAGTACTGTTGACTCAAACAATGATGGATATGGACCAAACTTGGCACGAATACTCAACATGCCCAAATGTGAATACTGGTGGAGTTTGGGGAAAATAGATCTTGACATTTGGGAGTTGTAGTTACTGGGATTTATAGTTCACCTACAATCAAAGAGTAGTCTGAACTCCACCAACGATAGAATTGTGCCAAACTTCCCACACAGAACCCCCATGTGGGCCACAGCAACACATGGCAGGGAACGGCTAGTATATAAATACAAATGTAATGTTCCTTTGTGGGATTAACATAACTCAAAAACCACTGTATCAATTGACATAAAATTTGGACACAAAACACCTATCAGGCCAACAAGTGACCATCACTCATAAAAACAGTGAAAAACACAACAGAAGAGACTTAAAAAGCCAAAAAACAAAAATACATTATAACGCAAGTGCAAAACCACATATACACACAAACACACACATATACACAAATATATACACACACACATACAAAGACTGGGCCACAGCAACGCGTGGCAGGGGATAGCTAGTATACAATTTAGGTATATATTGTACTTAAATTTCAAGTAGGAAATTTAGGTACAATTGTACCTAAATTTCCTACTTGACAGATGCAACTGTCTTTTGGGTTACAAAGGTTGACAGGAAGCTAGACTATTAATGGTCAGGAGCTCACTCCAACCCGGGCTGGCTTTGAACTCATGACCTCTCAGTCAGTAGTGATTCAATGCAGCTGGCTACTCACTAGCTTCACCACAGCCCGATCGCCAACTTACTCCAACTTGTTCCAACTTACATGGCAATTCAACTTAAGAACAAACCTAGAGAACTGATTTTGTCTGTGACTTGTGGACGGCCTGTGCTTAGGAATAGAAATGCTTGTACATCCAATGCCTGTGAATAATTTGGTTGCAACTTTGGGCCTTCCTTCCTTCCTTCCTTCTCAGGGAAATGGAAAAGAAATCCCGGGAATCGCAAACGACAAACAAGAGCCGAGCGACGCTTCCAATGGACTTCCATCCAAGAAGAAGAAGAGTGACCTGCCCGAGAGGGAGCCTGCCGTGCCTCGTTCTGATTCCCAGCCTCCCGGTCAAGGTGACATCCTAGTTTCTCCATGGAAGTCCAAGTGGCTGTTGTATGTCAGGGCGATCTGGCTGCGAGATCTGCCACCCCCTTGATCGCCAAGGTCGATTTGGCTGGTAGAACCTCCAGACAAACAAGGGACCGTTGTGTCCGTCTTTGTCCCTAATTCAGAAAGCGTTCTTCTCACAGGAAGTAGTCAGAAGCGGTGGTCAACCTATTCGCTTCCTCTGTTTTAGGCGCTGACGATTGGCCTCTGAACCAAGCGGTGCCAGTCCAAGAGGCCCTGTTTGCCGAATGCTCCCAAAAGAGGATCCTGGGCCTCTTGGCGGCCATGTTGCCTCGCTTGAAACCAGTAAGGAGCGCTCCGCAACCCGGGGAGGGGGGGCAAGGGGGTGGGAATTGCACTGCTGCTTCCAATTACATTGGACTACAATTCCCAGCATGACAGAGAATATTGAGAGTCCAATCCCAACAATATATGGAGGCTTTCGACTTAGGTGTTATCATCTTTCTGCTCAGGTTGGGTGATTGCTACTGTTTGAAGGTAGATGTCCAAAGAAGGGGGTTGGATGGGGGGCCCTTAGCGTCTCTCCCGACTCTCAGATGCTATGACTCTCCCATGAAGGGTGCAACTGCATTCTGTGGACAAAATATGACTAATTTTTAATGCCAGTTGAAAATAATAATAATAACAACAACAACAACAACAACTAGAGTGTGCTGTGACCCACCTCCAACTATGAGGAGAGGCGGATAAGAAATAATAATCGTAATAATAATATTAATAATAGTAGTAGTAGTAGTAGTACACTGGGTTGCTGTAGGTTTTTTGGGCTATATGGCCATGTTCCTGTAGCATTCTCCTGACATTTCACCCACATCTCTGACAGGCATCATCAGAGGTTGCGAGGTCTGTTGGAAACTAGGAAAATGGGGTTTATATGTCTGTGGAATGTCCAGGGTGGGAGAAAGAACTCTTGGCTGTTGGAGAGAAGTGTGAATGTTACCAATGGCCACTTGTGATTACACTGTTCTACAAATTTTCAGTTTCTCTCAGTTGCGGAAACGAAATGTGCCGTTTCTTAATAAATTTAACATGCTGAATTCAAATATAATAATTAAATGTGTTAATTGGCTCTGGTTTTTATGCAACAGCTATTTCAATTTTCTCCACAATAGGTAATTCGTTAATATTATGATAACGCGCCTAACCTTACTGCATGTATATAAACCGTGAATATTTACTACATTTTAGTCAAATTATATTGCCAATAGTTTATACATGAGAAATATTTATTTAATTAGTCTATTGTTTATGTTTGTGCAGCAAGAAACTCTATTAGTAGGCCTAATGCAGTTGAAAAGTCTGAAAGTGTAAATGTTGCTTTAATAGTGACTTTAGTTTTTATCCTGTTTGCTTCTCTTGACTGTTCTTTTGTATTCAAGGAAAGGATTGTCTCTTACAATGCTCCAGAAGTAGTCTGACAGCATTGACGGAGTCCATTGGCCTTGATAGCTTTTTTCCATAGTGCTTTATTTACACACATGCGAGGCATAACTACAGTCAAAAGAACAATGTAAAATGATGTTTAACGATACTGTCTCAGTCTTCAACTGACTGACCCTCACCGTTCAAAAGTCTGGCCTTATATAGGGCTTTCTGGCTTTTGCACACGGCACTAATACTGCGTCATCAAACTTTCTAGAATATTCTAGAATCTTCCATAGTGTAAGTCGCAACATGCATTTTTTCAACCATATGTGATCACGTGATTGCTTATATCATAAAAACTAGAGCCAATATACATTTTTAAATTTTCAGGCCTGCAACTTTTTCTCCGTTGAACAGTGTTAGCACTGAAAAGCCTTGCAACTTCAAAGCCTAGCTGCTTCCTGTCTGGGGGAATGCTTTTTTTGGGAGGTGTCAGAGGTTGAGGGATCTGTTGGAAACTAGGCAAGTGAGGATTATATATCTGTGGAATGATGTCCTTCCTTCTCTTTGCAGGGCCTGACAACACCTCTGTCTGGCCTGGACCGGGTCCTGCCGCTCCTGTTCCAGGAAGTGATCTCCAACGCGGGGCGACTGAACGAGGCCTACCACCTGGCGCTGGGGCTGCTGGGGCAGGTCATCCGCAGGCTGCCCCCAGCTGAGGTGGATGCGGCGCTGGGCAAGGTCTTCTCAGCCAAGCAGGGCCCCTTGGTGGCCGGCGGAGAGGGCCCCTCGGCATCCCCCCAAGGCTGGAAGACCACCCACCTGCTCTTCAGCCTGGGAGCCGCCTGCTTGGAAAGGTACCCACCCCTCTCAGAGCAGAGCTCGGTCATGCTGGGATGTTTGTTTGTCTGCCTCTGGGTTGGCAGGGGCATTTCCTAATTGGTTATGTCATCAAAACATAGGGAAAGGGTATTGGAATCCTATAATCCTAGAGTTGGAAGAGACCTGTGGAAACGAGGATCGGAATGAGAGCTCCATGGGAGCCTCTTTTTTCCCCTGATCATAACTTTTCCCAGAGTGCATTTCCCTTCCTTCCGAGGAAGAGGTTACTCTCCCTTCCTGTGTTCTCAGCCCCGTTTTTAGCTATGAGTTAGATGTTTGTAACCTGGGGTCAACCTGTATATAGTAATAATAATAATCATCATCATCATCACACAGTCCTAGACGCTTGAGAAGTGTTCAACTTGTGATTTTGTGATATGAAATCCAGCATATAGATCTTGTTTGCTGTGACATATTGTGTTTTTGTGTCAGTAAAATAATAATAATAATAATAATAATAATAATAATAATAATAATAATAATAGAAGAGAGTCATCTCCCTTCCTATGGTCTCAGCCCCGTTTTTAGCTATGAGTTAGGTGTTTGTAACCTGGGAGCAGCCTGTATATATATAAAATAATAATACTAAAAATATATTATAGAATAATAATAATAATAATAATATGAGATTCCTCTCCCTTCCTGTGCTCATCCCCATATTTAGTTCTGAGTTAGGTATTTGTAACCTGAGAGCAGCCTGTATTTATATAAAATAATAATACTAATAATATATTATAGCATAATAATAATAATAATAATAATAATAATATGAGATTCCTTTGCCCTCCTGTGCTCTAACCCCCTTATTTAGCTATGAGTTTGGTGTTTGTAACCTGGGGCAACCTGTATATATATACATTAATAATACTAATAATATATCATAATATAGAAATAATAATAATAATAATAATAATAATAATAATAATAATATATTCCTCTCCCTTCCTGTGCTCTCAGCCCCGTATTTAGCTATGAGTTAGGTGTTTGTAACCTGGGAGTAGCCTGTATATATATATAAAATAATAATAATACTAATAATATATTATAGCATAATAATAATAATAATAATAATAATAATAATAATAATAATAATAATAATATGAGATTCCTCTCCTTTCCTGTGCTCTCAGCCCCGTATTTAGCTATGAGTTAGCTGTTTGTAACCTGGGGGCAACCTGTATACTATAATAATAATAATAATAATAATAATAATAATAATAATAATACTATAGTACTAATGATATATCATATGAGATTGCTCTCCCTTCCTGTGGTCTCAGCCCCATTGTTCTGAACTGAGAGTTGCTTGCAAGGGAGTGGGGTGTCTGTAACTTAGGGGCTGCCGGTAAATATATCTCTAAAAGTGTATACTATTCTATGATGGTTCCTCTTGTGACACATATGCTCTGCCTATGCTCTTGCAGTCGCCTGGGCCTGGACTGGGCCTGCATCCTGGCAGAGGCCTTGGGCGCCCTGAGCGCCTCCCCACAGTGGCACAGCGTGGTCTCGGCCTTCACGGAGCACTGTGTGAAGCAGCTTCCTTTCCAGCTGAAGCACACCAACCTCTTTGCCTTGCTGGTGCTGGTCGGCTTCCCAGAGGTGAGTGAGAAGGAGTGAAGGGATTTGGGGAAAGAAAAAATTTGCAAGGCTAGATCGGATTTAAGAGGCTAGAGATGTGTGCTTTCATTCTGCGACACCAGGTCCTGTGCACGGGAAGCCGGGCTGCGTATGTGGACGTGGCCAACGAGGCACATGACGTGGTTGTCCTCAAGCACTTTGCGGAGAAGGACAGGGCGGTGGTCGTGGATGTCAAAACGCGGAAGCGGAAAGCAGGTGGGACCCCTCCCTTCTGCCCCTGACCCCGGCTTCCCACGTTTGGAATGACGAGTGGTCCCGTTATCCCTCTCTCCAGGTGGGAGGTATCTGGGTATGGGCAGACTACAACTCCCATCATCCCGTCATTTACCCCACCCACCCACACCCCTATCCAGAACTTAAAGTTGGTTGTGACGAGTATGTAAACCACGTTTGAGTTTAGCCAAAAGGTTGAGAAGCTATTGAGACTACAACTCCCATCATCCTATGTCATTTCCCCCAACACACACTCATCCAGTATTTAAAGTTATTTGTGACGGATATGTATGCCATGCTTGATTTTAGTCAAAAGGTTGAGAAGCTATTAAGACTACAACTCCCATCATCTTATGTCATTTCCCCCCAACACACACTCACACATCTGTCCAGTATTTAAAGTTGTTTGTGATGGGTATGTACGCCATGCTTGATTTTAGTCAAAAGGTTGAAAAGCTATTGAGACTACAACTCCCATCATCCTATGTCATTTCCCCCAACACACACTCACACACCCGTTCAGTATTTAAAGTTGTTTGTGACGAGTATGTACGCCATGCTTGATTTTAGCCAAAAGGTTGTGAAGCTATTGGACTACAACTCCCATCATCCTTTGTCATCCCCCCCCCCCCGGTCCAGTATTTAAGGTTGGTTGCGACTAGTATATATACCACACCTAAAGGTTGAAAAGCTATTGGACTACAACTCCCATCATCCTTTGTCATCCCCCTCTCCCCCCGGTCCAGTATTTAAAGTTGGTTGTGATGAGTATATATACCACACCAAAAGGTTGAGAAGCTATTGGACTACAACTCCCATCATCCTTTGTCATCCCCCCCCCCGGTCCAGTATTTAAAGTTGGTTGTCATGAGTATATATACCACACCAAAATGTTGAGAAGCTATTGGGACTACAACTCCCATCATCCTTTGTCATCCCCCCTCCCCGGTCTAGTATTTAAAGTTGGTTGCGACGAGTATATATACCACACCAAAAGGTTGAGAAGCTATTGGGACTACAACTCCCATCGTCCTTCGTCATCCCCCCTCCCCGGTCTAGTATTTAAAGTTGGTTGCGACGAGTATATATACCACACCAAAAGGTTGAGAAGCTATTGGGACTACAACTCCCATCGTCCTTCGTCATCCCCCCTCCCCGGTCTAGTATTTAAAGTTGGTTGCGACGAGTATATATACCACACCAAAAGGTTGAGAAGCTATTGGGACTACAACGCCCATCAACCTGAGCCAATCCCCTCCCCCCTACTGGGGGGGTGTCTGCATGATTTTTGCTGTCCCTTGACACAAAGTCAAGCCAGTGAAGCAGAGCCTAGATTGCGACTCAAACCACGCCGTGTCTTCCCTGTTTCCGCCCAGTGAAGGACCTCCAACTGGTTCAGCCTTGTGGCCGAGATGACCGCAACGGGAACGGCGGCAACCCCGAGGGCCTCCTCCTGCGGCCGTACATCCCACACTTTGTGTTCATCGCTTGCCACCTTCTCCAGAGCGGCGTGGACAGCGGCTCCCCGGAGGCGGTGGAGGCCACCTGGGTCCTGTCCCTGGTCCTGAAAGGCCTTTACAAGGCACTGAAGGTACGCGGCTTCGACCAAGACATTCACTAATACAAGGGAGGGGCTCCCTTCAACATATTCTGGCAAAACCGAAACAAACCCCTTCACGATTCTGCAGAAGTTGCTTGCAAACACTTATAGCTGGAGGGATAGATTTTTCAAGGTGTGCGCCCACAACTCAATAAGATTCCCTGCCTCTCTAGAAGGGAAGCAGGAATTAAAGGGTCTCGCAGGGTCTGGAGTTTCTAAGGACATCGGAGGGTTGGTTTGTGCAGCATCTTCCTACTACAGTTTGCACTGAAACACCAGAATGTCAGCACAACTTAATTCTAGGTTAGAGAGACACAAGATTGTACAATCGGGATGTAAAGTGGGGCATAATAAGTATAATAAAAGTTATAATAAAGAGCAGAATAATAACAACAATCTGTATAAATAAAAATGTAATGTTTGATTGTGGGATTAACATAACTCAAAAACCACTGGGTGAATTGACACCAAATTTAGACACAAGACACCTCTCAGGCCAACGAGTGACCATCACTCATAAAACGCTGAAAAACACAGCAGAAGGGACTTAAAAAGCAAAAATAAATAAATATTTATGATATTTATATGCCTTCTCACCCTGAAGGGGACTCAGAGTGGCTTACAAGATATATATATATACACACACACACACACTTATACATATATACATATACATACATACATACATGTAATCTATTATATTATTAGCATAGCACAATAATAATAATAATAATAATAATAATAACAATAGTAGTAGTAATAGACATCCAGCCACTGGATGCGAACATTGGGCTCTTTGGGCTGTAACTCGCACCGCTTTCCTTCTTCCCGACAGACCTCTGCCTTTGAAGAAATACGAACAGCTTTTCTCCAGACGGGTTTGCTGAAACTGTTGGTGAAGAAATGCAGCAAAGGCACCGGCTTCAGCAAGACCTGGCTTCTCAGGGACTTGGAGGTAAGCCGAAGGGTTTGTGGCTTCCCAGCTGCAGTGTAACCCAGGTGGAGAGTTGGGCGTCTCTCTCGATCTGCACCTATGAAGGGTCTGTCCTATTTATTTATTTATTTATTTATTCGTGTCAGGAACGACTTGAGAAACTGCAAGTCGCTTCTGGTGTGAGAGAACCAGTGGTTCCCCATCGTGGTCCCTGTGAATCGCACATATGGTATTTCCTGTGCCTATGCAGACAGTTCGGAATCTTCTAGAAAATTTATTAGGCGGTAGCCCCGCCCACTCTCCCCTTGAGAGTATATATAGCCAATGGGAGGGGCTACTGCCTCAGATCCTTTCATCCGCCGCCATTGCAGCAGCTAGGAATCTCTCATTTTTCTTCATCTTTGGTGCAAATTCACAGGTAACCACTCAAGGAACTACAGTTACAAGTAAACAACCTATATTCTGCAAGGATGTTGCCCAGGCAATACGGACCCCACACTAAAAGTATGCCTAATCATGCCCATGAGAGAGAGATTATGTGTTCTTTCCGTTGTTGTCCTCTCGCAGATCTTGTCACTGATGCTCTACTCCTGCAAAAAAGAGGCTGGTTCCCTGGCGGAACGTAAGGAGGAAGAGCCGGATCTGGAGCAGGATCAGGACCAGGCCGCCACTGCGGCGCCTGCGGGTGCCACACAGGGCCGCCTCGACCCGCTGGAAGGCCTGGACGAAACCACCAAGATCTGCTTCCTGGTATTTTTTTTTCCTGCTTCGTAACAGAATGGGGTTGGACTGGATAATATATATAATTATAAATATAAGTATATAATTATATATTTTATATTACATGTAATATTACTAACAATATTACAGTATAATGGTAGAGTGCAATATAGTAATATATAATACCAATATTGTGCTGTGCTAATATTATAATATATTGTATTTACATATAATATTGATAATAATGTAATATAATAAATATAATACTATTAATAATAATAATATATTATAATTATATATTTTATATTACATGTAATATTACTAATAATATTACAGAATAATGTTATAGTGCAATATAGTAATATATAATACTAATATTGTGCTGTGCTAATAATATAATATATTGTACTTACATATAATATTGATAATATAATATAATACAATATAATACTATTACTACTAATAATAATAATATATATTATAATTCTATATTTTATATTACATGTAATATTACTAACAATATTACAGTATAATGGTAGAGTGCAATATAGTAATATATAATACCAATATTGTGCTGTGCTAATATTATAATATATTGTATTTACATATAATATTGATAATAATAAAATATAATACAATATAATACTATTACTACTAATAATAATAATATATATTATAATTCTATATTTTATATTACATGTAATATTACTAACAATATTACAGTATAATGGTAGAATGCAATATAGTAATATATAATCCTGTTATTGTGCTGTGCTAATAATATTACATATAATATTGATAATATTATAATGTAATACAGTATAATACTACTACTACTACTAATAATAATATATTATAATTATATATTTTATATTACATGTAATATTACTAATAATATTACAGTACAATGGTATAGTACAATATAGTAATATATGATACTAATATTGTGCTATGGTGATGATATAATATGCTATATTGTATATACATATAATATTATAATGTGATACAATATAATAATATGATAATATGATATAATTATATATTGTATATTATATGTAATATTACTGTATAATAGTAGAGTAATATTGTGCTATGATAATAATATAATATATTGTATTTACATATTACTTGTAAGCTGCTCTGAGTCCCCTTCTAGGGGGTCTCAGAGCGTAAATAAATAAATAAATAAAATATAGGTGAGAGCATGTGAATTGTACAAGGTCCAGAGAATGAGTCCCATTGGGTGAGTTGTGGTCACTGAAGTAATTCCAGGCTGCGTTACGCTTTTAGTGTAGGCGCACCCATAGTCCCCCCCCCCCCCCAGCAGAGAGGGCCAGGACGTTAATGTGTCTTGGGCCTGCTTTCAGATGACGCACGACGCCCTGGATGCCCCACTGCACATCCTCCGGGCCATGTACGAACTGCAGATGAAGCGGAGGGACTCTTTCTTCTTGGAGGTGCAGAAGAGGTAAAGTAGGGTCTGCCTCAGGCAGCAAAAGTGGAGGGGAGACACCCACAACTGGCATGTGCCGTCTCCAGCAGTGTGCAAAAGAATGAGGGAGAACTCAATTGGTGTCACAGCTCCCCCGGTGGCCGGAATTCAAAAAGCATGCCTTCATGAAGATGGAGAGTTTAGTAACCTGTGTGTCTGGCTATATATATGTTGTGTGTCTGTGGCATTGAATGTTTGCATTGTGCATTGTGATCTGCCCTGAGTCCCCTGAGGGGGGAGAAAGGCCGAATATAAATATTGTCAATCAATAAATAATTAATTAACCTTGGCTGGGGTTCTGGCTCCCAGGAAGGAAGCGTGGCTTTTGCTGCCTATTTTTGCATCTTGCAAATGAACACCTGGCCGTGGGGAAAGGCCGGCCAAATCACGACGGTTTTGGATTTCCACAAACCCCAGATTTGAACTCCCAAGCTGGAAATGGCTTTTGGAATATGTAAATTTCCATGCAAAGTGCTGTCAATTTTGGAGTGGCCGCTTTCTGACTGTGAAATGTTTCTCTTCGTCAAAGATTTGATGGTGACGTGGTGACAACCGATGAGCGGATTCGCACGCTGGCCCAGAAGTGGCAGCCCAGCCAGCAGACCCGCTCCGAGGAGCAGAGCGCCAAAGCCCTGGACACCGACATGATTGTGGTGCCTTGCCTGGTGAGCGAGCAGCCGCCCGTCCACCCCCGAAAATATTCCCCATTGACTCAAATCCAACGCCCACCTTTTGGGGCTGAATTCCCTCGCCAAAATTAGGGTGCACTCGCAGGTCGTGGACTCCTCTTTGTGGCCCCATTTCTTAAGGTTGGCTCTGCATCTTGTGGTGCCAGAGCACAGTCTGTTCAGCATCTTCGAAGTCATCCAGTTTTCTGTGTGCCCAGGAGGGAGTCTCTCATTTGGTATCGGCCATTCATTTAGCCTGCCACTTTTGGACTCTTGCTTGCTGAGGTGTTCCCGTGAGCATCTGTCAATCTTAGAAAACCATTTGTATTTCCATAGCAGTGAACCAAGGCAATCAAAGTGGATGCGTTTGGCAGCAGAGAGGCTCTCCAAGGGCTCTCTTTCCATTGCTGGGAGGTTTTCACATCATTGCTTATAATGAAGGGGTTCTAGTCCTGCAGCAACTGCAATGCACACTTTTTTTTTTTGCCAAATGAGAAAATGTGCCCTTTTTGCAACTAAGCACGAAAATTGAGGTGTGCATTAGATTCAGTGGTGTATGACACAACCCCCCCCCCCCCGCCCCGCCAGTTACAAACATCCTACTTGCAAACGACTCATAGTTCAGAACGGGGCAGAGACCACAGGGAGGGAAATCTGCCCCTTGGAAGGGAAATCTTTTTCTCCTTCGTGGTCTCTGAAATTGCACCTATGGTATTTCTCTCGCTTGCGCAGTCAGTTCGGGATCTTCTATAACTCTTCTGTTCCTGGCTTGAAAGTGTCATTTCCTGTTTGGTTGTGCAGCTCTTCCTTTGAAAATAGTTGTTCTGCTCCAGTGATGAGTCATTCAAAAACTAGAGCCAGGTGTTTCCAGGTAGAACTTGGTCCTTGTCAGGGTTGGCTTGACGCGCCTTCTTCCTCTTGGCACGTTACTGCCTTTCACCCTCCATTCTTGCCTCTTCGTATTCCGCAGCACTGCTGGTCACAGCTGACCACCAGTTAGAGTGCTCAAGGGTCAGGGCTTCCCAGTTCTCTCTTCAGTGTCTCTGCCATGTCCAAATGTCTTGGTGGTGGGTCGATAGGTGGCCGTGCAGCCCTATTCTTGATCTGCATCTTCTCCCGCAGTGAGGACATTAGTTTCCAGGTGGAAGGCGGTCCCAGTCAGGGTTGGCTTGACGTGCCTTCTTCCTCTTGGCGCATTTCTCCCTTTTGCCCTACATACGTGCCTCTTTGAATTTTGCAGCACTGCTGGTCATAGCTGACTTCCAGTTAGAGCACTCAAGGGCCACGGCTTCCCAGTTCTCAGTGTTTATGTCACAGTTTTTAATAATTCTGGTTGTGAGATTCATCTCGCCTTACAACACGCTTTGTAGCCCCAGTGAGGCCCTGGTCCTCGCTGACTACAAATCCTGAAACTGCTTTGAGCTCCATTGGGTTGAACTTCCCTGCCCGCCTTGCTCCCCCCTCTCTGTCTTGCAGGCCAAGCCAGCTCCTTGCGGCACCGCCACGGAGGAGTCCAGCCCGGTCACCCAGAAGCTCATCGCCAGCACCGAGAGCGACCTGCGACTCAGCTACGCCAAGCAGCGCCGCGCCAAGAGCGCCGTCCTCCTGCGCAAAGAGCTGGAGCCGTCGCCTACGCCGCGCCGGGGGGGCCCAAGGGGCACAAGGGGCTTCCTCTACCGGCTGCACAAGGCCACCGCCGTCCTCTACGCCCGGCACGCCCTAGCCCTGCTGCTGGCCCAGTGGCCCCCACAGGCCCCCCTTGGTCCTGAGATGCTGGAACTGAGCGGGCCCGCCCACATGGCCTACATCCTGGACATGCTCCTCCAGCTGGAGGAGAAGCCGCTCTGCGAGAAGGTGAGCGAGCGTGGCGGGAAGAGGGGTGGTGGGCGTACAAAGGAGTCCCAACGGCAGGCCGTAGAATTGGAAGGGACCAAGTGGCCATCTAGTCCAAGACAGGAAAAGCACCATGGCCTCCCAGTCTCTGCCTAAAAGTAATAATAATACTAATACTGATAATAATAATAATAATACTAATAGTACTACTAATAATAAAAGTATAGAATCCTAGAGTTGGAATGGACCCCCAGGGGGCTTCCAGTCCACCCCCTTCTTTCTTCCAGGCAGGAAAAGCACAATCAAAGCCCTCCTGACAGATGTCTATTTAGACTCTCTTAAAATCCGTTTCATAGAATCCTAGAATTCAAGGGCCGCCCATCCCAGCCCCCTTTGGCCAGGCGGGAAACGCACAAGCAAAGCACCCCCGACAGATAGCCACCCAACCTCTGTGAGTCCTCCCTCCTGTTGGTCCAGTTTTGACTTTTGAGGTGTCGGATGCCAACTCTGGAGGCTCGGAAGATCAAGAGACCAAAAACAAAGGAGTCTGGTTTAAAATAACCTAGTTGGTTTACTCACAAACCTTCATGTACTCAACATACAGGTACACTGTATATCACTCCAGTTACAGGGTTGTTGTAGGTTTTTTCAGGCTATGTAGCCATGTGCTAGAGGCATTCTCTCCTGACATTTCGCCTGCATCTATGGCAAGCATCCTCAGAGGTTGTGAGGTCTTACAGACAGGATGTGAAGCTGTTTCTCTGTGCAGATCACACAGGGCACCTTTCTTGTCATCTTAACCGTCCAATGTCCAGAGTATCTCTGGTCTGAGAGTCGAATACAGTATTTATATTTCGCCCTTCTCACCCCACAGGGGACTCAGGGCGGATCACAATGCACACATATATGGCAAACATTCAATGCCATAGACACACAACATATATACACAGACACACAGAGGATATTTAACTTTCCAGCTTTATTAGGGTATGTTTGAATTCTGGCCACTGGGGGAGCTGTGACACCGATAGAGTACCTCCTCATTCTTTTGCATGCTGCTGGAGAGTTTTATGGCGTTGTAAATTAGTTAAATTAGCCTCCATCACATAAAGCAGTACCTAAATTTCCTACTTGACCAATGCAACTGGGGGAGCTGTCGTGTCACCGTCCACTTGTGACTCTAATGGAGTACTTCCTCATTCTTTTGCACGCTGCTGGAGAGTTTTATGGTGTCGTAAATTAGTTAAATTAGCCTCCAGCACATAAAGCGGTACCTAAATTTCCTACTTGACCAATGCAACTGGGGGAGCTGTCGCGTCACCGTCCACTTGTGACTCTAATGGAGTACTTCCTCATTCTTTTGCACGCTGCTGGAGAGTTTTATGGCGTTGTAAATTAGTTACATTAGCCTCCCTCCATAAAGCTGTACCTAAATTTCCTACTTGACCAATGCAACTGGGGGAGCTGCTGCATCACTGTCTACTTGTGACTCTAATAGAGTACTTCCTCATTCTTTTGCACACCGCTGGAGAGTTTTATGGTGTCGTAAATTAGTTAAATTAACCTCCACTGCATAAAGTGGTACCTAAATTTCCTACTTGACAGATGCAACTGTCTTTCGGGTTGCAAAGGTTGGCAGTAAGCTAGACCAATGGTCAGGAGCTTACTCCAACCTGGGCTGGCTTCGAACTCATGACCATGGTCAGTAGTGATTTTAATGCAGCTGACTCCCAACCAGCTGAGGCACAACCCGGTCCAAATGACATTGACAACCCAGGGGGAAAAAACGTAGTGTGGCATAGTGTGATCCGTTATGTTAGGAGCCCTGGTAGTGCAATGGGTTAAACCCTTGTGCGGGCAGGACTGCTGACCAAAAGGTCGGTGGCTTGAATCCGAGGAGCAGGGTGAGCTCTTGTCTGACAGCTCCAGCTTCCCATACAGGGACATGAGAGAAGCCTCTTACAGGATGTTTACACATCCGGGCAATGTCCTTGCAGATGGTCAGTTCTCTCACAGCAGAAGAGACTTGCAGTTTCTCAATTTGCTCCTGACATGAAAAAAATCTTACGTTCCTGTCTTCTTCTTCCTGCAGATCCTGCTGAAGGTGCTCCGTAGCTGCAACGAGAGCATGCTGTCCACCATGGCGCTCACGGCTTGCCAGTTCATGGAGGAGCCGGGGGTGGCCGTCCAAGCGCGGGAGTCCAAGCACCCCTACAACAACAACACCAGTTTTGAGGTAACTGGCCTCAGCATCACTCCAGACCACCTGCAAAAAGTGAAAATCTGCTATATATGTATATCGTATTCTGAGGATGAGGCAGAAGCGAGGAGAGATTTAAAGACCTGTGGCCTGCACATGAAATAGAATTGATTGGAGCCCTTCCTCTCTCCCTCTCCGGCAGGACAAGGTCCACATCCCGGGCGCCATCTACCTCTCCGTCAAGTTCGACCCGCAGTGCAACACAGAGGAGGGCTGTGACGAGCTGGTGGTGTCCAGCAGCGCAGACTTTGCCCATGACCGGCACACCTTCAGCGGGCCTCCCCACAAGTGGGCTGACTTTGAGCTCCCAGGTGAGGAAGGACGGGCAGGGGCCTCCCCTTCTGGGTTGGGGGCCCAACAAGGCCCAAGGGAAGCCCTCTCCCGGGCTGAAGGCGACTTCCCTTTCATGTCTTGCCAGGAGATACCCTGCACTACCGCTTCACCAGCGACATGAGCAACACCGAGTGGGGATACAAGTTCACGGTGACGGCCGGACACCTGGGCAGGTTCCAGACAGGTGAGCCCTGGGGTCCCTTCTAACTCTAGCATTCGATTCTTCTATTATCATTATCATCATCATCATCATCATCATCATCATTATTATTATTCTATTTTTATTATTGTTGTTACTATCATCATCTAGCAGAGGCTGGAGAACCAAGAGGGTTTCACCCAATGCTTCCCTATGGAGATTTCTCCCAGTGCATTCCAATGGGAGTTTCTCCCAATGATTTCCTATGGAAGTTTCTCCCAATGCTTTCCTATGGGGTTTTTTCACAATTCTTTCATATGGAGCTCTCTCCCAGTACTTTTCTATGGGAGTTTCTCCCAAGTCTATGGGGGTTTCTCCCAATGCATTCCTATGGAGGTCTCTCTCAATGCTTTTCTATGGAGGTCTCTCCCAATGCTTTTCTATGGAAGTTTCTCCCATGCATTCCTATGAGGGTTTCTCCCAATGCATTCCTATGGGGGTTTCTCCCAATGCTTTTCTATTGAGGTCTCTCCCAATGCTTTCCTATGGGAGTTCCTCCCATGCATTCCTATGAGGGTTTCTCCCAATGCTTTTCTATGGAGGTCTCTCCCAATGGTTTCCTATGGGAGTTTCTCCCATGCATTCCTATGAGGGTTTCTCCCAATGCTTTTCTATGGAGGTCTCTCCCAATGCTTTCCTATGGAAATTTCTCCCATGCATTCCTATGAGGGTTTCTCCCAATGCTTTTCTATGGAGGTCTCTCCCAATGCTTTCCTATGGGACTTTCTCCCATGCATTCCTATGAGGGTTTCTCCCAATGCTTTTCTATGGAGATCTCTCCCAATGCATTCCTATGGGAGTTTCTCCCATGCATTCCTATGAGGGTTTCTCCAAATGCTTTCCCATGGAGATGTCTCCCAATGCATTCCTATGGGGGTTTCTCCCAATGCTTTTCTATGGAGGTTTTCCCAGTGCTTTCCTATGGGGGTTTCTCCCACTGATTTCTTACTGAGATTTCTCCCAATGCATTCCTATGGATGTTTCTCCCAATGCTTTCCTATGGTGGTTTCTCCCAATGCATTCCTATGAGGGTTTCTCCCAATGCATTCCTATGAGGATTTCTCCCAATGCATTCCTATGAGGGTTTCTCCCAATGCATTTCTATGAGGATTTCTCTCAATGCATTCCTATGGGGGTTTCTCTCAATGCATTCCTATGGAGGTCTCCCCAATGCATTCTTATGGGGGTTTCTCCCACTGATTTCTTTTTGAGATTTCTCCCAATGCATTCCTATGAAGAGTTCTACCAATGCAATCTTATGGGAGTTTCTCCCAATGCTTTCCTATGGGAATTTCTTCCAATACTTTCCTATAGGGGTTTCTCACAAGTCTTTCCTATGGAGATTTCTCCCAATGCTTTCCTATGGTGGTTTCTCCCAATGCATTCCCATGGAGATGTCCCCAATGCATTCCTATGAGGGTTTCTCCCAATGCATTCCTATGAGGGTTTCTCCCAATGCATTCCTGTTCTGGGATCACATTGGCCTTTGTAGCTGCTGCATTGCCCCCTTGGCCCCGTGCAGCCATGAGCCTGGCCAATGGGAGGGGGGGTGCATGGGCCTCTGCTTTCGGAAGGAGTCGGGTCGAAGGACGGCTGAGCCAAAGAAAATGTGTTGAATTGCAGGGTTTGAGATCCTGAAGCAGATGCTGTCGGAGGAGAGAGTCGTCCCGCACATCCCGTTGGCCAAAGTCTGGGAGTGGCAGGTGGGCGTGGCCTGCCGCCAGACTGGGCACCAGCGCCTGAAGGCCCTGCATTTGCTCCTCCGGATCGTCCAGCGGTGCGGCCACGGGTAGGCCGGGCACAACTTTCATAAATGCGTCAATATTTATGAAATACTTATTATATATATATATATCGAAATGTTATATATATATAAATTATAAATGAGTATTTTTATAATTATTTATAAATATATTTATAAATAAGTATAAATATATTTATATAATATTTATGTATATTTATTTATATAACATTTATGAAGGGAGGGAGGGGCATCGTGTTGTAGCCCATTTAGCTCTCGTTTTGCAATGAATATCCATCCCATCGAGTTGCTGTGAGTTTTCTTGGCTGTCTGGCCATGTACCAGAAGCATTCTCTCCTGACATTTCGCCTGCATCTCTGGCAGGCATCCTCAGAGGTTGCAAGGTGTGTTGGAAACGAGGCAAATAGGGATTATATCTCTGTGGAATGTCCAACAAAAGATTCCCCCAGGCAGAAAGCAGCCAGGCTTTTTTTAAAGCTGCAAGGCTCTTCAGTGCTAGTCAAGGTGGTCCATGGCAACATTCACACTTGCCTCCATCAGACATGAGTTCTTTCTCCCACCCTGGACATCATTCCGCGCATATATATTTGGTTGGAGCGGGTGCGTTTCGGCAGCGTTGTGATAGCCGGCCTCTTCCTCCTCTGTTCAGGGACTGCGACCTGGCCTTGCTGCGGCCACTTTGGCAGTTGTTCAGCTGCATGGAAAATGGCCTTCGCCACGAGGCGGCCAAGCCGGGCCTCCTCCTCCCACTCCACCGGGCCCTGACCGAACTCTTCTTCGTGACCGAGAGCAAAGCCAGCGTAAGTCATCACCATAGGAGTAATGCCTTAATTTATGTCTTACCTGCCTCTCCTGATGACTCCAGTCGGGGCGCAACAAGGCCCTTTCCCGGGGTTTTGCAGGCGCCCGGCCTTCCTTCCCTTCTCCCTCCTGTTCTCCCCGCTGCTACTTCTTGCCTTTGTGCTGCCCCCAAGTTACAAACATCCCACTTACAAATGGCTCCTAGTTAAAGACAGGGCTGGAATGGATGGCCTTTAGGGGTTCCTTCTCCTCAAAAGGAAGGGAAATCTACTCCTGAAATACCAAATCCATGCATTAGATTGAAATGTTCTTTACAGGCATTTCTAGGTCCTCTGGCATGTTGAAATTTGGTTGGCATTAATGGAGTTAATGGTGCAAGTCCCAGAGAACATTGTGCACCACTTGCTGGCTCGCTCGTGTTTTCGCTTGCTGGGCCTCCAATGACCTTTCTCCCTTTGCTTTCAGGAACTGGGCTCTCTGCAGGACTACTTGCTTGCCTTAAACACAGACGACCACCTCCACTGCTCCACAGCACAGGTAAGGCGTTGCTTCCGTTTATTCCCTTTTGGGGAGGGGGAAGGGGTGGGATATAGCAAGGGCGGCCTTCGAGTGAGGCCCAGATCCCTCCCAGGGAAGAAAGGGGGTTCTGTGTCCAAGTTTGGTCCCGATCCATCATCATTTGGGTTCACAGAGCTCTCTGAATGTAAGTGAACTACACCTCCCCCAAATCAAAGTGAATACACCCCCCACCAAATTCTACTCTGTTTGTTGTGTGCCATAGAAAAGAGTAGGAAAAGGTTAAGGGAGAGGCAGTGGACGGGATCATGCAAATTCCACACCAATAGAGAGAGTAAGACACACTGGGATGTCTGTGGTGGAGGAAAGAGTTAAGAGAGAGGCAGTAGACGGGGTCATGCAAATTCCTCACCAATAGAGACAGTAAGAAACACTGGGATGTCTGTGGTGGAGGAAAGGGTTAAGAGAGAGGCAGTGGGCGGGGTCATGCAAATTCCACATCAATAGAGAGAGTAAGAAACACTGGGATGTCTGTGGTGGAGGGAAGGGTTAAGAGAGAGGCAGTGGGCGGAGTGATTCAAATTCCACACCAATAGAGAGAGTAAGAAACACTGGGATGTCCGTGGTGGAGGAAAGGGTTAAGGGAGAGGCAGTGGGCAAATTCCACACCAATAGAGAAAGTAAGAAAGACTGGGATGCCTGTGGTGGAGGACACAGACTGGAACCATTGCCAAACGCTCTCTCTGATGCACACACCAGGTTCAAACCAGTACACATATCTGAGCAAGAGCTTGGTTCATTAAAGGATAATGAGTGACTTTGTTAACTAGTCCTGGGGGAGCTCTTTAATCGTCTTGACTAGAATGTTCCAAAATGCATAAGGCAATGCCTCCAAATCCGTTTGTGTTCACCTCTCTCTGTCTCTTTTCTCCCCCGCACACAGGCCCTGCAAAACATTGCCGCCATTAGCCTTGCCATTAACTACCCCAACAAATCGACCGCCCCTTGGAACGTTTAATCATTGCGGCCCTCGTTGTAAGGATCTCGGAGAAGGAACGGGGCCTCTTCCGCTTTGGGGTGTGGGCTCCGCCACGGCCAAGGTGCCACCCCTGTGAGGGCGCACACGGGCCTTCCAGAGACCCTCCTTGCGCTCCCCTGGCGCTCCGTGCGCACTTCCCTTGCAGCATGCCTGTGGGATGGTCGCTTACTTTCTCTGACTCTTTTGCAAAGGGGTGCACGGAGGCAGGGAAAGGGGGGCTTGCTGTGGAAAAGGGGGCGCCTGGTGATTCTCGTCCCAGCCTGTCGGACCCTCGGCAACCCCTCTTGCCGGCTCCCAGAAACCCAAATATATCATTGATCTGAAGCATCTCTCTTGGGACTTGAGGAAGGACTTGTGGGGCTGCAGCCGAGACCAAAAACTTGGTGTCTTCCTTTTTGGACTTCCCATCAGTCGGAAACATCCCGGGGGTCGTTTCCAGCCCTTTCCTTTGCATCCTGGAATGAAAACAGAGAGGGAGGGGGGAAGCCGAGGGGGCCGCAGCTTCGTACGTAACGTTTGCGGACTGGAAATGTTTCGTTCAGGCCCTATTTCTCGTTGGATGTGCGCAGAAGCCGAGGAGTTCCATCTTGGAGTGAGATGGAGTCCCGTTCGAGACTCCGACTCGAACCCAATTGGAAATGTAGGAAATGCTCAGCCGTTCGTCCCGCTTGCAATCATTCGCAACTGCTGAAGTTGAATGGGATTGTTCGCTGTGTTTCTTCTGCCAAACTCCATGAAGGAGGAGACGCTATTTGTGTGCAAAGCGGGTGCATCCTCCCACGTTGTCAACATCAAGCTTGGAAGAGGACCCGTTCTGTTCCCGTGCCTCCTTTCGCGCCAGGAAGGCGAGCCTCTATAGGAAAACGAGCCCTGTGAAGGCTGCACAAGCAGATCAGGCCTAGTGGATAGGGAGGGATTGAAGGTTCGAACCTGTGCCCAGGGATGCAGCCTTCCTGTCATTGCGAAACATCTGAGGAGGAAAGATCAACCTACGCAACTGGGAGAAACACGCCTCTACTCTGGAGAAGGGAATCAGCAGGATCCCTTGTAGAAAAGGAAGGCTACTGTTTTGGGTTGTTGTAGGTTTTTCGGGTTTTATGGCCATAGGTTGTTGTAGTTTTTTCAGGTTGTATGGCCACGTTCTAGAAGCATTCTCTCCTGACATTTCGCCTGCATCCATGGCAAACATCCTCAGAGGTTGTGAGGTGTGTTGGAAACTGGAAAATTGGGTTTATATATCTGTGGAAAGTCCAGGGTGGGAAAAAGGACTCTTGTCTGCTTGAGGCAAGTGTGAATGTTGCAATTGACTACCTTGATTAGCATTGAATGGCCTTGCAGCGGCAAAGCCTGGGTGATTGCTGCCTAGGGGAATCCTTTTTTAAAAAAAGATTTTTATTAAGTTTTGTAATACATCGAAAGAGTGAGAACAATAAAAGTATAAGAAAGAGGTAGAAAAAGAGAAGATATGCAAAAAGAGCAAAAAAAATAGTGATAATAGAATCTAAAAAAAATACTACAAAAATTTAAAAAGAAAGAAGAAAAAGTGGGGTTGGGAGGTGTTATCCTAGGGGAATCCTTTGTTGGAAGGTATTAGCTGGCCCTGATTGATTCTTGTCTGGAATTCCCCTGCTTTTTGAGTGTTGCTCTTTATTTACTCTCCTGATTCTAGAGTTTCAGCCAGGCTTTGAAGCTGCAAGGCCATTCGATGCTAACGAAGGTGGCCAATTGCAACGTTCGCACTTGCCTCAAGCAGACAAGAGTTCTTTCTCCCACCCTGGACATCATTTTACTTGCCCCATTTCCAACAGACCTCTATGCAGATACCCTCACTAATTGACTTTGCAGCTGCAAGGCTATTCAATCCTAATCAAATTTGCCAATTACAACGTTCATACTTGCCTACAACAGACAAGAGTTCAATGTGTTGTTGAAGGCTTTCATGGCCGGAATCACTGGGTTGTTGTAGGTTTTTTCGGGCTGTATGGCCATGGCCTAGAGGCATTATCTCCTGACGTTTCGCCTACATCTATGGCAAGCATCCTCAGAGGTAGTGAGGTCTCTGAGGATGCTTGCCATAGATTCAGGCGAAACGTCAGGAGAGAATGCCTCTAGACCATGGCCATACAGCCCGAAAAAACCTACAACAATCCAGACAAAAGTTACTTCTCTCTTCCACCCTGGGCATAATTCCACAAAGCACCCCCAACAGATGGCCATCCAGCCTCTGTTTAAAAGCATCCATAGAAGGAGCCTCCACCACATAGAGACTTGCCTAGTTTCCAACAGACCTCGCAACCTCTGAGGATGCTTGCCACAGATGTAGGCGAAACGTCAGGAGAGAATGCTACTAGAATATGGCCACACAGCCCCAAAAACCTACAACAACCCAGTGATTCCGGCCATGAAAGCCTTCAAAGGCTACTGTTTTGTTTTTGGAAGCCCACAGAAGTCTCTCTTTGGATGGCAAGGGTTGCGGGATTCCCAGAAAAGAAGAAAGCCCCGCTGTTGTCATCTTTCAGATGGAAGCCTTCAGCCCTTCAGGAATCCAGCCGCTTCCAAAGTTTTGGCCCGGCACATAGGCGCATCCAGGCCTTCCTCCCGACCCCTTGGCGTGGCCTTTCCTGGGCGGCCGGCAGAATCTGTTCCTGCTTTGCCGCCGAGTTGCTCTTCCSTCTTCTCCTTTGGTTGGAAGAATTGCAAGGAGAAGGAGAAGAAGAAGGGGCTGAACAGAGTTTACGGCAGAGTYTCAAAGGCGAGATCCAGATTGAATTATATATTATATACTCTGTGATGAAATCACAATCACCATTCCCCCCGCTTTTGTTTCTGAGTCTAAACCCCCAAAGYGAATGGTTCTTCMCCCCCCTCTTCCGCGCTTCCCCTTTTTCATGTTTATTTTCCTCGACTCCGTTTGATCCGTCATTGGGAGGAGAAACGGGCAGGCACGAATCACGTTTGCTTTGACCTTATTTTACGGGAACCCCCCCCCCCCTTTTATTTCCTCCTGTTTGGTTTCGACGTGTCTTAAGAAAAGAGAGACGATATTATAGATATGCAAATGAAGAGATATATTGTAAAAAGAGAAATCTATTAAAAACGAGAGCGCGCCGGTGCGTGTGGCTCATCATTGTGTGTGTGTTTGAGGGGCATCCTATGCAAAAAGTGACTATAAAACATAATCCAGAACTCGTATTCAGGCCTCAGGAGCCTTAGGAAGAAGGGGAGTGGTTCCACAGTGGAACTCTCTGCCTCAGTTTCCAGTTGAGGCTCTGTTAAGCAGTGGCTGCATGGCTATCTATCAGGAGGGCTTTGATGGGGTCTTCCTTGGGACTTCTTCCACCTATGATCAACAGCATTTCGCGGATGGCGTGAAGCATGTCGCAGGCGCCGGCCAGTCCTCAACACACATGAATGCCATTGCTGCATATCTGCAGTCATGCCTCTGTGTATATGTATGTTCAGGGGTGAAGCAGAAAACATCTGCACGTCAGCTGATGAATGTATTTTAATTGACTCACAGAAGAGACTAATAATAATAAATAAGTCAAGGTGGTCCCAGTGGTGATCGGCACACTGGGTGCAGTGCCTAAAGACCTTGGCCTGCACTTAAACACAATCGGCGCTGACAAAATGACCATCTGCCAGCTGCAGAAGGTCACCTTACTGGGATCTGCACGAATTATTTGCCGATACACTTGGGAAGTGTCCGACGTGTGATCCACTACAACAGCCAGAAGAGTGTCTGCTGTGGACTCATCTTGTTGTATTAATAATAATAATAATAATAATAATATAATAATAATAATAATGTGTATTACCCTCCTCCTTGTGGCTGGAAAAGGGATACAACATCTTTAAATGAGGAGCTCAAACACGACTACAAGACCCATAATGAGATGCACCACTGAAATACAAGTTAAAATCCAGATTGAAATTCAATTGAGCGGGTAAGCCTAATAATAATAACAACACTTTGTAAGCAAATTTGAAAAATGTTCTGTTCCTGGTCTGAGCCTGTTCTTTCCTGTTCAATTGTGTGCTCAATCAAACTACAGGAAAGGAGATTTCATCTGAACATTAGGAAGAACTTTCTGACTCTGAGAGCTGTTCACAAGTGGAACTCTCTGCCCCAGAGTGTGGTGGAGGCTCCTTCTTTGGAAGCTTTGAAACCGAGGCTGGATGGCCATCTGTCGAGGGTGCTTTGAATGCGATTTCCCTGCTTCTTGGTAGAATGGGGTTGGACTGGATGGCCCACGAGGTCTCTTCCAACTCTAGGATTCTATGATTCTATCATGTGGTGGAGGTTTCTTCTTTGGAGGCTTTTGAGCAGAGGCTGTTCAGCGGTGGAACTCTCTGCCCCAGAGTTTGGTGGCGGCTCCTTCTTAGGAGGTTTCTAAGCAGAGGTTGTTCAGCAGTGAAACTCTCTGCCCCGGAGTGTGGTGGAGGTTCCTTCTTCGAAGGCTTTGAAGCAGACACTATTCAGCAGTGTAACTCTCTGTCTCGGAGTGTGGTTGGGAGCTCCTTCGTTGGAGGCTTTTAAGCAGAGGCTGTTCAGCAGTGGAACTCTGCCCTGTAGTGTGATGGAGGCTCCTTCTTTGGAGGCTTTTAAGCAGAGGATGTTCAGCAGTGGAACTGTCTGCCCTGTAGTGTGATGGATGCTCCTTCGTTGGAGGCTTTTAAGCAGAGGCTGTTCAGCAGTGGAACTGTCTGCCCTGTAGTATGATAGATGCTCCTTCGTTGGAGGCTTTTAAGCAGAGGCTGTTCAACTGTGGAACTCTCTGCCCCGGAGTGTGGTGGAGGCTCCTTCTTTGGAGGCTTTGAAGCAGAGGCTGTTCAGCAGTGGAACTCTCTGCCCGGGAGTGTGATGGGGGCTCCTTCTTTGGAGGCTTTGAAGCAGAGGCTGTTCAGCAGTGGAACTCTCTGCCCGGGAGTGTGACGGAGGCTCCTTCTTTGGAGACTTTGAAGCAGAGGCTGTTGAGCAG